TTATCAATTTTGATCAAGGTTAGGATTACACTGAATTAAATACATGGCTCAATGCATGGATCCATTCGGCTCTTTCTGAAATCAGACAATATACTTCTTGATTTAAGACTTTCATCAAGTCAATCTAATTAAAAAGACAATTGAATCTAAAAAAATTGGAACTACAAATGAGATCAAAATGGCTACTGCAGTATGGAGTGATGAAACTTAACTTCTTCTTGTTTCATTTATATGTTACAGTTTTGAGTATTAAGAAAATGATGCGTTTGCGTTGTGAGAGTTCTATCTCACATAGCATAGTTGGTTAATACATACCCATTAGAGTCTTGATCATCTAAACATGAGGCAGACATAAAGCTAACAACATGATTGTTATTCGTAGGTAAGCAAATTGTAATACAAATGTGTTCTGGCTTATAATATGTTAAGGTTTTTGATTTTTGCCGTTAAATGTCGTAGAGTCAAATTTGAGCATCAAAGGGTTTAGAAGATAGATCTATTTGAACCCTAAATTCCTAAATCTTTGATTTCTTGACTTCTTAAGCTAGCATAAAATTAATTCTCTTTGGAAAATAAAATGACGGGAAAAATAAAGAACGAAAAATGTGAGAGGCTCCCATCAAATCGTAGAAGTATGAAAAAAACGTATATGTAATACCCGTTATACATACATACATACATATATATAGAGCAAGCATACAAGATATGCTAAATGAATAGCTAAAACATTTAGCATACAACAGAAACATCCAAGTCTTATAATTCTGTGCAAGGGATATCTAGCTGGTATTTTTCATATGGCAAAAAAAATGATAAAACATGGTAAATGACATGTTTGTTTTTGAACTTGATCATAATCCCCATTAACTCTACTCCTATCATCTAAAAATGTAGTATTGTCCTGCACTTTGAGATGTACTTAGATTGTAAGAATAAAAGATGCAATAGTCAACGTATTCGAATACTGGCTGAACGAAAGAAAGATATGGAAAACAAGATCTCAGCCATGGGTAACTGCAGTGGTATCCTGTTGGAAGAAGGTGATAATTGGGAAAATCCACCTAGGTAATGTGTAATATTCGTAGATTGATATCGTTACTAGCCATGCTTCTACGACGTCACGCTGGTCAAGATTGGGCAATGAGGTGCGTGCACGTTAAACCAAATGTGTTGCACCTGTTATTTCTGCATCACTCTTATAAAACCTGTAGGCGTCTCGCCGTTTTGCTTCATTCGGTACAAACAAGAATGTGTTAATAGAGTTGGCTTTACCTATGATTGTCGAAGACAGAGGTGAAAAATTCTTTTAGATACTCCTGAAATCTACTATTTTGTTTATATCTGCTCGAGGTCTTAAAAGCGATCATGGTTACTCACTAGGGATGGCTTAATATTTGCGGTCACAGCAAGCACTGTAGATGTGCAATTATATGTGTATGCATCCATTGTCGATTTGATCATTGAGTTATAGAAGGGTAAATTCAGATAATGGTTGTCATCCACTTGTGTGTGATGGGCTTCTAAGAATAGGTTTTGTCAGATTTAACGACATCTTGCTTGGAAATATTGGAATCTGCATATTCTTCGTGGTGGCCGCTTCTGCTGCTGTCGGGGCCTTTTCGTTGCCACATTTGCTGTGTTGCCTTTTGTTCGGAATATCTGAATCATTCAAGTCCTTGAGGTACTTTGTTCTTCCAAAAGCAGAGCATATACTCTCAAACTATTGCAAGCGGTACACCGTTTACCTCCTCATGGAGTAGACGTATAGCAGGGCGTTCTTCAATGATATCATTGGTCAAATCTTTACAAGTTTTCTATTGAAAGTTATTTCTGCACTATCTCGATATAACTGTTTAGCGTCTCGGCACGAGAAACTTATTCTATCTACTGCGCTACGAGAAGACGGACACAGTCTACGCAATAGAAGAATCTCTAACCGGTCTTCCCAAGAGCATAATCATGCGCGTCAAGAGACTCTAGCTGATATTTAGGATCAATGTGCTCGTGTTCTGACTCCCTAATGATGAAATCGGAAGGCAGATACTCATGATGGGAGCGTCATTTTTTGCGAGTTTAAATCAATTTGGAAAACCTTATCATGACATCGACAAAGTGTAAATTTCTTAATGCGGAAGACTCGTTGAAGAAGGTAGAACTACTACAACATCCCTCTTATGGCATCGTACTACAAGTACTGGTTTCTGGCGTGGTCCCACAGGAGAGACACTTCGGCAGCTTTGGACTGGATTGGCTGCGTGATCCACAGGAAGTAAGAGGCGAGATCAGACACGCAGAGAGAAGCAGACGGTGACGCTTGAAGGATATATTGAGGTGGGGGGAGAGAAAGAGAGCGATCAGATGTGAGAAGGGTCGGGGTAGAGCACAGAAAAGAAAAACCATAGCAGCCCTCCTTTCGTGGCATCGTACCACAAGTACTGGCTCGTAGCGTGGTCCCAGCATAAAAGGAGGGAGGGCTCGTCCTCTTGGGGTTCGTTTTAGCTTCTTGATCCACGAAGAGAGAGACCTGATATCAGTCTCACAGAGCTCACTCAACTCGGAGATCCATGGTAACGCAGAGAGAGACACGAGAACGAAAGTGTCAAGAGCTATTGAAAGATATACAGGGAGAGCATTCAGACATGGAGGGAGGGAGGGTGCTTTGTACAATGAACAGGGAGTGGCTATGAAGGCGACAGGCGGACCCACAGCAGAGAATGATGAGGATGGGGAATCTGGGAACCGGCAATTAATCCGAGACAAGTGGGGCCCCACAGTTCTGTCGGCTGTTGTCAGATTTGAGCCCTTCGTAATCGAAGACATCCGACGGACAACCAGCACGAAAGTACACGCGAGGAATACAAAAGCAAGCAGATGGGTGAAACGAAACTGGGTAATAGGAAAAGGCTGCTACACCCGAGTCAGACTGTCTGCGCGATGGTCGAACTCATCAGGGGCAGTTACGCTATATGGTCACCCAATCACTCTCTAAAGAAGTCAGAAGTAGGTAAGCGACAAAATATTACAGGTGATATTTAGACAGCTGGTCACGTAATCGACTCGGACTCTCGGACAAGAAAGTTAGAGAGTTGACGAGCCATGTCCCTGGAGATCCAGCAGCATACATAACTTGCTTTGCCTTGGGCTTCGTTCGACTCTTCTCAGTTCAGGGAAGTGTGTTGCTTAGAAAGAAAGTGAAACTTGTCAACATGTCAGATCGAGCCCACACACTTCGACAACACAGCAAATACGTGAAGAGGTTCAGCGCGCCACCGCCCGTTTCTTCGACAGAGTTGTTATACCACAACAGTAGTGTAGCTTTGAGTTTCCCCTTCATGACGAGGTGACGAACAGAATCAGAACGTGAGAACCTTCTCTCACGATCTGAAATCGAATATTCTCTCGTCGTCACGGAAGGCTGCAACATTTGAGATTGATGCGGTCCACGTCTCCCTGATGTTGAACTCTTTCATAGAAAGCTTTCTCTGGGTAATAGGCACATTGATGGAGGGGATGAGGGCGCCTGATTTCCGCTTCTTTCTAATCTGGGTCATACTCCCAAAATCTTCCCTTGAGACATCAACGATCGCCGAGGAAACTAACAACCAGGCGTCCTTCTTTGTGGGTAAGAAACCTTGGGTCACTTGACTTTGCGGTGAGATGCAACTCGCATATACGAACGCCAAACACTTCTTTGGTCTACATTTGCTCAACCACAACATGACGGATTTCTCTGGCTCACGCCAAGTTGACAAGGACAGATCAAGGACATTGATTTGGATCTGATCCCTTCCATTAAGGAGTCGTCACTTGCTCGCTCACCATGACTTGGCCTTGGTCTGAGCTCAATCTGCTGAACGAGTGCTGATGACATTTGATCTGATTCTGACAGTTTAATTTGTTTCACTGAAACATGTTTCCTTCTTTAACTGGGATGAACTTGTTCTAATCTGTTGCTAATCATTCCTAATTAAATCTCTCACGCCACTTTAACTAGTCATAACGACCATCCTTCAAAGGTTCCGTTCCTTGCACCTTTCCTGTGGACCACGTACGTCATACGGAATGTACATTAAGCCTCCACTTTCTTCAGCCCTCAATCCTGATCCTTCTGCTTCTGGTGCATTCCACTGTACCATAGAACTACCGTACTCACAAACAAAGCCATCCGCTTGTAGTTCTGCATGACATACATCGCCGTCGTTAGAGACTTCTCCCTTCCAGGTACTTCCTCGGATTCTATTATGCTCACTATGGACATAATTTGTCGGACTACGACTAATCTGAACCATCAGACCTTCTCTCGTATTGAATATCTTCTGATCTACTCTCAGAATCGTGGATTCAATCCTGACCTTCAGAGTCTTCGTAAGAGTGTAGTTTAAGCGTCCTGGTATATACATCTTCACAAAACTTAGAAACAGTTTTTATTGTGGGTCTGTTTTTAATACATTCTTCCACGGTTTGAATCATCCGTATACGCCAATTTCTCTGTTCCATGTTGGAAGTACATGTATTCTTTATCTTCGTAATTATAAGGACGTCCCACCATGTGATGGTCAGAGCTCTAGCCTTTTGAAGTTGTTGTACCCTCACACTTTCATTTTATTTGGATGTTGTACACAACCATATGGCAATGATTACCAGATATTGGAATAACCCCTACACGCAAGTAGATCCGAATACGACAATCACCTACAAAGGCTTGTACCCTGGAAGATATTCAGTATATTACAGGCAGAGCTAATTTGACACTCCACTTTTTCAGTTTGAGGATAGAAAGGCACTTCGTTGCACGGTTAACAACGCCTTTCCTTAAGTGTGTTGACCGTTAGCATGAAGGATGAGAAGTATTCGTTTTTCTTAATTCGATTTTGTCGACAATAATAGACATGAAATCCATCCAAAACCTCGCCAGCAGATAAGAAATCTGAAAGTTGACGGCTCTCTAGAAAGTGTCACACAAAGTTTTGACAAATGGATGCGAGTGTCTCGTACTAAGTGTCAATTTGGGCCATGCTATTTGAATGTTTAAGTGCTGAGGTATCTTTTGGGCGAAAATTATCTGTCAAACCCCATCAGAGAATACGATAGAGAGAGAAGTCTTGAGATTATTTGTGCACACACCGAGGAATGGCCAGTTTCTTGTCGATTATGGTGAACCCTGAAATCCCTCGCACAGCAGACACTTATTCGAAATCTAAACAATATTTTCCACACAGTTTCTGCCGAAACAAGTCGGTAGATCCAGTGTAATGTACTCAGGATGTCCATGAAGGCGCAGTCGTGGTGGTGAGCTTTAAGATTGACTTGGCTACGCCTTATTGATGGTGTCATCGTTTTGAGAATTGTGCTTTGACCGTGATTAATGTACAGATGCCCTGTATGACGAGATATCATGTGCAGACTCCAGAGGTATCTTTCACCGTAGAAACTCTGCGCACTACCTCTGCTAGAAATTCGAATAGACTGGTGTATGGGTGAGTACGGTTGGTACACTGTAGTACTGTAAGTAGTGGAAGAAGGCACGTGCCCACACGAGGGGTTAGAACTCACTGTGGACGACGAGGAGGAAGAGTTTATGCTGTTTTTGCGTCGAGGGTGCTCCCAGGTCTATTTCTCTCTTTCTCCCTCTTTCTGCTCTCGGGGCTCACAACACTTGATCATCTCGTCCTTCTCACCCACTCTGTGTCACTCGCCCTCCCGCCCAACCTCAGTTGAATCCTAGGAGTCTACCACACAGCGCTACATTGTACACTGTTGTTGAGAGTAAGTGACTGTGGGGTCTGGACTGTCTGGCTGTCTGGCTGTCTGTCACAGCACTTTGACCGTCCCGCTCAAGTCGCTCATTCACTCAAGCGTGTCGAGTTGTCTTATCGTCTTCGGTCGGCACTAAAGGAAAGGACTGTAGTCCTCCATGCTCCTTGATCCTAGACCACGGTTTCGATACGCTCCATGGTGCGCCTAGGATCTCCTTCAGAACGCAGAATTGCTCGCTCTGAGGGCTGCGCACCCGTCTGTCGGTCTATTCTATAATAACATATCTAATCAGTGCACACTGCCTCCGCACCACAGTGTCTTGTCTTCACCCGGCCTCCACCAGGCTCGCCTTGCTTTCTCTGCTGCTCCTACTCCTACTACTTCTACATGTTCTGAGCAATGTAGTACCACCCTGGTGTATCTCCTGCACACTCTACTACTCCTTCTGAGCCAACGAGTCTCATTCTTTTCTGCATCGAGCATCACTTCTCCTCCCCACTGAATGCTCGAGAACGCTGGACCTGAGCGCTGCTTCCATCCAAAGTTCGGGTCTAGACTGCTGCCGCTAGTCTCAGAGCCCAGATTCTTCTTGACTACAATCAATCAGTCAATCAACAACTGTTCTTCTCTCCGCCTCCCTGTCTGAGCTACGAGAGCATCTGCTTGAGCTGCTGACCGACCTCTCGTCCTCATCCCTTCAGCTTGATAGCTTACCAAACTCTTTGCGTCTCGTCTCATCTATTTTTCGTGTAAACTCAACTTGGACACAACAAACGGGTCATCCGAAGTGAGCTGCGTGCTCCGCTCCAGTCATCAGCAGCAGTCTGCTAACCTGAACTAGGCCTCACAGAGGCATAGGCTCACATTTTTCCAGGAGACTAAGCGATACCGAGCACTGCAGCGCCTCGAACCTGGCATCGCAGAGAAGACGTAGATGTCACACACGCTCCGCTCCACGTTCTTCACGCATCATCCAACTTGGCGTTGCAGCGCATGTTATGTTTGTGACTCAACTCATGGTTCGAGCGTGTGTCGGCAACTAGAGAGAACCAGAAGTGCTTCCTGCCGCCCAGGGGAACTGACCAGAGATCAGTGATCGAATTACCATCGGGCCAGGTTACAATTCGCCTCATATGCAGAGACGGCGAGAGGGCTGGGGTCTGATAATCCACAGGGGAACCGATTGAGACCAGGTACTGCTTTGAGACACACACTGCAATTGGATTGCGAGAGCGTTTGGTCTGTCCAGGAACAGCGGCCTCGAGCAGCAGATTGAACAATTATCGCTGGCTTTGCGCTGAATTGCATGTCGAGTCAGATGGGATGCTGCAAAATCTTGATCCTTTTGAGCATATCTATATATGCGTCGGTCCATGTGCAAGCTTCCAGACCGTCCACAACTGGTACATCTCACCTCTCTTCCGAGCTGTGCATCTCGTTCATTCGTTCAATCTGTCGTCGATGTCTTTGGGTGCATGACACTGCGCACTTGTTAGATCCACGCGGTAAATTCCGGGACAGTTGAATCCTGTCCCGCTCATCACTTTTGAATCAACGTTTGCCATTTCCAACCACCGCCAATAATTGGGTTCTGTCAACTGCTCTTGTCCAATAGGATCCTCGTTCAGAGCGATGTCGTCTCAACCGGGTGGCCTCACAGACTCCAAAAGTGCTAGAAAGGTAAAAGCGAAGCTGCTCCAGCTATCACCTCCACACCACGTGACGCTCGTACATTGTACTCTCAGAGGCTTTCGATTGCGCGCCTGTCTAGGCGATGTTTGAAGTACTTTCCAGTTGCAATTGACAATGTGTCTCCGGTCAGAGTGTCAGCTGCTGCGGTTCAGTTCCATGTGAAGGAATGGTCTCGATTCACAGCCTTCAGAGATTATCGCTCGCCACTGACATGTGTTACCTTGCATGCAGATTCTTCTCGAGGAGAATAAACCTAGAGCATGGTGGCAGATTTCTCAGAAACTGCTGGCCAGGCAGATGGGGTCGAAGCCACCGAACTGCGAAGATAAGTGCCATTATTGCAACCCTTGTGAGGCTGTAGAGGTCCCGATATCGAATCGGGAGGTCCAGAAGGTCAAGGCCCTTGAAACTGATGCTGCTGCAGGCACCTCGTATCAAAAAGTGAGTACAGCGCTGGCTGATCCACACGACACGAACTACATGCCCGAAAGTTGGAGATGTGCGTGCGGAGATGAATACTTCAATCCGTGAGCAGAACAGATCACGATGCAATGTAGATGATAGCGAAGTGGCCTGCATAGCATGCCTCTGCCGAACCGTTGAAGCAAACTTAGCTGTACCACGTTGTAGGTCACGGTGATATGGCAACGTCATGCTATCCCTTTCCACTGACATGCTCCGCTGTGCCTTTTTGATTGTCTTCCAACCATTATCTGCTTTCGGACTTTGCTCCGGCGGATTGCTCCCATGGTGTTCTGTGTGATTCAACGTCAAACTTTGAAGACCTTAGCAGTAGACAGCATACATATGTGCACATACAGGTTGTCACTGTCAAATTATCAGGCCTAATGATCAGATTCTGGAGGCTTCGGCGGGTAGGTGGAGTAAGAGAGAGAGAGAGAGAGAGAGCGCGCGCGCGCGCGAGAGAGAAAGCGAGAGTTTTGTGTGTGTTTGTGTGTATGTGAGGTCGAAAAGGGAGATCGCATTAGCATCACCACCGAGATCGCCGGCGAAGACTGAAGAATGCTGCTAGTGCCCACCTGCCTTGACATTTCACAGCCCTTGTAAATTAGCTAAGGTATCATGCCTGTATACTGCTGACTGTTCAATAGAAGAATTTAATGACTGAATAAGATCGACTTGCTGCTGCACAAGTTTATCAGAGGCTGGATAAACGTTTGAAGTAAATTTCAAAGCAACTTCATGCCAGAAAAGTTCAGCGCGCTATCATGACAAGTTCTTCGGGACTGTCATGAGCGAATTGTAGCGAACATGCGAGTGAATAAATGGAAAAAGCGGACACTCAGTCGCTTGGAATGCTTCTTGTCCACGATTTGTCCAATCTTTGAAGATCTGAAGATTCCTATCACTACTCCTGCGGGTACGCAAGCACAATCTGGCCATCTATCACTTCCTCGAGTCCTTTATTCAACTATTGACGAAGACGGACGTTATGTATCTACCGTACGTACTTCGAATTAGATTTGAAATCTGTTTTTTCTATTAAGCGATTCATTTGGTGTTAGATCGAAGCGCACGATATGCCTTCAGTGCGATCTGTGAAACATTTCGCTTCCCGCGCTCGGGTTAGCAATGATTCAGTTTTAGAGAGATACGAGGATACTTTTGAAGGAAGCCTCTAGACATTGTTTCACGAACCAGAAGCTCCTGCCTTGATTTCTCTCTTCTCGGAGGAGGCACCACCTTATCGAGTATTTTACTGTAATGACAGATTTTTAATTCTGGATTGGCTGGATGAAAAATGGGATGCATTCGTGACTTGAAATCCGAGCTGATGTGATTAGTGTACAGTAGACTCTGGCGAGATACACTGGGGACAAAATTTACGTTAGCATGACAGAGCATGGGCCGCTGTAGGTAAATCAACAAGACATGGAGAATCGTAACTTCACCTGCATTCAAGTTTGCTGGTAGCGATCAACAGATTGTACGTCCACAGTATCCGTTCTAGAAGGGCGTCATTATGACATCTTACGTCCGTCTTATACATTAAGATGTGGGCCAACAGATAGTACGACATACGACACTTCTGCAACGAGATTCCTACCGAAAGCTGAGCGAGTATCAGAAAATCAGTTGTCAGTGCCAAGTCTTCGCCTGCAAAATGCCAGATCTGCAATGCTTGCGCTGTGAATGCACGGTCCCTGTGAGTAATATCCATTCCCAGGCCCACGAAGCCACATGAGTACATCTAGATTGCTTGGATTACTCATGGTCTCTACACCTCAAATGAATCCAAGTCAAGTACCGTCTCGTTCTAATTTCACTTAGTCCGAAGACCAATCAAACCTTCACTCTTCTTTACTGAGGTTACAATCGTGCTTGGTTACATGCACATAGTAATGTGATGTCTTGAAGCTCTAGATGGTTTTGCAGTAGTACATACTTGACTTTGTGATAGTATAGAGGCTCGCCCCTTTGGTTTCATCCCTGTACAGTTTGATGGTTTCCTTCCTTTTTGCTGTATACTACTTGACCCCGTTGGAGCTCTTTAAGAGCTCAATTTTCTAGGTGCATCAAACTTACCAACCATTTACTACTCACAAGCTCACTGTCGGGGAACTCTGATAGGCGAAATTCAGCAGAGCAAATGTCCAGTTTGATTACAAATGAACCTTGGATTGTATCAGGGGAGTATCAGTTAACGGTTTGTCATGCGAGCAACCTCTGAGTCCACTTCATGTGCATGTACTCCCTACCACTGTGAACTGCATGCAGATAAAAAGTCACGCTGTGTCTGTAGATACCTCTCCATCAAAGAGGGACCCGCAATTTCTGATGACCATACTCGATGTCACCCAATAGAGTAGCTTGACGTCGTCAGCAGCAGTTTTTCCAAACCCAAGCAGATGATAATGCTAAGAAGGGTTCCCTTAGGCTTATAGGCAAAAGTTTTATCGTTCGAGGTTAGAAGAAACTTTCGAAACAGCAAATGTGGCCTCATAATATTTTTTCGATGTAACTTTCGAGTATAAGCCTAAGAGAACCTGACAATCAACAAATATGGGCTCGTGTAGCTAACCGCATCTTAACGGACATGATGAAGATTAAGGGTTACCGGAATAGTACTACTGGCTGATCAGGCAGTATTATGCTAATCCGTTTGTAACTACGAAACCAAGGTGGTCAAGGTCAACTTGGAGATGGCATTCTTAATATGAGCTTTGGAAGAAGTTGCGGTGGTAATGACCTTCCGATCTGGGAATCTAGTGTATCCTCCTGTGTTACATCTTGAGCAGTTCCCTCATACTCCTTTGTATTCAAAATCACTGACATTACCCTCATGAAAGTAATGTGCCCTAAAGTAAACAACGAATAAAACATGTAATTCATTTATCCTCTTCCGACGTATGTCGTCCTAAAAGTCGGTTCCAGCTCCATTCAATGGCTGTCAGTTTTCTTTCTTATGTGTCCGCAATCAGCTCGATGTTGTCTAATGCAGAATACTCGTTGGCGTAACACTCATGGAAGGGAATTTCTGTGCTACGCCTATACGAGTGATGGTCATCAGACAGTAGATAGTTTTGAACGTGCAGCACCTCAAACTCATTCGAACTTGCAAATTTGTTGTCTGTAAAGTTGACTGGTCCACCACACCTTGTCTACTTCGACATTCACATCTCGCTTGAGTATGTTAACCGAGTCCTGATAACCTACCCACACTTGGGTTGTCTGGGCGTCATCACTTGTCCAAGGAACGCATGAAAACAAAATTTCAACAGGGAGATGAATGGGGCAACAGACTCTTGGAAAATGTCTTCTAGCGGATCTGCTAAGGTCTTTCATTGCTCGGAATACTTGCCACATATTTCGGCATCATATAGAATGGACATTCAGTATGATGCCGAAACTGATTACGTACTTATTACATGCTCTGCACATCTTTTTTATTCCATTGCACCACTTCGAAGCCTACGTTATACAATGTGCAATGAACATACTCAATCAAAGTTCTTAACTTCCTAACAAGCCAAGAACGTCGCCCCACTCTATCCCAGAAACGAAAGCACAAATCTTGCAACTTTTACCTGAGGTCATGAGATAATATGTGCCTTCGTTACAATGTGGTATGCTCTAACACCAACTCTAATGCTTTCTTGAACTACTTGCGATGAACAAGAAGCCCATAGCCTATTACATTGTCAAGGAGCTAGACCATTTGGGTCCACCCCTGTTGCCAGCGTGTTAGTTTTATCTTGGTGACGTTGCTGAGGTTCTATATTCTGAAGTTTTAATGTCACTTTCGGAGTAAAGCTGGAGCAGGGAACTTCAAAGCTCAGGAAGGAAAGATGAGCATTCCCAAAGCCATTGCCGCGAAAGGAACGGTGAGGTTGTCGTCCAACCGAGTGCTGAAGGGTAATGACTCCACCACAGTGGTCAAGAAGGAGACGATGACCACTCGAGCAAACGTTCCCGGCACCATCTCAATATACCCGAAGTGTGCAAAATACATTAAGTACCTGCAGACCATATTCTTACAGATTTAGAAGAAGAAAACTATAAGAGTGGAGGGCAAAAACATAGATTAATTTAGTTGGATAACCTTCCGTATTCTGCCACCAATATTGCACCTAAAATTCTTAAATGTATGTCATAATGGTGGTAGGGACTCACAACATGGATACCGAAGTGCTCGCAACAAACATCCCAATGCTTCCGGCAAACGACTTATCTCTGTTGTAGGGAAGCTTAATCCCACCGAAATTTCTTCCGATGATGTCCGCAAAGCCTGTCACATTGAAGCTCCTTGTCAGAATGCAATCACTCTTTCCAAATGAGGTTTCTCAAACAGGTTTACAACGAGGCCGGAGGAGAGACACAGCATAAACATGCAGTAATTGAAGAAAAACTACAAGCACTAAGAAACCCGGGAAACAACCTCTTCTACTTCGACGTACAATATTACGGGAGGATGAACACCTCCTTACAATTCGTACGGATCTATCCAGGTTACTGAGTACAGCACTACTCTGATTGTTAAGATACCAGATATCAGTGAGCAAATATGTGAAATCGGCGTATCCACACAACAGCAGAATGTGATCTCAATTCAATGATTGCCTGTTTCAAAGTTCGAAAGAAAAGCTACTGCTTGCTTATCACACTTACGAGCCTGTTCGAACAGACTATCAAGGGTATCAAAAGAGTTCACAAAAACACGAAATTACCGTGGAAGCGATAATCTCCACCCAGTGAAACCAGGTGACGATATTCCTGACTTACTTTATGCTGTGCATTTAAGCTTGTCGTCATATTGACAACTTATATAATCAGACAGAGGAACCCAGATGTGCACCGGATTAAACCCGACTGAATGATGCTAGTAATAGGTTACACAGCGACCTCTAAATTCTCCAAGAACCTATCCAAATTTCCACAACATATGGTTACTCATAATAAGAACCTTCGAAACAGTATCAAGAATATGGGAGTACATGGGAGAAATTGTGATTGTTTTATACAAGGAATGAATAAATGATACAAGAAGTGACCTGAGCTTACCATCACCAGCACATAGATTCACAAGAGCAACAATCCCCACAGGTGAGCTCCGCCAAAAACAGACAGTAGTGACGACAATCGCTAGAGCGTAATAAAAGGGTCCTTTCAGGAGTTCCCTATAACAAACAAAAGGTCCGGTCATTAGATAGTATGATGAATAAAAGACATTGTTAAGAAGAAAAAGTGAATGCAACGAGTGAGGTAAATTGAATGTGGATATCCAGCTTTCTGAATTACAATAATAAGTACCATCAAGTGTCAAATGATCCGTCTGCATATCACCGATCAGAGGTAGAAAATTGATAATAGCATTTTAGACATAAACTTTCGAAATTCACCTTCTGCCCCCTTCTCTGCTCATTGCCTTAACCATCGCCTCATTTTTTAGAATTCCAAATCCTAGACCCAGCATTCGGACTCCATTCCCTGCAGGAGCTAATGCACACAGGTATTTTGCATACGGCGCTAAACTGCAAAACAAGTAAAGCAGATTGTTAATTTGATATGCACATTTTGGAGGATGGGCCTCTCCCAACAAGCGAAAGAAGGGAAGCGCATATGGTCAAGATCTATATAGTTCTTCGCAGCCTAAGAAGACAAGAATAAACTCAACGAGCAAGTGGCAGTCTTCGAACAATATTTCACAACGAGGTGGGAGATAGAGTGACGTAGGGGTGCGAGTGCAAAAAAGCAGAGCTGTTGAAGTTTTACTGGTTAAAGTTTCATAATTATATAGCTAGGGCATGTCCCAAACTCAGACTACTGAAACTTAGGTTGCAGATGCAGTATCACACTGTGACAGAAAGACACCGCATTCGTTAGGAGAATTGTCTTGTTGATTTGAACGCACGCAACTTATATTCGCTGCGGAAGGCAACAGATTATCTCCGTGTGGAGATTGCAGTAGAATGTATTCATTGGTATTTGCCTGTAATAGTTTGAAACCATAAACCTCGCGCCTTAAGTCAGGGGTGCTTGGGTGCCTACAGAACAGCAGATAAAAGTAGTCCACAAGAATCCAGTAATCCACCATTTCATTCCTTTCTCTACCTGAAAAGGGGCCAAAAGAGCATGAACCCAAGTCCGACCAATATGTGCACCAGCTTCCTGCTCAGTTTCTGCGCGAAAAACAAAAGGAATAAGATTGATGAAGAGATTCAAAACGATACTCACTTGGCCAATCTTTACAGTCTGCACTGCTTCAAAACGTCGTTGGAGGAAAATACTAGCATTCCCGCTTCCATAACGCTTCATTACCATCATGTATTCAACTGCAATATTTCAAATCCTGAAATTTTCTTCGTTTTCAGGCATTTATTATATAATACCATATAATTATTTTCATAATAAAAGCAAGATTAAATGCTGAAGTCAATTCTAAATTCCTTGTTCTCTGAAAAGATACATAACCTGGTGCCCAGGGCTATACCAGCAGACGGTATATCTCGAAAACTACTTATATCGAGGGCAGTAGGCAGTACTATCTCAACCCTCGAATTCCGACGAAGATTAAAGTCGCAGAGACCAAGCTTTTCAAAACATATGATTTTACAGGGCTCAGAAGTGGAGAAGCTAATGTTTTCTCCCAACATGTAAAACTGAACGTGAGTTCTTTGTCAAGAATTTGTTAGCGTGTAGAATTTGTGGTAAGAATACATGGAAAGCCAGCTATAAAGTAAAAGGTCGTCGACCTCCACGCTGAGGGAAATTTTTTCTGTAATCTTAAATTCACAACCCGCACAGTCTCGTCTCCATATTCGTGTAGATTAACCATATTTTGACGGCACAGAGATGGAAAGTATGACTGAGAATCATATCAACAGACTGACTTGTGGGTCCACAACTACTACAATTCAACAAGTAAAATTCACCCAGATCCGTTGCAAGACATAGACATACATGACCTTAGGAAACTGTTTTCATCATGAGCAAAATCCCCAAATACAAGCTTCAAAGCAGCCTACATTACCGTACCCTGAGGTCCCATGACTGATGCAGAAATTCATTCGACGCGTGACTTAGCGGGGGAATAAGGTTGGGCAATTGGTGACATTTAACGCCGATTAGGCTGCGACTATCTAATTTTTCAACACCTTCTTAACGATGCTCCGATGTGCAACCATGCCTGGCAGTTTACGTTCCGAGGGAGGGGAAGCTACAACAGCAGTGACTTGTTTCTGAATCAAACAGATCTGAGCAGAGACACAGCAAAAAACCTTTTCAAGCACGTCGCGCTTGGCCAACTCGTCGAAGAATCTCAACATTCCCAGAGCTCCCCCGATGGTCACCACGCAGGCAATTAAGTCGTGCATGGTGACAGTCGGCAGAGGCAAGGCTGAAGCAATCCCGGGAGTGAAGATGGCACAGTTATAAAGCAGCCTCGAGCTATCTTCTCGTCCTCCCAACTGACTTTCGTCGCCGAATACAACTGGATCAGAGGAAGATTCCTGTTCGAGACCTTTGAGGTGCGACTTGTCAGCCTGGACCCGTAAAGTTTCGAAAACTTTAAATATTGGGGATATCCTCTGGAACTGTCTCTGGCTCTGGCCGTGGGCAAATGCCCGCGACTCGGAACTCAGAGAGTCAAAGTCATATTTTCCTTCCGACTGCGTGCGAGACCAATCTAAAAAACTCGCCAAACATCCGCCCGGATTGACAATCTTCCCGCTTGAACAAGAAATAGCACGAACAGAGATCGTGGAATACGGTGTCGAAAGGGATCTCGAGCTACAGGACAAGAGAGCCATAATTGACGTCGAAACAGTGATAATAAATGCTCCGACTGTCGATACGCAAGAAGGTAAAGCCCCTGCTCTATCCTCTGGGCACTCAGGCTAGCTCATCTTCACAATTGACATAGCTGAAATCTCAAGATTGTGCGCTGCTCAATCATACGGCATTCACCCCGTCCACAGGTCCAACTCATCATTCGAGTATGCGCAATTTGTCGACGAGAGCTCCCATGCCGAACCGAAGCCGACCGCACGACTTCCTCAGCTCACCGACAGAGGAATCATTGATGTACAGGACATGAACAGGATTCCGAGTGAGAACAGTCAATGGACTTGCATCACACCAGCCAGCATCCACCGGGCTCGACCGGCTGGTGATGATCAAAGTCCACAGTTCTGAAAATCTCGCACATGCGAGCTAATCCACCGTGTTTTTTAGTCTCATCGGAGTCCACTGTCTGGCCGAGCAGCAGCGGAGTTTGATAAGACTCCGATCTCCGTGCGTGCGATAACGAACAGGAAGGCTGATTGGCAGAGAGACGCACTCCTACAATTCTTGCGCTAATTCTTCAGTCGAAGTATGGATTGACCGTATCCACCGTTACGGTACTGGCATCCGCGGACGAAGAGTCTGTCACGGAATGGGTAAAAGTGGCAAATTTGAACGGGGTGCTGCTCGGTTTATTGTGAAAGTGAGTTAAAGTACCAGATACGAGCGTTTGGAAAGTTTTCTCTCTGGTAGAAGACTAGTTAATAAGTTATAACAAAGCACAATTTAATCAAATCATTACCATAAATAGTATGCTGTCGACCGAATTACATCCACCAACAAAAGTACAAATTGCCTTCTCACAGAGACCCATAGTTGTCGCTCTTGCTCTGTACGTTCTAACAACCGCATCCCGGTTTTTCCAGAGACTTTGACGTGCTTCTCTCAGTGTAACTAACTAACATTAAGAATCTAAAGATGTGCACTCCTGCCCTCTTTGAGCTTCTTGTGATTCCTTTTCCTTTGAAGTTGCAAGCATTGCTCACCTCATCCAGCATCTCTGATCATCGTTGACTTTCGTATTGACTGACTCACATGGATGTAGAGGCGTGCTGCAGGTACGGCCTACGACGGCAAAGGGTGTCCTTTGTCGAAAGCAGCAGCATCCAGCACATGACATGTGACCAAAGAGAAACTGAAGCTTAGTATGGGGAACCTACCTGCGGGCAGAATGTAAGGGGCAAAAGGCCTCATGTTAGTTGTGGATCCGACATATTCATCAAGGGATTCGAGCGTGCCCGCTCACTTCCAACCGCATGTGCTAGCAAATGGAAAAGGACCATCAATTAAATTAGATCCATGGGAGCTACTTTTGATCCTCATGTCAGTTTCTCGATGAAAATTTGTCAATAATTTGGCAGGTATAGTAGACTGAGCAAATTAAAGACTTGTGCGCATGAGAGAATCGTCCATCATCAGTTCGTCTGTGATTGATTTCATTGTTTTTGTACATCTCATAGACTTTATGCCTCTAAGTTTGATGATTTGAGATGTGTTCCGTGGTGTCCAAGTTATTTGTACATGGGAGTCTCATGACAAGACGTCCATCGAACGCAACACGTAACTGGCTCACGTGGTAAGAATCTCAAAGACTTCTCAGTTGATTGTATTCAAGTACTTACTTGAGAACAATCAGACTTTTTCGAGAACTTGATTCACTTAAGAATTATTTCATGTACTTGAATATATTTACATAAATTGTCAAGTTCTTTGGTGATATAAGACACATTAACGAGTAATATTGAAGTTGGTCCATCTTGCAATGAAAATTGTATATGAAAGCTGCTAAAGTAAAAGAATTAGCTTCGCAAAGAAAACAATCACATGACTTTGTGAGAGTGAATGATAAGAAAAAAACTGAGATATACTTAGATGATTCTTATAAAATCTTAATATGAAGAAAAAAGTTTGAATGAAGATTTAAAGCATGAATTATTAGAAAAATTTCACAGAATTGGAATAAATATAGTCTTTTTATCACATTTGAATATAAAGAAAAAAAGTTATTTGAAATCTAGTAAAAAATCAATAAATATTTGATTTGAATAAACAAGTACAAGTGTTATATTGGATTTTATATTTAAATTTCTTATATGTAAAAAAAAAGGATTTTAATCAACATTTAACACATAGAAATCTTATATATTGATTGTTTGAAGCAAAATTGGAAATTTTCCTTTGCATAAATTTGCTATATAAGATATCCATATTGCATTTGATGTGATGATCTTTCCAGAACATCTCATTAAAGTCAACAATGATATGATAAGATAGCAATATGTTTTTTAAATGAACTGTTACATGGAATGTATTGATAGATCTGTATATATGTATATATATATATATCAATACAAAATCTTTCATATGTAAATAGTAATCTATGATAGAGTTGTTAAATTATAATAGTATAAAATAATAAGCATTTAATCAGTTCATTCATCGATAATAATGTATGGTCGATTATATATTTCATCACAGTGAAAAAAGCAAACTGATCGCTCAAATATAAACATAAGAAATGATCGGTGAGCAAAAATGCAATCAAGCACAGTCAAAGCAAATATTTTAGAACAATGATATATGGATGATATATGGATTGCCATTTTGCATCGGGCATACTACTCATGTTATGATATCCATGTGTGTAGAACATTATGTTCATCTTAAATCAGAAATCTCAAGTTCAAATTGTATTCCAAGAACCATCTATGAAGTATATCTTTGAGTTATTTGTTAAGTGCATTGACTTTGTGATAATGCAAATCTCTTGCCACACAAAGTACTATCTAGAACCTGAAAACCCAATCCAACGCTTAGGTTGATAATGATCTATTCTAAAAACACAATTAATCCCGCTTGTGAGAAAACCAAACAAGATGAGAGTTTATGATTACTTGCTTGCGCTATGATACAACATTCACATACATTTCATTACATAAGGTTGCACGGAGATGCATGTCACTTTTGTAGTTATCACTGCTTTAATTATCACCAAACCAACTTGAATATGCTCCACATTCATTAGATTTCTGAACTAGAAAGCCCACGTCATCAAACAAGTCCGTTTTAAATTCTCCATCGACCACAAATTAAGAAATCATCTCATACAAAGACGCCGCACATATGATTTAGACTCTATCTCATGGGTGATCTTTACATCTTTAGGGAGATGTGATAATTAACTGTGGGGATCTATTCGAACTCGATCCACCGTTTCCTCATACGTAATATAATCCTACATACTTCAAGCTTGTAGATTGGGTGATCTTTAGATGCTCAGGGAGTTGTGATGATTAAGGTTGTGGTTTTCATCCAATTCGGCACACCGTTTACTCAAATATCACTTCGAAAGAGTTGCAGAGTTCATGGTTCCATTAAAAGACGTATTTCACCCATACATCTTAGACAATCGTAGGTAGTGATATCTATATCTCAAGGGAGGATAGAGTTGAGAAAGATTGCGGATTCAACTAGACACACCGCTCCTTCACATGTCACTTTTGAGATGCCGTCAGAGATTAGTGTTTTCACTAATATCCCTTGTAGATACATGGAGGTCACGCAAGGATAACATTCTTAGGGAGTGTGCTTGCCCTATCTTTACAGTAGAATAATGCATATTTCTTGTTGTTTTTTCCCATTCAATATCTTATACAACAAATGTGCATAGCGTATTCAATGTGTTGTGTACTTCGCTTTTGAGAGATAGCTTTGATCGGTGATGCCTGTTCTAGACTGCTTGTTATCACCCTTATGGCGGATTTGTGTGTAGTGGATATCAGAGGCGCCGTTGGAAACACTTGCTCTCTTTTTCCCTATGGATTCCGGTTGGTTTTCCTCGGAGTGCTTTGACTTCTGGTTTGTACCGCGATCCATGTGGTTGCATCACCTCCTTTATTCCACGCATCTCCTTTCTAAGTGAAACGAAAACCATAATGGTGGTGCGAAACCGGAACAATTTATCCAAACATTTGTAGAAATCTTTTTAGGCGTGTAATAATGTAAAAAAATGGAATTGAAAGGAGATGTACTGCAACTACAAGCATGGGCAAGATGTTGGCGGTTGGGCAGAAATGACTTGGACATGTAATGTGTAAAGTAAACTTTCAAGATACATTGCATGGTAACCTAGCTTACGAAATCATCGTGCCCGTATTTAGTGAAGTGGAATTGAAGTCACAAAGAAGATGGTTGTGTCTTTTAGGGGTAAAATAAAGAATAAATTGTCTGGAAAAACAATAATAATCCGTAAGAATTCATAGCTAAAGATGAAGCGCTTAATGAAGCACTTGAATATGGTATTGACGCCACCCCTGAATCTTGAGGCATGACCATGTTGCCGAGGAGATTCTATTCACGGAGTAAGTGACAATTTTCAAGGTTTCTCTGCAACCCATCGTTATCCAGATCGATAGGAGATGGCGACCTTGACTCATTTATTTATAATAAACACAGTAATGAAAGAGTGTAGATGGACGGAAAGAAGTCTTCAGTTGACGGTGGGGAGGAAGCAAACGAGGCCCCGACGGGAAGAAAGGGTTTAGTCGATAGGGGAGAAGCTAAGACCTTGGGAAAGGGGAAACACTGTGAACATTACAGACGACGAGAAGGTGGAGATTCGTGGAGAAAGAATGAGACTCGATTGAGAAGGATCGTGAAATATTACTCAGTTTCTTGCAATCCGAGAGAGGGTCGAGAACTGAGGAGTAAGGATTATGGCATATAGCAGACGATTGCTGCTCCTTCGAGTGCTGTTGAATCGGCAGGTCGTGCGAGAGTCTGCACAGAGTGGTGCTCCTTTGCCTGCATCTGCAGCTCTCCTGCATACTTTCGGTGGCGTCGGTGCGACAGCTAAAAAGATCGCCCCTCCCAGGAGTCGTCTGACTTGGGTAATTGTGCAATATGGCTTTATAACCTTCACCCTTGATGTTTCTATGGTTCAGTTGTATTTGCTAATTAGTTTTCAGTCTCAATGCTTTGGGACGAGATTTTGTAGAGAAAACGCATAATAGAGATATCTGCTGGAGTGATGTCATTCTCGTCTTTATTTTCGTTCAATTTTGGACTCTGCGATGAACGCTTGTTTCTCGGTGTCAAAGGTACTCTTTTCCGTGAATTTCTGACTTGATTTAATTATCAGAGACGACTCTTGACGGGAACCGTGTTGGGTTCTGTCATTGCTAGTGGAGCATATGTTGGGACCAGGGACGAGGCAACGATCAGGTACTCAATTGATTCGCTGGTCTCCGCATACGTTGTGTCTAAATAATTGTTGAAAATATGATGTCCTAGTGGAAAGTAGGTTGTTGGGTTTTGCAGACTATTCCGATTGGGGAGGATGGTAGCTGACTTGCCGCTTTGATCGCAGTGGATGGGCGTTCGAGGGTTCAAAGTTGGCAAATCCACTTTTCAGATTGTTTGATCCTGAAGATGCCCACCGGCTAGCTATCTGGGCTGCGTCTCAAGGTCTGGTGCCTAAGGAGAACAGACCTGATCCAGCTATCTTAGCAACGGAGGTGTGGGGGCGCAAGTTTTCGAACCCAATTGGCCTTGCTGCAGGTTTTGACAAGAATGCGGAGGCAGTAGAGGGGTTGCTCGGGATAGGATTTGGTTTTGTTGAGGTGGGCTCTGTCACACCCGTTCCTCAAGAGGGCAATCCAAAGCCTCGAGTTTTTAGATTGCACGAACATGGGTAAGCATGTATGTTACGGATATTCTCAACCTCTTTTCGTAGGAAATGGATTGATCATAGCTTACTTTTGCAATCTATAGATCTATGCCGATTATACTTAGTCGGGTGCCGAGATATTTAGAGATGGCAGTGAAAGCATTCCTACTAAATCTGATTGCTGACTTGTGTTTGTCGTTCCGGTTTAGGGCTATTATCAATCGATACGGTTTCAATAGCGAGGGTATTATGGCAGTCGCGAAGCGTCTTGGTGCACAACATGGGAAAAGGAAATTAGCAGAAACAACCAAACCCGCAACATCGATGTATGCTGACGAAAAACAATTTGGTGGAAAAGCTGGGCCCGGTATCTTGGGTGTCAATCTTGGAAAAAATAAAACAAGCACTGACGCTTCATCGGATTATGTACAAGGTGTACACACTTTATCTCAGTACGCAGATTACCTGGTATGATTTGCCTTACCTTTTCATGTTTCGTACCTGAGTGCTGTCAGTAGTTTACCACGAATACAAGGAGATCTGCTCCACATTTTTCTTCACATTGCAGCTACTGGACTTAGTTCCACAAGGCCTCTTCATTTCACGCATTCCAGTCACCCTTTAGCTTATTATCCAAGCTGAAAGTTTGAACTTTTAGCTCGTTACCGATTATCGAGATGACACACTTTCTCTTCAGAAAATTCCACTTAAGCTCACTTACTCACTTATGACCGTTTTACAATCCTTTATTAATTAACTGCATTTGCCAAGGTCTTATTTTTCATGCAATTTCATCTATGTCAAGAAGTCACAGGGATGGGATTTCAGGAAATCCACTTGAATAGTCCTTTGAAGAAGGAAAGGCAATGGGATTCCCTAACTGGATATCAAATCATAATTAGTGCAATAGCTATTGCTGCTTACTGCTTTGATCGCATCCTTCCTGTCAACTGTGTTTTTATGGATTTATCGTTTTCGTTTCCTGCAGGAGAGTAAGATCTGTTATTTGAATCGGTTGGTTTCCTGTAGGTCATAAATATCTCATCTCCCAATACCCCGGGCCTAAGAAAGCTTCAAGGGAGAAAGGAGCTCAAAGATCTCATTAAGAAGGTCTGCTGAAAGCTCACTTGTAGACAGTTTAGCACATTCCTTTCTTATTATCACGATAAGAGCGAGGCTTGTATGCACGTAAGTATCTGGTGCGTTTCATGGAATGAAACTACTCAGTTACATTGACGTGGTCAGACGCCGAATGATGAAGCTGGAACTGCATCTGAACTGTAGCTCTGTTTGAACGGTTTTTTTTTTCTTTCTTGAGTTATTGAATGAAAACTGGAATTTAAGTTAATTGAAACTTTTGAAGGTATTGTCAGCACGAGATGATATGCAGTGGGGAGAGGAGGGCCCACCACCTTTGTTAGTGAAGATTGCACCCGATTTGTCAAAGGAGGATCTTGCTGATATAGCGGCGGTAAATTTATCTACTTTGTCCTCTGCCTTTTGCTAGTTATCAGCATTTTCATCTTTATGTAGATCATGTCTTTGATACTCACAGGAAGTAAAAAGTTAACATCTGGGAGATATTGGAAACTTCTCTTGAAACGTACTTGGAAGTACTCTTCCTAAATTCAAGTGAATTATGCCATGCTGAAATCTTCACTTAAAACACTTCATGTATTATCATATGATCAAATATATAGATCCAAATTTCTGAAAATATTGACTCTTTTCTGGTGGTTTGCAGGTTGTCCTCACGCTTAGGGTAGATGGACTGGTAAGAGTCATTCTATAATAGTACTCCAGAGTGTGTCTTTGATCGTACTTATGTTTTAGTGGAGGCATTGAAGCGGTTGCAACAGGGCCATTTAGCACCAGGTTTGGAATTGTGCACAGCACAAGGTGGAATTCATGATGAGGTTTATATATACCCAGGAATGTGAGATAGAAATGTACATAGAACTGCACTGAATGGGCAGAATCTCGACTTGATTTGAGTGTTGGTATATATCATTGCGTTTTTCCTGGTTCAAGCAGGTTATTTCTAACACAACTGTCTCAAGACCGGAGGAAGTTGGTAGTCATATTCATGGCAAGGAAACTGGTGGGCTTAGTGGGAAACCTTTGTTGGCGATGTCAACAAACGTCTTACGGGACATGTTCCAGCTAACCAGGGTATGTGTTAACTGAAAGCTGATACACAAGTGGGCACTAAAAAATGTTTTCATCACGTTTGCTGTTGCTAGTTTTATTGCAGATAGCTGAAACTTAATCTTGTTTTGTTGAAGTCCGTAGTGCTGACATCAAATCTCTGGTTGTTAAACAGGGTAAGGTTCCGTTGATCGGTGTGGGAGGAGTAAGCAGGTAACACTTTTAATAACCGTACTTTTTTTCAATGCCCTACCATTCATCTATCAATCAGTGCCGGTTCTTTTATATGAACAACTGACATATCATAGCTTTGGAACTACCACTCATTACCTTCTAACCCTAGACCTGAATGAAAATACTGTTCTGTTGTTGGTCTTGAACTATTATATATGGATGTCCTTGCAGTGGAGAAGACGCTTACTTGAAGATTCGCGCTGGTGCATCTTTGGTTCAACTGTATTCCGCTTTCGCGTACGAGGGTCCTGCATTTATTCCCAGGATAAAGGTCAGCCTGCCCGCTTTCCCCACTTTGACACTACCAAGCTAGGGTCAAACCTCATAGGAGTATCACAACGCAGTCTTCAGTTACCTGCTTCTTGGAATTTAAGTTGTCATTGCACTTTACTTCTATGAAAACATAATTAGGTATTTTAAACTTGACGTGGGGTGGTTGGGTAAATGCTGGATCAACCACAGGGGCATGTGAAGCCCTTTTGGTTATCATGTACTATTCTTATCTCATTCATCTTGAGCTGTCTGTTTGTGGAGCAGGCTGAGTTGGCGGCATGTCTTGAGGCCGATGGCTACAAGTCGGTTTCAGAGGCCGTAGGGGCAGATTTCCGATAGCTAGAAAGGGATGTAGATCAGCAGATAAATTGAAAGAGAGTGCACGGAAATATCATTGTCTATTGTGAGGGTTGGCTGGTCACTTGGGCATGTTCTGCTTCAAAACGATACGAAGAGTGGTTAAGAAGCAGGGAAAAAACGCTTCAAGTTGGACAAGCTCTTCTTGTACTGACATTGTTGAAATTCTACGGGTTCTCGAGCTGCTTGGAGTTTCACGAGGAGCACTAAATATGCAGCACTGGTGCAGTAACTATGAGCTGCACCAGCCAATTTTGCAATTTGCATGGGCAGAGACGGCAAGATGCCCCTTGAACTTTTGGGAATACTCTCCATCAAAGGAAGGAATTTTGTGAATTGGTGGACTACAAGGGAAGGGTAGTAAGAGGGCAGGAGTAGTTCCAGTTTTTATGAAAGAAAAACTCTGCATTTATTTCTCTCATTACCACTAAGCCACTCTTTATTAAGATGTTTACTCATGGTGGACAATCCTCCATCGGTTGTCATCTTTTAACCGCTTGATTTTACGTAGTGGTGCTATTTTATTTTGGAACTATGTAGAAGTTTTGGCGTCGAGAAATCAATTAAGTTTACACTAAAGACTAACACGATTACGATACTTACTGTGGAGCTGGCATAGTGATTCTTGATATCAACTGTCATCTACAGGGCATTTTTTTGTCTTTCAGTAGCCAAAGGCATTTTGAGCTTGCTTGTGTTGGAGAATCCTTCTCTTTGCTCGGCTGTGACGAATTTAACTATCAGACAGTTTGTGCTTTGTATTATGGTAACTATCTCTGTAATTATATTGAACCAACCTGGAAAATCTGATGACCCTGATACATCGGTGGTGCTTGGCCACTTATTGGTGGTGAATCCTGACATCCACTAAAACATATTTCTAGTCGAGTTGACTTCTCGCTTGAACTATTTACTTCTTTTGTCACTCACTTCTTTGTTGGCGAACTGGATATTATGTTCAGATGCCCAGTCTGGATGTACACAGCGAAGGAGATCGTATAATATCTAAGTGTAATCATACGTATCCAAAGACCAAAGTGTCTTTGGACTTGATTTGTTTCAAAGATTCATATCAATAAACTTTGTAGAGGTTAGAAAGCGAAAGGTCTGTTATGACATCCGACGTATGCGTCATTTCTTACAAATCATCTGGCAATCTTCAAGAATGAACTCAAGTTTACCGATATCAATAAATGGGGTCCGACGATCAAATTGTTGATGTTCGGAGCAGTTGCTGTGGTCTACTTTATGTGATATTCATTTGATCACCAGCATCGCCCTGACATGTTTCAAATATACACCGAAAATTATACAATTCCTACTTATACCCTTCATATTCTAAAAGGAACATTGGAGACACCTAAAGTCATGTTTCTGGGTTTGGAAGCCAACGTGATATACTTTCCCCATTGGACGCAGAGTGTCCTTCTACACACCGAGCTCAGGCATTTGGATCAGGAATTTTGCTTAACGACCATGTAATCTCGAAGTGAAAGTCAGTTTGTAAAATTTCAGTGTCCGTCATAAATTCGCTTTCATACACCGTAAATATCATTTACATGAATTCCTACATCTGCATTTCAACGGGAGAATTCTCTTACAAACTATACTTTAAAATAAAAAATCGGCACGCTATATTTTCTTTGAAGATAATTCCTAAGAAACGAACCACAACTTTAGTGTCAGGAACACTTTCTGGCAGTGGCCAGGTTCTGGGTTGATTCTCAGGCTAGGCTCGGGGCAGCCCCTGGTGTATGATTAGATTGGGACCCGGATGCAGATGGATGGAATGCCTGGAACAATTTATACTTCCAGGTTGAATTAAGCTCTCAAACATACACATAGATTTCTGGTTGCTTCCAGGACTTCTCAAACGTCGTATATTATAACTATTTACTCCTATATTTACTCCTATCTTGAGTTTTCGATACACATAAAATGCATTGCGGGCAAACCGGAAAAGACAAGGATAGTACATCATAGGTTCACTCCATACCATCAGATTCAACAACATTCTGGGCATTAGCACTATCCGGATCATCCAGTCGAGTGGGGCATGAGTAGAACCCAAGCTGGCGAAGGGAAAGAAGAAACTTGGCCATGATCCCAGCGTGCATGAAAGACATGTTGAATTTAACACGAACCGATAAGTGATTTCACCGCTCTCAAACACAAACTCCGCGCATGATTTTTTTATATTTAGCTCAAAATATGTCAGATAAAATTTATATTAAATTTCATTTGATTATTTAATGCTTTACTCACGACTTGATCTTTAGCAGTCTGGGACCATCCAGTTTTAGAAAGTAAATTTGCTATAGAATAATAAAAAAATTTGCTATCACTTTGAAAGAAAAGATCAAAGAAAAAATTTCACCATCTGAATATACAATCCAATCGTGAGTAGGAACACTCGAAATTGCTCAATTTGCCTCCGAAAATTAAGAGTTTTTATTGATTTCTCCGGAGTTGACTTTCTGCATATTACTATGAATAATAACAAATAAGGAGACTTGAATATCCAATGACGCAATAAGATACAAGAAAATAAATAACGCGGATAATCACAGATTTGAACTCTTCCGGACTTGAAGCAACCTATAATGTCCCAAATCTCCACATAGGTGAGGCCAACAAATATACATCTATTTGTCTTCTTATCCTTTTGATTTATCAAATCCTAATTTGGGTAACCAAGGTGTATCACAATCTGGCACTAGACAAAATAGCCGCTTGTGGATATTTTAAGGGAATTGCTAGGCACACACACCCCCCTTGCTAGGCACACCCCCCCCAAAAGAGGTATGACCGCCCGTGACCTTAATAGCACGCTAAGATAGACAGAAGTAGCCGTCTCACTCGCAGAGGCACCATATCATTAAAGATGGAGCCACCGCCGCTTGATCGCGTCTACGCGTCGTTGAAAGAAGTCGAGACGAAGATCTTTGCCTTTGCTCACAGGAAGGGGTACAGCTTGAGTCGCCTACGCTCCAAGGTCAACAAGGACGCAGAAATGCTACTTTTCCCCCTTGTTTGACGAAGCGCTGGCATGTTTCGACGCAAAAATGTTTAGCTTTTGGTGTTTTGACGCAAAAATGTGCTTTGTGGATGTATGCAAAGGAGCGGGGGTGTGTGCCTAGCAATTCCCTATTTTAATAGGTACAGAGGACACTATTTTTAAATTTTTGTTGTTGATCTTGAGTTGTTGCAGCGCTCGATAAGAAGCAAGTACGGAGCCCATGCAATTAAATTATTACCGTTCTGCAAGTTTCACTACTACGAGTTTATGGGCCCACCAAGTTTCACTTTGTTGAGTCTATCAGGCAGACTTCCAAGGTCGTCTAGTTACACGCCCGACAAAAGAGGATTGCATTTGCTCAAATCATTCGAGGAAAGATCACAATCATGCCAAATTACAGCATCATTAATTGGCAATCAAACTATAAGACGCAGGGCCTAAGGCTCTTGGTCGCACAATGCTTCTTGATTAGTTTCCTCACTTCATCTGAAGGATGAGATGGCACTTACACTTGCACATCTGATATCTGATACTTGCACGTATCGAATGTGAATCTTATACATGCGATACGTATCGAATGTATAAGATACACAGCAGAATTTGAGCCTCTAATATGAATGTCTTTGAATAGGATTTTTGCATTTCTGAAGGCATTGTTAACTCTTAATAGACTAAGCAAATGATGCCTACAAGAGCGAGGAGGTTATGCTTCCTAAATCATCGGTAGATGATGCATTCAGAACGTCGTGCTCAATACCATATGATCGAAATCCGGCTCAGAATGTATTGCCAGTATATTATAGAATATCAGCCGGCCAGGGCCTCTCGGGTGTGAAAGGCAAGTACTTGCTCTTTGCATCTATATCGACCTTCCTAGAACTCAAGTCATAAGATCTGATTTACTTTTGCACTCAAGCTGCTCAGCTCAGAAGACAGTAGGCACGTGCTAAATTTCAACTGCACGAGGTCATATGCTCGATCTCCTCATTCCCAAAACCTCTCTCGTGTATTGCTGTTTGTGGTGCTTATTATCCTAACCGGCCTCACGGTTAGTTCTGATATTGTCTAGCTTTATGTAAACAGTCAGGTTCAGATTGTCGTCAAGGCCCGCTTGTTCCGAGCTCGCGGAACCGTCGCCAGAGGAATGCGAAGACCGGGATGGTTCCTTTCGGATACCACGTATTGATGCAGAATGATCGCCATTATGACTTCGGCTTGTGTTGAATCCACGACCGCCACGTGCGCCACTCTGGGAGCCAGTCCTGCCAGTAGATCTTTCGTCTTTTTTGGATGTACTTTGATTACTGTCCGTGGATTCATCTGCTGTCCATTGCGAATTCAAAGTCAAATTCTCGAAATCTACCGGCAACTGTTGTGATGAACGCTGTGAATGCTCGTCCCCGTAATGAGTGCTATTCGAGCTGCTTTGGTCTGAAGATCGGGTTCGCTGTGAGTTTGATTGGATGGACCCACCTGCAGCTGATCCTCGAGGTTCAGAACTGGAAGATGTAGTGCTTAAATCATAAGCAGAGCTTGGGCAGCTGTCACTGCTGGAACTGGTTGAGCCACTACCTTTCCTTACGGATGAGCTCCAGGATCCGGTTGCGCACATGTAGCATGGATTTAAAGAGGTGCAGCAGTTCCTGCAGGACTGAGATTTTGAGGATAGGGGAGACTTGTTCCTTGATTCCCCTCCTTCCGGATCCGCCGCTCCACGGCGGCGAGTTTCTCCCGCATTCACCAACTCTTGGTCAGCACCTGGACTGGGAATGGCGAATGGGGAGAAAGACTCGAGATCTTCTAATAAACTTCTCACATTCACTGGAGATGCGGTGGTTTCGTGGCCTGAACGGAACGAGGTGTTGCTGCTCCTGGACCTGGACTCGGCAGGCGACTTGAGCGTATCTGCTCTGTACAAATATGACTCCGTCGACATTGAAGCCCCATCTGTGCTGGACTCAAAAAAAGAAGTGCCCTGGGAGTTTGAAAATTCTTCTGAAGAACTGAGCTGGGACTGGGAATTGGCTATGCCTTCGCACATGGAGAAGGAGCCAGGCAGAGCTACTAAATTTTTGGAATGACCGTCTGAAGGGGAGAAAATGTCTTTTGAAGAAAATTCTGCAGCTGAATCATGGTACGAATGAGTGCTTCCCACCGACGAGGAGGTGTCCTCTTGCCAAGATTGGTGATCAAAGTCTTCATCTTCAGACTCCTCGACCTCTTCCTGACAAAATCACAAGGCGTGAGATGGCTTCTGCCCATTATCCACTTCCTACCTAAGCACTCAATGATTATTCACTCGAATCTTGTGAATGACCACCGATATCAATTCTTCTCACTCAGACGAGTACATCCTCGTCTGTGACATTCCTTCACGATTAATATTACCTCCGGCACCTTTACGTCGTCACGGGAGCGCATGGCCAAGGCACGAGCGACTGTAAGGGTAGAAGGCGTTGAGGAGAGTTTCAGTTCACCGAAGGTGCTCCTCATTTTCTTCAACAGCTCAGCTGCATTCAATAGAAGACAAGAGTTGGATTCCTCGACGATACTTTCCTTCCCGAGAAAACTTGAAACAAACGAGTACATGGGCAGGATGCAAATCTTAGAGCGGACTTCTGCAATACGACATGCTCGCAGTCTATACCATCAATCTTCACTGAAGGCGGCTTTGGGCTGGATTTGCTCCGAAAGAGCGTGAGCTGAAGGCAGTACACTTCGTATTTTGTTCTAAGAAGACCAGCTCTTCTCTCACAGCGTCGGCTCAAGGCGAGCAGATCCCATTGTTCATCTGGAACGAAGAGCTGTTTGGCCACCCACTGCCATTTCCCTCCTTTCGGATGTGTACCCTTAATATCATTCTCCCAGCTCTTCACGGCATCCAAGAGCTGGATGCTCTTGTCCTGCTTCCACCTATACGGCCCCATAATTCCCACTTACGCCTCTCCTTCACCTGCACTTCACATATCTCTCGTTCAGGCTTTACCAATTTATTTTAGCGATTCTCTCTACAGTCAGTCCGCACAAAGAAACAAAACCCCCCCAGAAAATCCTTCGATGTACATCTTGCAAATTACGAAATATCTTCGTCTCTTGGAAATACGTGAAGTTTAAAACAAAAGTCAAGAAAAAACCTTCTATTCTCGTCTTGCGCCTCACAAAATACTTGTACCAGACTTAACGAGAGTTCAGAGAAATTCAAATGCAATTCCAACTGCTGCGCATGCCAGGCAAGTTGAGGATAGGAGGATTCATGTTGCTTCACTAATTACTGTGCCTGCAAGGTATCTTGCCGGACGCAAGAAACAGGCTTGAAGCCAATAATCTACAAATGAAAACATGAGCTCAATTTTTGGGGCTTCGTAGCTATGACCCTCGTGGACCGGCAATGATACAATTTCTCCTTTAGATATGTTCACGTCAGCTGACATTGGACGAGCGGGACATTATATCTTAGATCTGAAAAGCAGCGCCGTCAGGGAAGCGTACGTCGGATCGCGCGTGCAGTGATCGGACCCATACCTCCAAATATTGCCCCAGGTGAGTGGTCTCTTCCGATTGATTCGTATCGCAAGAGCTTGAGCATGAGTGTATGAAGTGAATCTACCAGTCGCGGGCGTGCCTGAAGCTTACGAGCATCTAGACGGACAAGTATTATCGTGGCTGTTGAACCAGGATACGCTTGGAGCTTCCAACAACAGCTTTATGGCCGCTCGTGGCCTTTCTCGAATCGTGGCTTGACGGGACAGCCGGGAGTCCAAGCGTATCTGCAGCGTTATTCTGCACGTCGATGCTTTGAGTTCGATGGTCGTTTGAAAATTTGACCTTCCATATTCGCTTCACAAGGCGCTCCATCTACGTTGGTACTCAGAGACTCCGAAGAGAGTATATGAATATAAGCATGCTTCATGTCCACCTTATTCTCTGGAGGTTTTTAATGGTCCAGCCCACTGATGCATCTCTTCAACTCATGCTTTGTGGTTAATGAGCTCGCAAGCACTAACTCTTGACCAAAAAGCGCGGTCGTGATCTATCGCTGAAAGCTAACCGTCGTAGCTCGGTCGGCATGTGCAAAGTGAGATTTTGATGAAGACCATGCCTCAGTTTTTGTGCAGCATTGAAACGAATCATAAGCTGGTGCTGGCAGCTCCTCGGGTGGAAGCTAAATAGATTCTTCTGGCAGACTGTTGGTATTCTGAGGTAAACCCCTTCGCGTTTCGATAGTCTTGTAAAACTGGACACTGAAGGGAATGAATGTAGTTGATCGTATAGTACTGTGAAGAATGTCTGACCCAATGGATGGTTGCTGATCATGAAAATCTACATCCGTTTCCTTATATACAAGGAGAAAATTGTCAACCCTAGTTTATAACAGAGTTGACCACGATTTCTATATCATAAATGTATAAAAAATTTGAGGATATCAAGAGGTGTCAGAATAATAAAAATTGTTGCTATGGAAAGCGGAAAACTAAAAAGCTTGGACACTCACTGAAGGAAATGGCCATAATGGAAGTCATTATTTTGGATATATAAAGATATAATTTTCATTATGATGCTATTGGTGGCTAGCCCGGTAGACTTTCATACTTCTTCTGTAAAGGGTTGGTGGGTTTTATCCATCCCAGTACTTGGACCCTTAACTTGAACTGTAATGAGTGAGGTTGCAAGGCAGGGCTAGTGAATGGAGTGAAATCGTAACAAAGATTTGATTCAGGTTACAGTTGCGGTCTACATTGTAGTGGAGGTGATATCTGCTTGACATCTTATGGAATGGGGGCCAAGTAGATAAAAAAAATATTATACGGGGATACTCCATCAATCCAGACCTCATTGAAAGTGCCACTTTTGCCACCTTTTCGTTAATTGTGGCAACAATATTTTCTGAAAAGTGGCATTTGAATCATTTGTATTGAAAACGATTTTTGTGAGTCTTGGAACCATAATAGATTGAGCTTATTTCACGAGAAGTTCATAGAAGGTTGTTTGTTAGTCGTGGCTAACTTAGGTTCCGCTCTCATGTTATGTTCAACGTACACCTAAAGCCATTGATATCTAACGAGAATATAGAAAAGTCCATGAATAGGGGTCATGATTATTCACTATGAGTATACTCAAAGCATAGAGCGCTAGTACTTTGAGAATAAATGAGTTCCAGGTTCTTGGTTCTTTTGGTTCTAACAATGAGTGTATTAGATCTCAACTGAATAGTTCCAACTTCCAAGATCCACAAGACGTGAACTGTATTACTCTCCAAAACCTCAGCCAAAGATGAGTGACATCAACTGTATTCAATCCTAGGATTGGGAGAGGAATTTGGTTTCATAACCAGAATATTCTGAAAATAGAGTTTTAGAAAACTTTTACGGCATATGTAATATTTTTTCCTTTTAAAAATTACATCCATCAGATGATTATGCCTTACTTCAATTTCTGTACACAATGACTCATAAAAAATGATCCAAGAATTCTATTTACAATCACTTACAGCATATTGATGGCAATGAGGTCTAATGCTTGTTTGGTTGGGATAATTACATTTTTTCCATTTTCCGTCGCTCACTTCATAAATTTTACGTAGTGCTTGCAAACTTTTACAAATTTACGACGTAAAGCTTCAATGACAACCAAAAAGTCACTATAGTGTAAGGCTAAATTGTGGCATCGGCCCAACTTTAACTGAGGCAAAGGTGGCATTTTTCAATAAAATGCCACTTTTATTGAGTTCTACATCAATCCCAAGTAGTAAGCAAATTTTCAACCTATGAGTAACTCCAAGAGTATCACGATGAAACTTATATAATTGATACTTTAATAATTTTGTAATTTTAATATAGATAAAAATAAATAATCGTCAAAATTTTATTTACCTCATTTTAAATTAAAGTCTATGAGCCCTATCCATCAATGGAGTGATGTTTTAGCTAAAACTTGAATTTAGAATACACAGAAGTTGTTGAAATATCAAATTATATTTCCACAATCATGTTCTCAATTCTTATATGAATAATCAAGACTTGAATATTCATGTGCACTAATTGCACACTGACATAAACTTTCACATACACACCAATGATCTCATCCACAGCCACCATTGACTTGCAAGGAGCAAAGCACACCACGATGACAGATAGCATCCGCATCCGCAATACACTCAAGCGCAAGGCAGAATTGCTGAAGCTTGACGTAGAGGAGGCAAATACGACCAGCAAGCGTCTGTAAACAGTCAAGTATTCGTTGATGAAAGACTCAATAGTTGAATGATTCAAAGGTCATCAAGGGCGTGTACTCTTGAACGGTGACTCTGTGTGTGAAGCTGTCAAGTAGATGCTCATCCGCTTGTATCCGGATCACAATTCGTTCAAGTTCTCAAATAGTTGGCTGGAAGCGTTCAAAAAACGGCATGGCATCCGTTTCTATCAGCGCTTTGGAGAGAGCGGCAGCGTGAACATGAATCTCATCTCAAGCAATCTTTTACACTTGCGCGAAACACTTGACAAATACAAATGAAAAGATATTTACAACATGAATGAGACTAGACTCTTCTTACGGATGCAAGTTAATGTTGCTTAAAAGAATTCTTTCATGGTGTGCACTTTCCAATTGAAGTCTAAGGCTGTCTACATCAAATGTCACGCTGATAACTCCCTAGCAACACAACAATTGGAGGGACGCAAACAGAACAAGGAGCAAATCACGGTCGTTGTCTGCTATAAAGATGACGGCAACAACAAGCTTGCTCTCTCCATCATCAGAAAGTACACAAACCCCAGATGTTTCAAGAACATCAATCGTGCAAACCTTGGATGTGAATATCGGAACAACGCCAAGGCTTGGATGACACAAAAAATCATCCTGGAATGGCTAAAGTACTTTGACCAGCTCATGACTACCTGAAAGATGCTGCTAGTTCTTGACAACTGCAATGCTCACATCTTTGTAGACGAGCTTCTTGGTCACATCACCTTGCGCAACACAACGGTTTTCTACCTTCCTCCGAACACAACATCAAAGATCCAGCCATGTGACCAAGGATCATCTGCATCTTCAAAGATCACTATCGTCGCTGTTTCAACCGTCTACTTCTTCAACGTCTGGATGACAAGGTGGAGCAACAGGAGAAAATTGACATTCGTATGGCGATGCTAGCATGGACTATCGAGGTCAAGCTGGAAATTATCACAACTGCTTCCGCCATTGCAAGAATCTGTCAGACGCAACTGGAACTAGACCTCATCAAGGTAAGGTAAAGGGTTACTTTTAGGGTTACCCAATAAATTGGTAATTGATAAAGGCTGGGCTATAGGTAAAGTAACATGTAGAGTAATGATAAAGCTGAATGGATTACTCGGTAATTAACGAATAACCCTTTACCATTGCAAAAGTCCGCCACAGAGTTCATGACGCGGCTTGTCAAAGCGTGAAGCAAATTGTCGAAGCAAAATGAAACAAGTCAAAGCGTGAAGCCAGTATACTGCCAGTGTTGAGCAGCAGAGTAGATATTCTTGATTAGAAATGTTTAGTTTACTATCCACACTTTTCACACTCGGTGGTGAATTTTCAAATATCAAAACATCTTTGGACACAAAGATAGTTCTTTTCGTAGGTGGGTTTGTACCAGATTTACCGTAAAGTATAGTTCATTTATCCCGTTTTTGGGCTTCAATGTTGGTCAGGTGTTGTGACGCACATGGAATGCAAGCTTAGAGGCTCTAATCGTAATGTATTGGTAAATCACAATTGTGATACACATAGAGAATGTGTATTTAGTAATAGTGTACATTATCATTAGGTAAAGGTAAAAGTAAAAGTAGATAGTAGTGGTGCGGAAAAGGTAAAGGTAAAAATGCATTACCCGGTAAATTTTTACCTTAACTTGCCGAGGCCTAGCTAGAACCGTGCTAGTGCAAGAGGACTAGGTCATGGATCTTGCAGTTGTCGAAGAGCTGGAGTCACAAATCAATTAGTTTTGGTATCCAAACCTGATGGACATAAGGAACCTGCTCATTACCCAGTTGAGCAAGAGGTTGACTTCATTCTGAGCATCAAGGATGTGGTCAAAAACCAGCTTGCCATTTCCAGTGACAGCCTCAACTGGAGCATATGAAGCAGATGATGACAGCTTCAAGCAATCCAAAGTCATGACTGCTGATGCATACAGAATGCTTTAGACGATGGAAATTTTCTGGCTGCAGCAAGAAGAGGACTCCCAAGACTTCATCCGTATGCTATAGGACATGAAATATAAGGTAAGCAAAATTTGTGTCAACGAAATGGTTCAGAAAGATATTTGCCACTTCTTTAACCTATCATAGGTAGTTTCCATAGTTTCATAAATGAATCAATAATTAATCAAGGGAGCATTATTAATTTATGTATGGGCCCAAGCTCGGGACAGACCGTCGAATTAATCTATGGAGGATTAATTTAGACAGGTTCTACTGTATCATTAAGATGTCAATGGAGACTACTTCCTGGATTTAATCAGTGTTTCATGTTTATAGTTCTTGTATAGTATCTTTTTATACTTTAAGCTATTTACTCCAAATAATTTTAGGTATAATTTTCTACCATAAACATTTAAGTTAGTATACAACAACAATTTTTTTGTGTTCATCTTACTATGTACATCTCACAATCAAAATTGCCAATGTTGAGATTTTGCTTCTAATTTATGCTGTTTAATTTTGCACATTCTTTGTGTTTATTATTTCCAACCAAAGTTAACGTAACCCTAAATAAATGAACTCTAAAGTATATTAAGTTACTGTACATTAACAATGTTTAAAAATTTGGATTTCAATCTATAGTCAATTTTCGGAAGACACTATCTTGGAGAAATATCCTCTCAACATTTTTTTAAGTTGATTACATTTTCTTGTATTTTAGAAATTATAAGTATATTAAAAACTATCTTTGAGATACACCACTATAATCTTATATAAACATCTAACTATATATATGGCAAGTTGGAATAATTTAGGTGTAATTGAAATTGTATACTTAAACAAATCATGCTTATAATGTAAATGGTTATAACATTTACATACTTTTCTTGTGCCAAACAACCAAGCTTGCAATTGTCGAGGGTAAAGATACTATTCCCCTTATCCGCGAGTAATTGGAGAAAGTCGATTTGATAACTCTAATGATCGTCAAGAAAGTGTGAATGAGGCAATTAGTGTCTTCATCTCTTCTCAACCACAAACTTAGATTTTTAATTAGTTGCAAATTAAATCCAATGACTGTCATGGACACTTGACTATTTACAGGAAAAATCTAAAAAGTTAGACATACCCTCGGTAAAGGAAATTGTGAGCTAGCAGGATTCAGAGAAACACATTTACCCGCATGCTTGATGCGTTTTCTGAAACTCTGCAAAAACGCATCCTAACTACATGCATTGCTTTTCACTGCACACATCATCACATGTTTTTGCCTTTAGGGTCGTAGACCTTATGTATTGCTCATAACTACTGTACATGACAATCGCAATGGTGCAATGATCAGTGCAAACTCGATTGAAGTCTATCTACTTGCTCCTGCAACGCTCCTATAGTTTCCACTTTGCGAACTCTTCCAAGAATCGTCTGACTCATGCCACTCCTCCTTGTATAACTTCTTTGGCAGGTCTAGAAAACTTGATACTCGGGTCTGCCTGAATCCTATGTCTGGTACAAGAGCCTGTTTTCTGTGCGTAATGAAACTGCAAGGGCACAGAACGACGAGCAGGAGCAATTCGTAAGTACAAAACAGCAGGTACATGCTTGAAAAGACAGATATCTGAAAACAAAGTGTTAAGCCAAAGAACCGGTCTTTAAGTGGCCAATCTTACAGTTGATTTCTAGCTCTAGTGACTCCCACGTAAAACAAGCGTCGCTCTTCATCAACATCCCCTCGAACATGAGGTAATGTTCCTTCTTCCAGCCCTGAGATGAAAACATTGTCGAATTCCAGTCCTTTGGCTGCATGCAGGGTTGAGAGTTTAACTGTATCTAATTTCTTCCCATCCTGCAAACATCATCTTGGAGCTGAGTTACGTCTGCAAACTTTCCTTCAAGGAATCTATAAAACTTGGATGTAGGCAAGTATTCGAGACAAAAATCAAAAGACGCAGTATAGAATGTACATCAACATCCTTAATTTACACATAATAGTAATGGCAGGAAATGGTGTTTTGAAAGTTCAAGAAACGACTTCAAGACACAGTGCTGTGAAACGCCGACGTCGTTCTACACACCTTTCCTACTTCCTCTGACTCTGAATTGAGAGCAATCGATTCAAGGAACATGGCAAGCGCAGGCCTTCCACAGCCATGCTTATTTGCCAGAACCTGAAAGAACAATCAAGAAGCATCCATAAGTTCTAAACACGTATCTCCAGTTTTCAGTAAATGAAACTCTCGAAAGTATAGTTGCTTAAATAAAAGTGCTTACAAATGAAAGATCTATCTTTGAATGAAATAAAACTTTGGCACAAGTTCATTGAAACTCAGTTCCGTTTTTGCATCTTAAAGTGCATTGGGAGTTGTTATCTCCTGATATTCCGATATATGTTCCTATAAGTTCTGCTCTATGCACGTCTTTGTAACGTGTGGCATCAGTCCAAATGAAACACCTGAAATTCTTCGATATGCCCTGTGCGCTTCTCACCGTTCTCGTCTGAACCCTCCAGATGCTCCAAGAACTTTGTCCTGGAAGAATTTGCAGATTTTGCTCCAATTTCTTTCAAAAATATTAAGGAAGATGGGCTAGCTCCAAGGGCGTTAGCAACAGCTGACTTAAGGAAGAAACAGTTGTATACATAGCAAGAAATTAATTCGAATTTCACAAGTTACATGACCCTCTGGATGAAGTTTACTCATTTCTACAACCTGAAACTCCATAAAACTAAAATTGTTACACGATGGTAAGATTAGTTTGTCGTAACAGAGCAAGAGCTTCACATTCGAGTCTTTCTTAGCTTCAGCAAAACAGGCTGATACACAGCAGCTAGGTGCAAACGTCTTGCATAATGCCCATTACCTGCTTAAAATTTCCTGAACAAGCATTCCCACAGTAAAATCTTCGCTGGAACTAAGTTCCACCAGTTCGCTCACGAGTTCACTAAACTCCAGTAGAGACTTTCTGTACACATTCAGTTCATACACATTCTTGTAATAGGAAGAATAAACATGGTACGCAATTGAAGCATAGCACTACCAAGTTGCACGAAAAAGAGATCCGCCTTGTACAAAAAACGGGGACCTTCAAAACATACTATATTTGATTCTGCTATACACTTGCCTGGCTTTTGCAGTGATCCCCAAGTCCTTGTGAGAAGGTTGCTCTTCTATAATTAACTGCAGACGAGAGAAGTTTAATATTAAAGAGTGTGGATAGATTTTTTTTAAAACAACAAGAGTCACCACTGAAGTCATTTTTGTTTTTCTATCAACACAGAACGTGCTTCGAGCTTAATGTCTCAGCAGCTTCCAAGAAGACCCACAGTGGCCTGGGAGTATGAGAAGATGTTAAGAAAGAAAAAAGAGCTGCCAAGTTGAAAGCAATCACAAAGATCATCTACAATCAAGCGTACAATCTGAGAAACGACTTGTACTGCAACAATAAGTTCTAGGTGACCGATGTTATATATCCAAGAGAGCGAGAAAGCATGCCCGTAACCCTTGTGGAAGTGAGAGGCTCCTCCCTAAAGCCCACTCTCGAACATTTTTTAGCGTAGTCGGCCCAAGTCCTGTGACAAGATTACGGAAGTCAGAGGCAAAATTTCTGTTACAGTATTTGTGATGAACCAATTATTAAGGACGGAATTAAGAGAAAACATCTGCAGATTCAACCTGTTCCTTTGCGCGGGCATCATCAAGGATAAGGGAACCTTAGTTAACATTGTAAATTCACCTCGAGGTGGCGTATTGATTACGCGCTCCAGAGCAACCCCATCCTCTAGGTTCCACACTAACTGCAAGTATGCACGTAAATCTTTAACCTCCTGCACAAAAGTTTGCAACGCAAGCATGGGTTACTGACGGACCTCTGTGCATCCATACTTGCAATTTATAAGGCCTCTACAAAACCGTAAGTAGTCCTAGACGCCTATAATACAAGGCCCACAATCCGCTTTGGTGCACCTAAATTCAAAGCGAGAAATCGATCACTGTTACGCAAGTGTCTGCAGCTTACGGAACTACGAGTTAAAAGACGAGGATTTTCATCCTATACAGGCCTTTTGGACGTAGCGCAAGACCATGATTCCCACGTATAGCTGATAACTTTCTGAGTAGTCAACAAGAAAACTCGTAGCTTGTCAGACAACACGCACCTTGTAAGACAGTAAAGATGTAGCTCCGCTGATAGAATAAGGAATTCCATTCTCAATGAACATCCTTTCAAATGTTTGTCCCTGCACGTGTTCGCTTACCGCTTTTTATAGCAGTTCCTCATTCATTCACTCAGACCGAACAGATGATACCAGAAACGTTTGAATTTTCATGTAGCACTCAACAACTTCGCATTGCAACTTGCTAGAGTTAGTCGACACCGATATGCTTCTATAAAAAATGCAGTAATCAAACAAGCAGAACTCTCCGATTTATTGATGGAAAGGGCAAGCATCTCAGTTACCTGATTTCGTGTTCGGTACAGAATTCCAAAACTATTATACGAAGCCTGCTTCCTCGAGATGAGTGATCGTATTTTGTTATGAATGTACTTTGCCTCTTCTTCAGAATTTTCGAAATGAGCTATCGTTACGAGTGCACCACCGGCCTAGTGAGCAGTCCAAATTGCCAAACATTTCGAGTTGACTTGCTTGCACAGCTCTAAACGAATTATAGCGGATCAGATGATTTCTAATACACGACATGTGCCTCAAACTACATTTGCTCGTTGCATACAAACTCGCGGCGCCCTTCGTACCGCAAGGACACAACTCTTGGCTCCAAGAAAGTGAGAAGAAAATACAACACCTACTTCCAAACAATTAAAGTGAAAATGAGGGGATGAATAGAGTAAACAACCGCTTCTAATTCTCCTGTACCTTCACGGGTTCCAGCTTCAAAGGCTTTAAAGAATTGTTGCTCCTAGAAGATTGATTCATTATTTCTGAGGCCAGTGTCAGGATACTTTGAGATGAACGGTAATTTCTCCGCAGCTGTAAAACTCCCACAATTGGGAAGTTCAGATATACTGCACGAAGTGAGAATACTGCACTTTGAGGTCTTTCCAAAAACTTCGGAACTTTGTTCCACTGATTCTTCTAAAAGAGACTGACACTTTAAAAAATGACAATTAGAAGAGAGATAAACTTGCTACATTCTCAAAGAGGTGAAACAGAGTGAAACACCCTCTGCCAGCAGAATACTCTTCACCATTTTCTTCAAGGAAAGCTTTGCTAGTAGAGTGAATTCCGAAGAAGAATACTCTAGATTGGCAATAAAAACATGAAAAGGTTCACCTCGAGAGTGGTGAGTTCTGGAAAATGACGGCCAAGATCTTGCATATTTTTGTAGTCTGCGCCCCGCCATCCATATATGGCCTGCATCTCAACAATGAAAATTAGACAAGCGATCTGAAGCTCAGCGATGAACCAACGCTTCTTAACTTTCGTTCAGTTGATATCAACAACACTTTTCAACGATCTCGGATTGAAGTTACTCATTTTCTTCAATAGAAGCGATGAAATGATCGTCAAACAAGAACTTGCGGAATCCATAACCAATCACTTCACTCCTTTAATTCACCCCAGTGGACATAAAATTCTCCATTTGACTTTGAATTGCAGGTAACAATCGAATCTAAGACTTTCCAACTTGATTTGGAAATCTTACAGTTTTAGACAAAACCTGGGACAATGCACTTTGCTTCGTTTTAAAAAACAACAAAGGAAAGTTCCCACCTGATCCACGTCTCCAACGACAAACAGGTTCTTATTGTTCATGCACAATTTTCGCACGAGTATATACTGGGCCTGTGATCAGTTCAGAAAAACCACGAAAAACTGTGAGGATCCCAAGTATAAGTGCCGCTGCAATTGAAGATTCATCTTATTTACATAGTTTACAGGCTTCGATACAAACCCAAAATAGGCCTTTATCCATGTGGATTCCAATATATGCCCCTTCTACTAGCTCTTCAGAGGCCCATATGAAAGAGGGTTCACCCCTGACTTTTTTAGCTAGCGCTGTTTTTTGGAAATTATAAACGTGCCCACCCTCAGCTATCCACAGAGGTTTAGCTCCCGCCCTAACGTTCAGCTAATGCAAGTTGAGTCACGAGTCAGGTGCAACAATTTCACAAGAGTAGATGAATAGACGAGAAACGTCATAAGTATAAGCACAGGATATTAACAAGAGTAGAACCTGCAGGAACCACGGGGTAAATGCTACTATCAAAAAGAGGTTGTTATGTACGCACAAAACAATCAGACCGGATTGACACGCAAGAACACAGAACTCAAGCAATCGAACAAAAAGAAATAGACGTCATGTAAAGAACGAACATCACAAATCACGAACTACAAACACCGAGAAAAATACTGAGAATTCCAATATATAAGGAGTGATTAAAGAAATAATCTGCTTATCAAACAGAAGTTCAGGAGCTATTACCAACCCTAAAGTGGTGAACACCATCAGGCATCTACTCTGGCAGAAACCGAGACGAACAGTGTAGGCTTCACGTTTGCTTCTTAAACTTACCACATCCGTATCCTGAAACTCATCTGCAAGAACGTAGCTCCAACGTTTCTGATATTTCTGGACTTTTCCGAAAACACAAAGCAAATGAGATCAAGCTGTCAGATTGATTGTGTTGCAACTAACTGTTACTTTTTACAAACATCTGGTGGGTAGAATTTAATCATTTTAAGACCCTTGGTATCTTAAGAGGAGAGTGCTGTCGAATAATTAATAACACTAGACCGCTAAATAACATTTGCTCTTATTGTTACCTGCAAGAATGGGAAACACGATACCGCTAATTATTCAGGTATTCCTGTCCCTTTCATCTTAAGCCAAAATTTCTCCCTTCTTTCGTCAACTGTGTCTTCCGTTCAACTAATAACTCCCCAATTCTAGCGTAGTATAGGTTTTTCCATCCAAGACACATATTGACATCGAACTTTCGTTTTGCACCGATTCATTCTGGTCCCATAGACCCTAAGATCCTCGGTAACTTCAAATCTGATTTATGTAGACAAAGGATAAGAATCGGTATGAAACGTGATACGAAGCAGAAATATTAAGAAGATCTGTGCATTTTTCATAGCCGTAGCTTTTATCAAGGTAAAACCGAAAAGTTGAGTCTTTGAATGTACCTCCCAAAATTCGTTTTTGAGATAAAAGAGGCGGATTGTAAGGTAGATAAGGTCATCGAAATCTACAGCATTGTACGTCCTCAAGGCACTCTGAGAAGAAACCACTGAATGGTGAGAATACGCTCATGGTGGTAATTCACACTTTCATACGCCAATACTTGAGCATATTTTATATAAGTTGAAAATCTCAATATAGTAGAGCCAAAGTTCAAAGAAAGATGCCTTCTATAAGATATGTTGTAAGCTATAAGTGCTTCTTTGCGCCAGTACCTGGTAGCGTTTCGCCAAGTGCTGAATCTTCGTATACTTGAAAGGCATCTTAAGAACCTGAGAAGATTGACTCCGTTTCAATACGAAGTTTTTTAACTCGAACTGCTTCAGTCCCGCAATCAAATCCAGCGTTTCCTGGACCTCTTTGGTCGGAACAGAGAGCTGCTTTTTCTTCTTCTTGCTTCCCAGTTCTTCACTGGAAAGCTCCTCCTTCACAGAATTGTTACCTTCGGTGTTATTGAGAATCTGAAACAGACATGTTAAACAGAATGTCAAAGAACTGCACATTGCACTGCACTCAGAGAGATTGCATAGCCTGACGACATAAACTTTCAGCCCTGCCTGCACGGGGCGATACAGCTTGGCAAGGATGAATTGATCCAAAAGAAGAAAACACACAACAAACAGAGTGAACCTCTCCTTCAAAATCTTAAGCTCTCAAGATTATGATCGACCTACGTTTATAAACGCGATAACATGTTTACCTCTTCTAATATGGCTTTCACCACTCTTCCAGCATCTTGTTCATCATAGATGACAAAGTCTTTGTCGACTCCAACCTCTTCCTTTGTTGCAATCTCCCGCAAGACGCGTGCACAGACACTATGAAACGTTCCTATCTAGAAGACATGATAAATTTGGATTGTCAAGATGGTGCACAGTCTACGTAACTCGAGGACTGATGTGAGTATGAAGAGTTGAGTTTCTCCTCGCATTTCATATCAACAATTAGCCCGAGAATGCTTTCACTGATCCACCTCTTACGAGAAAGAGCTACTTCATCCAACAAAGTCAATTTGGTTGCTTACAGTAAGTTTAGCAGATATCTCTTCACCGAGCAGCTTCCTCAGTCTTTGCCGAAGCTCATCTGCTGCTTTATTAGTGAATGTTATGCACTGTTCACAAGTCAGTCAACGATGAGATGTTGAAATTAGTTAGCAGTCTCCTTCGTCTCGAGGCTAATTTAGCGATCAGAACGATGATTTTGAAAGAAATTTACCAGCATGTTCGACGGGTTAACTCCTCGCTTTTTTATAAGGTGGGCTATGCGGCAGGTAAGTACAAGCGTTTTGCCAGAACCCGGGCCTGCTAATACCCTCACACAATTTGCTTCAGTTTTGACGGCTGCTGCTTGCTCTTCGTTCAAACCAATTGCGGAAACAATTTGTCTACAGTATCCTGCAGGCACTAGGGTAGTAATTCTGACTGGAAATAGTCGAGAAGGAAGACGCAGGTCCACAAACGAGGAAAGGCTGGACGTTTCAACTCGTCTACATTGCGGGCGCAGAAGAAGTGAGGTTGTGGCAGGCACAAAGCGATGCCCTTGAGTCCAAACTACGCGCATCATCCCAGGATGAAACATCTTTGTACAGCCACAGCTTCCCATGTTTTCGCAAATGTCGTTTCCGGTGAGTTGACAAGTAGAGCCTAAACCCTGCTGTCAACAGAGACCAAGCGCAAACGCCCTTCACGTCACAGCAATGCTGGTCTTCATCTTGCAGTCCTGGTCCACAAAATTCTGAACCTTCCAAGAGTACGAGAACAATTCAGGATCACCATCAGTTCACGCTCCTGATGGTGTCAAATTCTCACCTCGAATGACAATTGAATATCGTAATTCACATTCTACTGCACGCTCTGACCCTCTCAAGAGCCCGGTTCATAAAAATTGCGCCATGCTTGACCGCTTCACTTCCTGACAACAGACGTTTGCTCTTCTGCATATTCCCAATTGAATTACTCTGTCTTTCAGCCTCTTGCATGAATGTATCATCAAACAGAATTTACCGGGTTTTTAGAATATAAATTCTGCTGACTGAGTCCTATCAGCCACTCAAGCTAGAAATCCAGACCTGAATCCGAAATGTCAAGCCTGCGCCAGAGACACAAGAAACTGTGCCTTGTCTTCTCGATTCAAACTGACCGATTCTCGATTGAAATTCACCAGCGTCTGTCCGCCCGTCCTCGTTCACCATCTCACTGTACTGCACGACAGACTCGAGGATTGCATGCGACTGCTTGCTTGAGATTTATCCGAACCGGATGGTGATTAATTCCAGTCTCTGTTTCGCAGCTGTCGATGAGTACACATTCGTCATCTCCATGTCTCTCGAACAAATTGGTCAGACCGCCACCGTACAAAATTTGTCCATGCACAAGTCAGTACAGTACCAGTAAAAGGGCAGAACTCTGGCCGTCAGACCGGATGAGTTGAGCAAGTGACTCAAGTCAAGCTCTCGAGAGTTGAAAATTGAAAATCGTTTGAAAATTTGATTATACCAAATTTTCTGTACTGTAAATCCTCGATCTTATCATTTTATCAGAACCTTTAGTCATCAACTTTTAAATGTGAAGGATATGGAAAGAAGGAAAAGGACGTGAATGAGACAATCCCTTATAGAAATTGGACCTTTATGTAATATGAAGATAAATCACAAGCTTTTATTTATATTTATTTATTTATGTGTGTAAAAATGATAGATAATAATTCTACTGACATGGTTTGAAATCATGAAGAGTTTAAAGTAGAATACATGGAGGGAGGGAGGGATAACTAGACAGAGCGGCACAGCCAAACACTTCGATTTCGTCCGACATATGACAGGAAGAGAGCTCGTCCTCGGATACATGTTGAACTTTCAATCTGATGTTCATTTAACATCTGTTCTGTAGAGAACTTTGAAGGATCAGCCTGAAGCACCCGTTAAATGATATATCATAGACCCAAGAAAGGGTCCATGATACATCCAGAAAGTGGAAAATTTTCTTTATCCGGTGTATTAGTCAGCACAAGCGGCAGAAAGCTTCCATCGTCCTGCTGGAGATGCGGTGTTCGGAACCCAGTCGTAAAGAGTAGAGAGGGGGACCTTGTTGACCCATGAAAGGGGCCAGAGCACATTATCCACCATGCCCACCCTCAGCTCGTAGAGTATTAGTGCATCCCAAGTACACTTGTTCAGAGTAAATGTAGTAACAAATCAAGTTGTTTGGGCTCCAGCCCTGGAGGAGCATCCTCTGGAAACAGCGTGCACGTCAAATCCTTGACTGGCATCTGCGTGCATACCTCTGGATTTTTCCGTTTCTCTTGCATTGATGTACTTGTTAATGAGAGGTTGATCGCTCCTTTGCATCGTCGGGGAACGTTTGAAAGAGAAGTAATCTCGAACTCGAGCCAACGAAGTTTCGCGCGGTCCTCAACTTCCAGTTGTTGCAAGTTCTTTCGTAATAGTTTGCAGCTTCAGTAAGACATTTTCTGGCACTGAATGTCTGAAATATAATGTGCTGAGTGCAATCCCATCTCTGTAAACATACTTCAGTTCATTGTTCCAACTTGCAATGGGATAATGCACAACCGTGCTCAAGTTGGTTTCCAGAGTCAACTTCAGATCTCAAGAATTGATGCTCTCGAGCTACATCTCCAGTAGTTGTAAGATACGCTCGTGCAGTGATCGGAAGGCAACTCCAAGTTGATAGAGTGTCCAGTACTGCCCATAGATCAAAACAAATCTGGAGTGTCTCAAATCCGAAGACGAATTTGTACATCTTACTTTTGGACAGTGCTAGATACACGTGATGATAGAAAGTCTTGAAGAGTCTCATTTCTTTTCCTATGGAGACACTGCACAGGTCGAAATCAGCTGATCAAAGTGGGAATCTTCAATAAAACTTCATTACTGCTTCATTTCGCTAAGTTAACCACCGAGGATGATGACACTTTCACTCTCCTGTATATTAAAATGGTATCACCCCTTCAAATTTGTGAAAACACAAAAAAAGCTGCTTCAGAAAGCAAAGGAGAATGGTTTTACACGCCAGAGTTGTTGCGATTCTGATGTGCATGAAGCTTGAAGTGAAACCTGGAGACAATAAAATCAAAAATACTGCTGATTTGAAGGGAAGAGGATGTTCAGGTAGGTCATCTGATCTGACCGACACCCAATGAAGGTTGACAAGACTAGCAAAAGCTGCTGGTCTGGTCATGGGACCAACCAGCTTTGGAGCATCCTCAGTCGTTTACAGAATCTTATTAAACTTGAAGTCAAAGTCTGGAAGCCACATATTCCTTGAAAACTCACACTAGAAAAATGTAGATGCAATTTGCATATACTGGTCACATTGCATGGTATCAAATTTATTATGACAAGCATTGCAGTGGGAATATGATCTCCTGCTAAGAGAATTAAAGACACATTTCATCAAATTTCTTTACATCGGATGATTGATACGTGAATTTTCAAAGCAAATATGTGAATTTTATAATGTTTAAGTGTGCAAGCGTATAATATAATATTTTGAATGACTGAATTTATTCTTAAAATATAATACTATACTTCTTAGAATAATACTACAACAATATAATATAAACAATATTACATTTATTGTTTCATGTTTAAGTGTGCAAGCGTAGAGTGTAATCATACCCTAAACTCTAAACCTACCATGATGAACATATTTATGTTCATCATGGTACGTGACGAAAACAAACATATTTGATGCAGCCTCGTGCCGATCGCCCTTAGGGTAAATCTAAAGGATCTCGGTAGGAGGAATTCTTTCAAGACAGCTTTCAGCCTCTGTTAACCGAAGACGCGCATAAGAATAAATTCAGTCATCTATACTAAACTTGACTTTTTATAAATATCTGGCAAATTATCCAAAACAATGAAAAAATCTTTCAAATCAGACTTAGTAGAAATGTGTTGAGATCTGAGCTGATAGTATCTTAGGTTGAATTTTACTCAAGTGGAATTATATTTCAAAAATGCAATAATGTATGTTTATAAATAAGTAGTATTTATCTTTTTTTTTATTTCTCCCGACTTAATTTTTCCTTTAAAAATATCCATGAAAATATTGTGATTTGATGTTAGCAAGAGAGTATATTTAGTAAAAATAGAATAAAAATTAGAAAATATTCCATTATTCATAGATTTCTTGTCAAGTTTTTATATGTGTGAAAAAAATATTTTTGCTATTGTTATAAAATGATGAATTTATTATGAACGTAACATACAAGTTTATAATGTATCGAGAATTAATCAATCTTTACAGTGAGAATTTCTTGACAAGATAATTAGAACATACAAATAAATTTCAAAAGTTATGTAAATTATAAAAAAATTGAAAAATCCACATTCTCATCAAGTAATGTATAATAAATTATAATTAAATATATATAGATATATCACCTCATAATCATCCATCAAGAAAAATTTCAGATGTTGCTGTTTATTTTTTTGATAAATATATTACTTATAAAATTTGGTTGGTTTTACAAGTAAATTCCAAATTTTTTATGAAATAATTTAACTAATAATATCAAAGTTTCATGTAAACCATTGCTGACTATATTGTCGATCAATTTTTGTGATTTCATCTTTCAATTAATTATGATATGTTGTGATAATCAAAGCGAAAGAATGTGATATTGTATATTTTTTGACATATGCCTCCAATTCCAAACTTCAAGAAAAGTTCACAAAAACAACAATGTATCATCAACATGCAACTTGTGATATTATATAATGTATCATATGATTAACGAAGATATGAGTTGAAATCTATGGAGATATTTGCTTGATGGTACCACATTCAAACGTAAACTGCTTGATGGGAACCATCAAGTTTCAATTTACTCGATGGGATCCCAACGACGGTCCACGTCACACTGTTCTAGTATGAACAGACGACGGTGCGTGAGTCACACCTCGTGTTACCTTCGGCTTGTGATACTTAGTTTTGTAGTTCGCATCGCTGCATAGAGTCTGCCTTGCTAAACCACTTTCTTGGGAAGAATGGCACGGTAAGGTGGGGAAGATGAAAAATAGCTCGGCCCGCTACTGGCGTCAGGAGAAGGATAGTTCAATTTCTATGCTTGCTAGATCGAGATGATTGAGCTCTAACTTATGAACAGTTTAGGTTCGGCATCCACTTACATTCAACTCGAGATCTCAAAGCGTGGATGTCCACCGGGACAGGTGAGCATTTGAACATTAATTACGGTGTATTTTCACATTATCCAAATTAATTTATCACGGCTTTTTTATTAGAACATATTTGTACAAGAATGCATATTAGAACTTATATGTACAAGAACATATCCGTACTAGAACACCAACTATAATAACGTCCGTGGCGTACCATCCGGTAAATTGAAATTTGATGGGTGCCATCAAGCAATTTACGTTTGGATGAGATCCATAAAATTTATGGGAATTGGCAAAATTAAGTCGAATAATTGCAGGATTCATTTCCTTTAAAAACCATGATGAATGATCATGACTTCTAACATCCCACACAACGATGTACATCGCAAATGCCGGTGCACAAGGCGGTTTCATCACATGGTTTTGTGTCATTCTCTTTCCTAACATACAGATTTCTGTTTGTAGCCCGACTAACGGATCCAAATTCTGGCTGAAGAACACTTATTGGCCCACGCCGTCTTCATCTACTTCTACATTGTTATCATGATCCCTTTTCTTCGTTCCCTTCTGCTACCTTACTGAAGAGACTAAATTTCTCTAAGTATTCTTAAAAGAAGAACCAGCTCTACATAAGTTTTTTCATGCTTCTACCTATAGACATAACTCGAATCCGTCGTACGCTGCCAGAGTTTGTCACATTTTCATAACAGGGCAACAGAAACATTGGATAGAGTTCATGCCAACCGTAAATTGCACCCAAGTCCTTGTGTCAGAAGATTCTACAAGTGGAATGAACACAAAAGAAACTCTGTAAAATCCAGCGGAAGAGAACAGAGAAAGAGGGCAGCAGAAGAAGGAGATGCTACAGCCAGTGGAGAAAAGCGGCAGTCTACGAACTCGAACGCTGAGAGGCGAAGGAGAGGTGCACAAGTGCGAGACGTGTAAATGGGAGCCACGTGTTAGAAGGACGGGTATGAGGAAATCAGAAGAAGCAGCAGCAGAAGATATGTGGTGCACACACTTCTCCTCGCACCTCGTGTGGTCTCTGGGGTCTCTGGGGATGGAATTCCCACCGGATCTCCTCGCTCATTATCCACCAGTACGCTCTCGGAGGTGGATAGTCCCGACTCAGGCGCCCCAAGCTCATGACGACCAGCGCACTCTAGGGACTCGGGTCCGGGAGAAGAGGACGAGCCGATCTAAACTGAACTGAACTCAGTTGAGCTGAGTTGAATAGGACTGGACTGATTAGAGTTGGATTCGCAAAAGACCTTCCTGCTCCGGAAGTTGTGAGCAGCTCCGCTGCTTCTTCTCACATTCGCTGAGGAGACCAAATGGCTTCCGTCGTGGGATCGGCCCTGAGCCACAGCGGGTCCTGTCTCGCAACCTCTCGTGTTCACGACTTTGTGATCTCGTCCTCTTCTCCCATCGCCAGAGCTAGCGCTCAAGGTTTGTCGAAGTCGACGTTTGGAGGGAGTGTCCAGTCGCTCAAGGTCCAACACAATGCCGTCAAGATTTGCGTTTCTGGATCGCCCACAGTCCGAGCCATGGCGGATGCGAACGCCGAAGCTCCGAAGGAGCCCGAGTTTTATGAAGTGGAATTGGACAAGCCTTACGGCCTGAGATTTTACAAGGGTGGTGACGGTGGCACTTACATTGACCAGGTATTCCCTGGTAGCAATGCCGATGTCACCAAGATGTTCACTCCCGGTGACAAAGTCATCTCCACCAGGTAAGATGAATACTGTCATTTGTTTCACTGAGCTTACAGTAGATGAGATTCCGCGTTGACAAGTGCAGGATTTTCATGACTCCTTGCAGTTTTTTGGTTCAGAAAGTTGTCGTCATGGGTGACATCAGTAATATCAGATTGAGAGAAACATAACACGAATTCTGTTTCTTTCTCTTGAAATTACTCATATTTAGAATGCGCTGGCGGAGCAGGATGACAGTAGAAAATTTCCTCCTGTAATAAACAGAGAAGCCCTTACTAAAGTGCCTACATGTTGGCTGTCTCTGTCCGCTGTCAGAGACTAACACCATTATGGAATCTTGATCTTGTAGTGCCGTATTCGGAACCGAGATATGGCCCGCAGCAGAGTATGGACGCACCATGTACACGATTCGCCAGCGAATCGGGCCTCTGCTTATGAAAGTGGAGAAGAAATATGGTACAGTTTCTAGTGAGCATGAACGCTTTGATGGAGACTGCAACTTTTATTTTTCCAGAAAGAGTTAGTAAGATTCCTCCTGTTTAAACCGTCCGATATATTTCTATGGACATGCAGGCAAGCGTGAGGATCAAGCTAGCGCGGAACAACTGTCTAAAGAAAGAAACGCAGGAGCAATCGGTGAAGGGATTAGGGAGATACAAGTATGTCACTTAAGCATGTGCAATCCTCTAGCTTCTGGGAGTAATATGGAAATTTGCGATCCACGAAAATCTGGAAACCGTTATGAATTCTCTCGGATGGCTTGTTAGATGTCATGTATTCATGGAATTACATTTAGATTTAACTGTTCATCAGATATATCGAAAACGTGAACTTTTTTTTTATTCCTCTGCAGCTTAAAAGAGAACAATCATGCTAGAACAACTCTTTTGCACACGTCTTTTATACACATCATCTGTACAACGCCATGTTGATGTTCCGGTCTTGCATAAACAGATTAAGAACTACCTACGCAAAATGGAGATGAAGCAGCAAAGAGAAGAGGAGCTTGAAGAGGGACTCAAGTCGTACAGGTGCGAATTTAATCTGCCATCTTTGTTTTCATGTATAGATCTATCAGGGGAACCTCTCCAAGTTGCCATCTGTAGTACTGACGCCCAGACAAAGCGATTAGCACATTCCATCGTCCTCACCTCTCGAAGTTGTAACTTATCTTTATGTCCTCCTTGAACCAAACGCCTGTGTATCCAACACAATCTTTTCGAATTTTACTGCCTCTCCTGTCGCTTTGTTTTCAGAAGAAATCATGCCTTCCTTCACCAGAAAATAATATGTGAGGTTCAAGTTTCATGCTTACCTTGTGTTTCTGCTTGCATGAAAACAGAGCTGGCAAGTACCAGGAAGCCCTTGAGAAGTTTGAGACAGTTCTAGGGTTGAAGCCTGAATTGAGAGAATCGAGGGTTGCCTGCTACAACGTGGCTTGTTGCTACTCGAAATTGAATCAGGTATTATTATTTATCTCGCTAGTACATATGATACACTTTGAAAGACCTACTTGTTCTCACCAACGCATCCCTTGGTCCCGTTTTCTCCCGTTTTCTCTTCAGGACGCTTTTGTGACTTCCTCCTGATACAATCTCCAACTGACACGGACTCCTTTGGTGACCAGATTGAAGCAGGTCTCTCGGCGCTCGAGGATGCCATGGAGGCTGGTTTCGAGGATTTTAAGGTGATAAACATAAACAACGAAACATCTCAAGCAAACTCTCTATTCACATAGTTAGCACTCACATTCCGAAAGACTGATATCACAGTTTCCGATTTGGTTGTATCCATATGCCTGGTCGGTCTGGGAAATGACAGCTTATGGTTGTGGCTTGCAGAATATCAGAGAGGATCCAGACTTGGCCAACCTGAGGGCTTCCCCTAAATTCACTCCGTTGTTGAATAAATACGATGAACCATTCATCAATGAGAACGCTATGAACGCCATCAAGAACGTTTTCAACATTTTTGGTCGAAAGTAGGGCAAGGGAGCAAACCTCTGTTAGATATCAGCATTTCATTTACCAAATCCAGTGTTCTTCACATAGTCTAGTTACTGATATTCTTTTGAAGTTGATACATGTTGCAAAGTAACACTGTTTTCTGAGCTAATGTAGTTAGTCATGGTCTAACTTTCGGAGCGATTCTAGTTTCCGTGAGACTGCAGTCTGATGTCTCACATTCGGACCTTAGATCGAAGCATTGTAGTTATATGAAGTGGTCGAAGGAGTCAAAGGTTCATCAGAGGAGTTGTCTGACTACTCAGTAATGTCCGTTTCATAGATAGAACTGTGAAGGTCAGGTTTGTGGCGAAAGTTGCAGGACGACCCTGATGTGTACAATATAATGTTCAATACACCATTATTTATTCACCTTGAGAACATTTGTACCTTTCACCGATATCAGATATCGAACTATTGCTCCAAACTTGGATCACTTCGTTGCTACGGAAGGCAAATATCAAAAATCATTTGCCCAAGATCATGCTCTTTGAGAAAGGCGGAGTTTATAATTCTTATATCTGCCCAAATTACTGTCTCTCCAAAATGTCGAAATACCGCAAATTGCTTCTCGTTACTGAATTAAAAAAAACTGGTAAACTTATGATCTTCTGATCGACCATCAGTTGACAGTTTAATATCGTTAAATACTCTTCATATAATTCATGCAGCTTCTTCCGCGATATTATACTATACATAAAACAACTCCATTCCACTTGAGTCTCACAAGTTTTCGGCTGTCCGATAACTGTTGCTTGCAAACGACATCAACATTAAAAGCTAGAGGAAGAAAATCTCTGATGTGCATATCAGTGATACTAAAATGGTTATATTCAGAGACCTCTCCGTGTACACAGAAAAAATCCCCAGCTCTGCGTGAAGCTGAAGTATTAAATTCATCTGAGGAAGCCATACATTTGCTCTGTTCATTTGCTATATCGCGAAATTCCAACAGAGCAAAATAACTTAGTAAATGACTGGCTCTTTGCATCTTCACGTTACATTTCATAGGTATCTTTGGGACATACAGTATTAATCCAGCTTGCACAGAAGGAATATCTGCAGAGGAGAATACTGCTTAAAACGTGTAGTAAAAACTGTGAACAGAAACCGTAACTTTGAACGATTCGAGGCAAATTCGAATGTGAAAATTTCGGATTTATTTTTGCTAAATAATCGTGGACCTGCTTCTACACTAAAAAGTCTCTCTAACAAATCTGAACCTCGCCTAAATCATTGACCAATGATTGTATCAAAACTTCCTCACAGATTGCAATTGTGGTGGCAGGCCCAATACCAGAACACACCTTCGACCAAAAAGTGTAAAAGCGATCGTTTTTATGTACAGAGCCCACCTTTGTTCAGTAAATGACGAGAAAACATGATAGCTGAGAGCTCCATTTAAGCTGAAACAGTGGTCTCGGGGATAGTCGGAGCAGATGGTGGGGGAGTAACAGGAGCTGGCAACGACCCGATTCCGTCAACTTTTGGTATCACCTTCAAAGGTGGACGCGCAGGTTGAGGCAAGAGGCGACCTTTCTTGTGGAACCAATCTGGATCAAGCAAAGCTTTAAGTCCAAGCTGATTGTAATGTACCCTTCGGACACTTCCTCCGGCAGCTTCAATCGCTACTTTGGCACGCTCAGACACTCTGCTGACCTGAAGGAACAACAGAAAACATCTCAGATTTGAACCGCTTAGATCTGTTTGAGATGAGATAAGTATTTCATGGACAAAAGTGCAAAACTCCCATCATATTTACTTGCCAGGTTACTTGCAAATGGTAAACTTGGAAAGACACTAACCTCAATGTGGATAGGTAACGAAAAATGTTCGGATCCTCTTCCAAGCAGCTTCATACCGTCTAGCATCTTTTTTCCAACAGCCCCTGCATCCTATTTCCCACGAGAGAAGAACAAGTTTTAAAGAAAAACGGAAGTAAATAGTTACACATATGCCTGGTGGTCTTCCATTACTGATAACAGCTTACTATGAACAGAAGGTAAAAGTTTTACTCTAGGTTTCGGACAAGACTGTGATACCGTAATTGATCTAAGCAAAACAGAAGATTAGTAAGAAGTTGCTTTTTTCAGAAATTGTCAGATCAGAAGTTACATCCTTCCACCATCTCGAGAGTCGAAATTGGCACCATAAAGAAGCGGGCTAACTATTTTGCTGCACCTATACACTTAAGAAGATTATACTTGTTCGAAACTTCTCTTCTGTAGATTATAAGGACGGATGTTTGAGTACTTTTGCGTGGAGACGAAAAGCTCTAGATTCTTAAAACACAAGAGGAAAAGTTGCTCTCAAGACCATGTGGACAATCGGAAGACTTACGGGTTTCAGCTCAGGATGGATCGAAATAGTTTGTGATAATCTCTCTCCTACACTCCTCTGTTTGGGATAAGCTTAAATTCACACTAGAAATTGTTATTGTTCCCATACACTCCGTTAAGGATCAATGAATGTGACTTCCACAAGGTAGTAGGCCTATGTTTCTGCCGGGATTGGTGACAAACTTTTCGAAGGTTCAAATTACAAGCTGTACAAACTTCACTCACCAACACAACTTATATAAGTAACTGATGGATAATCGCCCCTCACATGACCTGGTACAAGTTTATAGAAGAAGCCTCCAACCCAGAGCTCATGTCGAATCTACTTCACTACGTTTAACGGGAAACCCTGAACCAACTCTAAATTAACCAGGTTTTAAATTTAAAGCACAATTATATACAGACGAGAGGGTTTGGTAGCGAGAATATCTTGCATCTTCATCTCCATAACCACGGGGATTACGGCATACCTTCAGAGTCTTCATTGTGATAAGTTGCGACGCATCGATCCGACCTTTGCTCACAAGCTCAGCTATTTTGTTCAGGTTCACGGGCTGCAACAAAAGAAATTCCACATTCTTATCTGCTATTTATTCATTTTCCATTCCTCGCGCTATTGGAGAGCTTCTTGATTTCTCACAATCGCAAAATATAATTCATCTTGTTCTACGACTGCAAAAGCATAAACCTTTATCAGCTCCAGTGCTACGAACGTTTCTGTAACCACAATGTGACATGTGCCATATCAGACCTGATATGATTGCCCAAGAGTGTTGGTAAAACCCCTCTTTGGAATTCTGAGCCGAAGAGGAGTCTGTCCACCCTCAAATCCTAGCCTAGGTTTGTGTCCACTACGCGCTTTCTGACCTTTGTGCCCTCTTCCGGCTGTCTTCCCTTTGCCAGATCCAATTCCTCGTCCCAACCTGGTCCTGTCCTTCCTAGATCCTTTGTTGTCACTGATCCCATTCAACGGCAGCAAACCACCACTACTCACACTCCCAGTCCATCCTTTTCCTCCTAAAACCTTCACCTCCCCAGCCCATAGGCCCGCACTGCCAGAAAATGTCGCGCTCCTGACCATCATCCACGCCCTCTGCGCCTTTTCCATTCCTCCATTCCCTGCTCTCTTGCAAATCTCCCACATTTTGCACCAACGCTACGGTGGCCAACAATCCTTCCGATCCTTTCCGAACGATCTCCGACCTGCAAATTCTACGGATTCCAAATCATGGAGATTATGGTCGAATGGAGGTGTCGAAGTTCCTCGACATTCGTTGGCACTCCACTGCGCACGATACGAGGAATCGCTCTTCTATAACCCCCTGAGGTTTCTCGGTTCCGGCTGTCCGTCCGGCTATCCATGAGCTTTCTGTCTCATTTTCCAGAGCCAAATGCGTGATTGCGGCAGCTGTTTTGCAAAGCTGAAGTGGAGACGTACTTGCGGCTACAGGCCGCGAATGTTCAAACTCTGGACCTGCAGAGCGATGGTCTGCGGCATATCGACTAGAAGGTGCAGAAAAGAAACACGGTCGAGCTCATTCCAGGTCAGGAACAGAAGTCTGGCCATTCGATGTAAGAGCAGATGTCGGAGCTACATTTCGATATAGGAACAAAGGTCGAACAGATGTGCAGTTCTTATAAGAATTGGGTAATATTTATTAATAGAAAATAGAAGTATATTGCTCTGAGTAGGTTACAGCCGTCGAAAATGGGCAATATTTCGCGGGAAGAAAAACAAAGGACGAGATCTGGGCCGTTGCCATTAGGGTGATGGAGTAATGCGGGGTCTTAGGGTTTGAGGGAGACAAGGCATACTTCAGTCATGTGATCGACGAAAGCGTTCTTTCAATCTTTCTTCGTGTTCCCGTTCGTTGCTGCTGCTGCTGCCTGTCGTTGTTGCTGCAGAGCACGAGATTGTTGGCCGCAATGGTGAAGTTTTTGAAGCCAAACAAGGTGGTCGTCCTCCTGCAAGGCCGATATGCTGGTCGCAAGGCCGTGATCGTGAAGAGTTTCGAGGAGGGAACTAAGGAGAGACCTTATGGCCACGCCCTGGTCGCTGGAATTGCCAAGTACCCCCGCAAGGTTATTAAGAAGGCGTCCGCGAAGACCATCGCCAAGAGGTCTCGCCTGAAAGCCTTCATCAAGATTGTGAACTACAACCACATCATGCCCACCAGGTATTTCTCGAGAAACCATCTACGAAAAATCTGACCAGACTTGAGAACGGACAAATTACGTGATCCTGAAGGCATTGTTATACTGATGACCCCTAATTTCACCTGTTATAACTTGTAATGTCGTTCAATTTTGCTGGGAGTCGTCCATGAAGCGTAAGGTGCTCCCTGCAATCTGTCCGAATGGATCACTTGTGGCCCTCACGACTTGAACTCTGCCCTGCCTTCGCGCCCCGACTCGATTGCAGTAACCTTTTAAGACAAGTCGATTGTAGAATCATCCTCTACCCGAATGCTTTGATACTAGTACAGATCCGTCCGTACTGCCCGGAGCTCGCTGTGGCGACCAATTTTTTCTACAATGTGCGTTCGTGGATCGCCTGCCGCTGTCAAAACCTTAACTGCGTCATCAAGTTGTCCCAATTTCTATTACGGTAGCTTAATCTGTTTGAATTGCGTACAGGTACACCCTCGACGTGGATTTGAAGAATGTTGTCACGAATGACAAGTTGGACGGAACCTCGAAGAAAGTAGAAGCCCGCAAGGTATGCCCAGACCTCAGTCTCATGTTTTTGGGTTGGAGTTATCCAGGTTCGCAGACGTAACTTGATTTGGACAATTACCAGCATTAGGTCAAATGTTCTGGTGGCACTTTGATAAATATTTTCTCTCTTATATCTCAGGAAACCAAGACTATCTTTGAGGACAGATTCAAGACCGGAAAGAACAGATGGTTCTTCTCCAAGCTCAGGTTTTAGATTACTTGTAGAGATATCCTGTTACAGCGGTTTTAGGTGACGCAGATGGGCTAGAGCCCCGATTATAAATGAACGAAACTGGATTCCCTCAGTTATCAGTGATGAACCGCTTGGCTGCATTTTTGGGGACATGTGAGAGGACAAGGGTGGATGTTTCCTCTTGGCTACGGTGTCCACGGGAAGACTTTGTATTTCTGTAACTTCACTATCGAGGATAACCTCCACTTACTTTCGCTATAGGGTTACAGAAGAAATGTGATGGATCATTCGCGAGTTCAGAAGATGATTTTGATTCTGAGGGTGGAAATTTTGTTCTACAAGGTACCGGTAGTAGTGTAGATTTTATTGAGAATGATGATACATGCGTAATTATATGGCTTGGAGCCAGAGATTTACAGTGTCCCAATCCTCTTGCACGTAGCGTTGATCTTATGCTTAGGTCAGTGATTGCAAATATATGTCAACGACCTCACACAATCTAGCAACTATCTCATAACGTTCCACTTGCAGGATGATTGAGGTTTTTGAACTTGTGATCTAAATGCCACCATTAGTGAAACTCACTAGCATTTTCGTAACTTAAGCATTACTGCAGCCCTTTTCTACGTTGCTGTGGAGTGAGACTGTCACTTGAATGAGACGCACTGAAGAACTGTCCCGATATCTTGTACGTTGTTTGACTGGCACAGTACACTTCGTTTAAGGAAGGTAACAACGTAAACGACTTAAACCGTCGTAGCAAGTGGCCGTCATCTTAAGATTGGGATTGAAGAGTAAAAATGAAAGGCATCGCTCCCTGCGACATATCGTGTGCCGCGAGGAGGAAAATATACTGTGTGAACTCGCCCGAGTATGATAATCCTGTGTATGATTCAACTGTTACGAACTGAAAATCTTCACGTGCACAGCGAAGAATCTATCACTAATAAATAGTTCATAAACTCGTCCGTGAAACAAATTATAATACCACACGCAAGATCGAACTTTCGACACGATATACTGGAACCAACTGCGAATTATGTCAACAATTATCAACCCGAAATACACTTCGGGAATACTGTTTCGGAAAATTCCGGAACATTGTGTCCGAAATTATCGTTCCGTTGTTAGACCTCATGAAAACTAACTCCGACCAGGTACTTAAATAGATTATAAGCGTGAACTGAAACATAAGCGATCGTAAGTAGCAAGTGTGCGTTCTGAACATTGAATGCGGAACCTCACAAGAGAGTACTTATACTATCAGCCGGTAAACATCCCCCCTATTCTTCACGACCGATCAAGACTCTGTGTTCAAATTCTACCACTGTGAATTGCGAAGAGTGAACATACATAGCTTGTAAGAAGTATCATGATGTGACAGCAGTTGTGTCATATATTTTGGTTTCCACTTTCTTACAAAAGTACAAATAATCAATAAGATGATTTCTTCCTCATCGTGTAGAGCATACTCTTCTTGTGAGATATTACATGCAATTTATACACTGTATTCAAGTTACAAATTTTCTTATGTCAAAGGAAAATACTTTTGTGATGTTTAACTCCGTCTTCTTGATAAATAGTAATAGACTAAGACCGTGGGACCCAAAGTGTCCCACGGTTAAAAAACACAATACAAACTCCAAACCACGAGAGAACCAAAAGAACCCCCTAGTTAATGTCTAAAGCATTACAACAGAAACTAATAACATCATTCATGAAACAACATAAATCATAAGGTTCAAGCTGTAGTAAATAATAAAATTTCTCAACGACAACCTTATGAGCCACTCTAATCCCTCTATATCTAGTACAAGTAACAAACACATGTTCTTCATACTTAATTTTTTTCCCCATCATATAGCTTACAAATACGTTCACTCTAATCCCTCTATATCTAGTACAAGTAACAAACACATGTTCTTCATACTTAATTTTTTTCCCCCTCATATAGCTTACAAATACGTTCACTGCTATCAATGTTCAGCCAACGTATTTACTCAATCCCAAGACTATAAGATCCTGTTCTATGACGAGCAATAATATAACTTAAAGATGTAGAGATCTCTGCAAGTAGGTATACTTGCTCACAATAAACAAGCATAGTATTCACAAGAAATTAATAAAACTCCATTTTAGTGACTTGTTTGCTTCAAATAACGCTGAAAAATTCCTCCTTAATACACTCGCGAAGGGTCATGGGTTACAAATCCCAATCGAGTTCTGTCACATTTCACCTCAAAGACCAATTCATCACATTTGCAAACTCTCTTGGAACGTGTGGCATGCAAGAGTAAGTCAAGAAGCATCAAGAGATCTCACTCTTTTGACATAAGTGAAAGTCAAGAATAGAGCTTCAGCCTCAAAAAGTAGACAACATGTCTTCGCAAGAAGAATAACATATGAAGTTTGAGTTGTCACACCCAATTCTTCTTGTAATAAGATCTTTTGCACCCTCTCCAAAAGCTGACAACCAATCTTCTTACAACCATTACCCCACATTTGTGTTCCATATAAGATAAACGTGAAACACTAAGCTCCTGAATAAGAATTTCCTAAGACTCCAAGACACTATATGAACTTCTCTACATCTATTTAGCAATATATATAGAGCTTTGAAACCAGTTTCTACCCTCTTTTGCACATAAAGTGCCCAACTATAATCATGGGAGAAATCAATGCCTATATATTTGTAACTCTTCACTTGTTTCAACTCTAATTCTTTGTAAAAGAAAAGAAACTTGGATCTAGTGCCCACAAGAATGAATTTTGACTTTTCCAAATTGATCTCCATATGATTTTGAGTATAAAAGCTAGCTAAAGTGTCAAGGTGTACTTGTAAATTAATGGCATCCCGTGCTAGTAATATGACATTATTTGCATACAAAAGAGCTTCGATGACAAAGCTTTCAAATTTGACACTTTTATAATCCTCTACCCACCTTTCTATATCATCTATGAAAACTACAAAGACAGTGAGTGAGTAAAACCTTGAATGACTCCAATGGTATCAAAAATCTATTTGGTTTGAGAAGTGTTGATCTTGGCCAAAACTTCAAAGAGAGGAAGACAAAGAGTACAACCTTGAATGACTCCAATTGTACTCAAAATTTCTTAGGTTTGAGAAGTGTTAATCTTGATATGAATGGAGTGATATAATGTGGCCACCGCTGCTAAGAGATTTGATGGTAGTCTAATGATTTGCAATCTTTTCCATAAAAGCTCACGAGGAACTGTATCAAAAGCTTTCTTGAAATCGATGAAGTCACAAAACAAAGTTTTTTCATTACCCTTGGACTTCTACCATAAAACACGCAAAACCAAAATATGGTCTAAAGTGTTGAATGTAGGACAAAAACCAGCTTGAAACCGCGCTCTCTTTTGACAAGATTCAGCCCATGTGCTCAACTTTGACTCTATCAATTTGCAAAAGTTGGCAAAAATACTACCCATCATGATAATCCGATTGTTTTTCACAAAGTACTTCTTCCAAATTTCTAAATATGAACAATCTTCCGTATAGACCAAGTTGAAGAAAATCCATAGACAACAGCATTTTTTAACACTTTAATGAGTATAGGTCCAATAGCATCTCCTCCCCACTTGAGAAGTTCAATAAAAAAATCATCCAAATCCTCACACTTACCATTTGCTAATTATCTGAGTTGAGTCATCACTTCAGCTTCAAAAAATAAGCCAGGTTTTACTTCACAACTTGACAATGATGCAGCATTGGAAAAAAAATATAGTTTTTTAGCAAAAGAAACCAAAGACTTGGGATCAAGAGTTTGTTTGGAAGATCGTACTACCAAACGTCTCCAAAAAGATTTGGGATTCTCCAACAGCTCCTTTGTCAAGCACTCTTGTTTCCGTCTCAAAAAAGCTTGTTTCTTAGATTTCACAAAGTCTTTGTAAAGTCTTGTCATAATAAGCCAATTGTGAAGATCCAAAGATTTATCAACTGATCTTGTCCTTACTTGATTGCAATCAAAGTCAAACCATCTATTGCAAGGAAGATTCCTAGCTCTCCTGTTTTCATGTCTCAAGAAGAACTTAGAAGTTGAGTTTTTGAGCAACTCGGTTGGTTGCAAGCTAGATGTATGTGGATCAAGGCTCCAAGTAGTAAGAATCAAGAGGTTTGATAAATGTTGACTATACAGTTACTTTTTACTATGATCTAAACAAAACTAGAGGAAATAAAAACATAGTGACATGTAGAGAGAGTAATTGATTTTGACAACAAAAGTGTAAATAGAAGAGTTGTATGATCTGATTCTGATTGAGGCTCTAGACAATCAAATGTTGAGATAAATGAACTATTAGTGGTAGAGGACAAAAGAAAATCTATGGTGTTAACGTCGATAGAGAAATAACATGTATTGGAGTGAGAGTTGGAAAAGAAAGAAACATCATCGAGAACTTTCATATTACATGTGGCTCCAAAAATCAAGAAATGTTCAGTCAAATCATTTGTAAAAAGATCACACAAGAGATTTTAGACCAAAAACTATCCTTACTTTCTTCAAAAGATGGAGAAGACAAGCAACAATCAAACCGTGTAAATTGAACTGTACGTATGTGAGCATTAAAATACTTAACAAGAAAAACTTCACCTTTGTCTTGATATTTGAGAACATCTCTTATAAGATGATGGAATGGTTGACTTTGATTGCAAGTGCTTGTAAAGTAGATCTACATGGATAATGGTGCAAAGTGATAAATTGCAAAATATATGTAAGATACTCTAATCAATCCAAGACGAAGCAAATGTTATTGATACCCAATATCTTGACTTTCCAAATGTATCATAGGAAGAAATTCAGATCTGATGAAAGTAGCAATGCCTCCAAAGCCTCTTTGTCCTTATCGATTTCTATGGTTCCAAATAGATTCCACCAAAGTAAACCCTTGTATATCCCCAATAGCATTGCTCTCATGCTTCTAAGTTTCCACAATGTTAATGATGTTCAACATCTTCCAAATTGGACGTGCACTCACATACTTTGCTATAAATAGGTCTCTTATGTTCCACATCAACACCATCAACCTCTTGGATCGCTAGGTTGATGATTGTTTTCTCCTTTGAGTAATAATAGCTTGACCATCGCTCATTTGAGTAATAATAGTTTGACCATCACTCCTTTGAATAATAATAGCTTGAGTATCACGTAAATAAACAACAAAACTTGATGCTTGAGTTTCTTTGACTTTTGCAAGCTCTTTACTCCTTGCTTCAACTTGTAGAGTTGTAAGATTAGAATCTACTCAATATCCCGATACTTAAAAATGACCTTGTTAGCTTAAGCAGTATCATGTTCAACTTGATACACAAACTTAACAATAATGGTACAAGATTGGACTCCTTTGTTTCCAATACGAAAAGCTTGAGCCAAATCCGGATAAGTACCATCAAGTGCTTCAGCCAAGAACTTCATGACAACACTCTTCAACTCTTTCTTCTTGGCTCCAGGTAGACCAAAAATCCTCATATTCATTCTACAATCAAATTGATTTGAGTTTTTAATCTTTGTTTTTGACAGAATGAGATATGAATGACAAAATATATGAATATTTTCTAGATATTAACCACTTTATGCAATCCAGGATTAGCAAAAGTAGAAGTTTGAGAATCAACCTTCTCTTGAATGTACCCAACAGATCCAAAAATTTCAAGCATGATCTTTTCAAAAAATTTGTGAGATACTTTCAACTCCTTAATTTCATTTTTTGCAACAGTCAAGGTAGCACTTTGTAACTTGAATATTTGGCGGACCACTTTCAACTCTTCCAAAACAGTTTGCACAAGATTGAATAACTTGTCTTAAGAAGCCATCATGTACTCAATTTTGCAAAGTTGTACACAAACTCAAAGCTTGAATTAACAAGTTTTTTAAAACCGACTCCAATGTGTTTCAAATTTTGCAAGGATGTGTGTCCGGCCGAATTCAATTAAATTAACTTAAACTCAAAGCTATGATTTGACAACTTTTTCAAACCGGCTCTGTTGCGGCTTGAAGTTTGCAAGGTTATGCGGCTAGCCTAACTCAATAACCCTACCAAATTTTAGTTCTAGTTGACGCTCCAACGCGAAAATATGGCTAACACAAAATATAGTCTCCAAAACCTAAACTCAAAGTTCCAATTTGACAAGTTTTTAGAACAGCTCCGTTGTGGGTCAAAATTTGCAAGGATGTGCCGGCCAAACTCAATAACCCCATCAAATTTCAATACTAGTTGACACTACAACACGAAAATACGGTTACCGCAATATCAAACTTCAAAAACTAAACTCAAAACCCCGATTTGACAATTTGTTCAAAACTACTCCGATGTAGTTAAGACTTTGCAGGATTTGCGCCCGGCCGAAGTCAACGATCCCACTAATTTCAGGTTAGATAGAAGCGCTCGCTATAATGTGATTCAAATACATTCGAAAACAGTACATTTATATTCGAAAAAAGTATACCAACTTTTTTCTTAGAGGGGATGAACACCAAAGATTATGAAGAAAAGTGTGTGTCTTGGCTATTGTGTAGATTGAAACACATTCTTTTCCCGAGAACTCGATCATGTTTATTATACTTTTCGTACAAGGAATATGTGTTTTAGAAAGATCAGTATTTTACTTGGTGGGGACAACAATCAGGGTGTGTGATTTATCTCCATGCGGAATGAGGAAACGTTTATACATTGTAAAATGAATTTTCAAAAGGAACACTCAACATCGGTGCCAACACCATAAATTTCTACTCAAAGATGATACTTCTCTTCACATGAGGAGTGCAAAGCTCATTCAAGCCATCTCTACAACAAGGCATTTTCAACTTTATAAACTAAAGCAGTCATCAAGACCAAGAATGTGTCGAAGAAACCAGAAGTGGATAGAGTGCAAGAACCAGCAGATTGGGTTCTGTGACCAAACCGACAGATCAGGTCGGAGTAGTGTAAGGAAGCTTACTGCGGGATTTATTGTGTACAACTGTTGGGAACGTCTCCAGAGCAACTCAAAGGTGAGTTCCAAGCTACGGATAGTTCTACAAAGAATTTGCCACCTAATCTACATTGTGTTGCTCGGCAGACCGCTCCGAATGCTATGATGTTACAAACGCAGTGCTTAAGAAATTTCGACTCCAGATCGCGTCAACAAAGCTTCGCCTCGACTAATAATCAAAATACACGTGCTTGAGAGTTGAATTTGGAAAAAGCAGGAACCTAAACGCCTGAATATGAGGACTTTCTAGATACACGGCTGTCTTTTAGCCCAAGTAGCGAAGTAAAACACCATCGTTACCGATAACGAATCCTTTCTTCTCGTCAACAAATCTGCGCAGATTTAAAACTTACGAATCAGCGACAATCGTTTGCAAAGACTGTGAAGCATAGAGGGCGATTTGATACTAATCTAGAAGCTTGCAAAGTTATAAACACAAGCGAGGGAAGGCGTATACTTGGAGCTCTCCAGAAATCTATGTGTACTTACTTTACAGAGTACAAGTTTGCTCCAATACTGTCAGCTGCCTTGTCACGGACCCATGATTTGCCTCCGTCCAGGGACCTGAGCAAAGTTCCACTGCCTCCTGTTGCCCATGCCTCATCCTGCAAAATAATCATATAGATGAGTTTTTATCCATCTAAGTCAACTTTGGGAGTGGCCTGAGCTGCACTCTAATCCTCATCCGCCTGATCTAGGTTGAAGGGCCCAGCAGAGACACCAGATGAACACACCTTAGTTCGGTAGCCAACATCTAAAATACCAAAACCTCTGCTGGTGATTTTGGCCTCCTCAAAGTCTTCAGTGGCCTGCAAGTAATCACAAATAAATCGAGATACATAACAGTTTAGTGAACTCACTTATGATCGATGGAGGATACAACGAAGCATTTTACTCACGATAAGGATTTCACATGGAAACCGAATCGAAATCATTATTTCATGATTTTGTAAGACATTTTGTAAGACATGATTTTTTGACATAAGCGCCTGGAAGCGCAAGATATCACTCATTGAGATAAGAATCACCAAGCTGTGTAATAAAGGATCCCAAAGAAAAGAAGATAAGAGTAACAGTACAACATATTACAAGACGTAAGAAGTGCAGATATACACACCCCTGAGCCTTTGCTGAAGTAGAGCCCTCCTCCTCGGACAACGAGCCATAGGCCTCCATCTGCTCTCCAACCCATGTTTTGGATTCTTCGAGCACTTGTCCTGTTGTGTGGCTGCCAATTCCTCTGTTTGCAAACATCAAGATGGAAAAACGTTAAGTACTATCGAAGTGCTCACTACAATAACAATCAAGGTCCTTGACTCGAAATGATAATCCGAAGACGTGATTCAATACAAGTGAAGAAAAGGGAACTGAAATTAAAGACCGAGACTTTGAAGCACTTGGTGGCAGACAGTGACTACACATGATGGATAATTGGTTTTGATCAAAGCATTCTGCAGAAAGTAATCCATCCACATTGCCGCAAATCCAGTTCTGCCTGGCAGAGTGAGTGGACTACCTGGCCTGGCTCCCAGGTGACGTAAAAGTTACCACGGCTGGAAACACCGACGTATGTGCCATCTGAGGAGCGATTGATGGAGCCCAAGGTTCCAGTGTAGTAACTTGCTCCACTAATTTGACTTGATGAACCACTGAACGACAAGAGCAAAGAGGGCGCAGATATTCAACAACTGTGTTCATCTTAGTTTGCAGATTAAAAACTCCGTCATCAGAACAAAATTCACCTTGTTCCCTCATTTCAGGATTAGGTCTATAAGACAAGATGTACGAACCGATTGAGCGTTGCAGAGAGAGTTTCCTCGATAGCTGCCCTCCAGTTCTTGCCACCGTTGGATGAGACGTAGATTGCACCCTCGTCTGTTACCATCTCGGCACTGTCCTCACCTGTGGCTTTTACAATAACCTGGAATCCCCCGATCAAAAATGCTACCAGATTAAAGAGTGATTGTGGAAGTCGTACAGAGAGAGCCACAGAAGGCAGACTTTGGCCACATTATGGTAATGAAGTACTTATTTCTCTTACATATCGACAGTCCTCATGAAAATAAAGAACGCTGCAAATAGCAAGAACGATCATGGAAAAGAAGAACTCCCCCTTCCACGAGCGATCTGACATCCTACTAGAGCACAATCTGACCACCAGAGAAAAAGAAATGCAGTAAACTCACTGGGTTTCCCGGCAGCCTCGGGCTGAGTGGAACACGCTCCCAGCTCTCTCCCGAATTGGTTGTGTGAAGAAGGATGGCTGGCTTTCCGCTAATCCACCCCTCCTTGCCCAGGAAGCTGATAGAATTGAGCCTGTAGTTGAACTCTTCATCGGGACCGGTTGGAATAGAGCGAGGTAACCATGTCTTACCGCCATCCTTGGTCTCCAAAAGAGTTTGACGGGTACCCAGCAAGAACCCTGACCAGACGCAAAGAAATTCAAAGCTCTATTAATGCAAGATTCTAGTGATGAGATAAAATCCTGAAAGGAAAGAACATTGGCACAGGAGAATGCTGGGGCAAAATTCTTTCCTACCGTGATCCGGTTCATCAGGGACGAAGGCAAGGTCGAGCAAGACGACTCCACGGTCCACTGGCAGCGGAATGCGTTCCCAGTCGGCGAGCTCGGCCTCGGCCTTGGCCTCACCGGTGACTAGAGAGCCTCCGACAAAAGCCCCGAGAGACAGACCGGTTGCGGCAGAGAAGAATTCTCTGCGTCCTAAGCCACTGCCCTTCTCCTCGGATGAGGCTCTGACAGTCTGAGACCCGGTGCTCACACCAACAGCAGCTGGTGCTTTCGACCGAGCGCAAGAGCAGAAGTCAGAGGCACCCCTGAATCCATTGAACGACGAAAGCGACGCTCCGACGCTCGATGGGGCGCTTTTCTGACCCAATGTGGCACTCGCGGGTGCCGAATTCACCACCGCAGTGCTGCTCGGCAGCAGCATCAACCCAGCTGACGCCATTGCCGCACCCAGTCCCTAAACCCCTCTCAGATTTCCAATCCTCCGCCAGTCGCACGACGTTGTCGATCGCTTCTGTCTGCAGCAGCTCAATGTCCAAGTACCCAGAAACCTTCTGCACGAGGAGTCCCCACTGCTCCAGTCCACTGCTCTGCCGGGCAGGTCTCCCTATCCGCAGCACGGCGTCGCTTTTCTTCTCGCCGGTTTAGATATGAAGTCATCCAGCCAGTTAGACAGCCACCACACCTTCTTTACAATTGTTCCATTTCGCTTATTTTCTGACGTGTCTTACTCTTGAAACGTATCATGTTGCGGGGAAAAGCAGATAATTCTCCGGGTCCGAGGGCGAAGTCGCGGGAGCGATACATTCCCTGGTACAGAAGACAGGAGTGTAGGCTCTAGGAGAATGGGTGCCAAGGGGATCGTAGGAACGGATTGAGGAGATTCCAGCACATTCGCGTTGCTTTGAAAACCTTCCACGTGTCGTCATGAGCGAATGGCACATCTGTCTGAATTACCAGTGGACCCGATTGGTTTATGAGGTTGGGAGCAGGATAAGGCCCGGACCTTAGGTTTGTATATTCATGTTATCATTCATTATGTTTGTGATCGACAGACACATGATTCTTCTTTCAAGTTCAGAATTCAGTTTACATAAAGTGTGACATATGTTGGCTGGTTGATGGGAAACTTTGGATATGTTCGGCGTGAATTTCTATAATCAGCTTGACTTACGGCATATAAACAGATAGTGGGTTTGAGGGTCTACAATTGCTCAAAAACGGCCAAGCAATTTTTTTAAATCAAATTTTAGGAATAAATCCAGTGACCTAGCTTCTTTTAGTTAAGAATAATTACCATTTAACATCATGTAAGTTAATTTTTTTGATATACTCATTACTTTAATTTTACTGTTGAAGCTTTGAGTGATTTTAGGATAAACTTTGAAATTTGCTTTCTGTATTTTCATATCATTTCTTAAAACATGGTTACTATTTCAAATTTCAAATTTAGAATATTAATTTGAAATGAAAGTTTTATTAACATATTGAAGTTTGAACTAATTGATTCATTCCAATTTATGTTTTTTACTCATAAATGCATTGTAAATGCATTTAAATGCATGTACAATCCTTCAACAATTTCAACTTGCAAAATTGAAAAAAATAAATTTAAAATGTTATTAAAATTTGAGAATTAAATTAAATAAATATGATTATGATAAAAAAATCAAATTCAAATAGTGGTAACCAAACAATTAACACAACTTCGAATGATATCTTGTTGCTTAAAAAAATTTCAAGTGAAATTTTTAATTCAATTTCAAATGTAAGATGTTAATAAGAACTTTAATTAATTTTTATAGAAATTTGTGTATCACCTATTTCTAAAACTTCGCCATTTCTTTGGAAATATGAAAATCATGTAAAAAAAATTTCATATAAATAATGATGAAAGGTTATTTGATTTTAGGTAAGGTATATTATATGTTTGTGATGTATTTGGCACACTCTTCATTCATATCTAAAAAAAATAATTTTACTTGCAAAAACTCCAAACTACTCATATTGATTTGTTGATAAGACTATATGTTTCACTTCAATCCATTGCATTAGTTTAATTTCATTGTATTGTTGAACCAGAAGAGATAAACATTTTTTCATATTTAAAATTTTATTAATTACAAATTATTTTCCACTTATGTCATCGATTGATATTGTTTGATAAATTTGGAACGATAAAGAAAAGATTAGCATGGCTCTGCGCAAGGATGACAAGCACAAATCAGAAAACATAACATAGATATAACATTTTTTTATCATCAAATTTTTTAAAGAATATTTGACACTAATTATTTCCAAATTATATTTATGTGCCGATGATTAGGAAACAAACATATCTATACAAAATGATTAGTACTTGGTCATACAAAACTTGACATACATTATAGTATTTCCAATTTTGATTCATCACATCAAGATGAAAACTCTTTTAATTGCTAAAAATACCTATATCCAAATTGTAGATATTTACTTGTAAATTTGAACATTATGTTATTTAATGTACAAGTATTCTTGTCAAAAAATAAAAAATTACTCAAATTATCAAAAATGTTGATAAACCCTAAGTCCTCAAGCTCTTTAGTAGTAAGAAATGTATTATACCCTTCACTCTCCTTTGCATGCAAATCACTCTCCACATTTAATCACATGCACATCAGTATCAAAAAATTTCATAAATTAAATCAACTATGAATTCATTCTATCTATCTTCATCTTCTAACAAAATCTAAAATATCTGACATCTTCTAGAAAATTCCAAAACAATTAGGTGACAAGTGAGAATATATGATTTGTGAAAATTGTCCACCATAATTGATGAATGAATTTCATGGTTATGTCATAAAGGCATGTAAGAATTCTTCATGAATCAGCAAGAAAGATTTTAGCGATTAAAATATGATGTGATGGGATTTGTAGATAACAGAATACATCATATATTATATTTACGGTGTATTTCAAATTGCACACACATGAAGTTTGTATGATTATGTGCAATGTAACATATATATTATTTTTGTTTGTTTTTGAGATTTTTCGTATTCGAATTTGAATGAAGAGTATGTATTTGAAAATTGTCTGTTCAAATTTGAAGTATACTATATTTTATCATTTCAATAAGTTTGAATTATTGAGTATGTATTTTACAACCCAGAAATTGTACTGGCCTTTTATGCCTTTTATGACAAAGGCACTTTCGACCAACTCTGCCTAACATTTTTTTTTAGTAAACTGTAGCATCTCCTTGAACTTAATAATTTTACTGCCGATTTTGTGTTGAACGTGGCTGGGGTGCGTGAATCATCTTTGAGAGTGTATATTTCTCCAAGGAGTGTGGCATACAGCAATTCATGATGGATCTTTCAGCACAATTTTCTACAAAGTACAATCATTGATGACAACTTTTCATTATCGGAAATCTGTTTCTTCCAAATGAAGAGGAGAGTGGATATTTTCATTTCATGCTTTTCAAGATCCGTCATAGATGAAGTCACCCGCCCTGCAAAACGTCGATTTACTCCAATTCTCTGTAATATGCAATGTCTGCATCTCGTTCCGAGTTGACATGGTAAAAATTGGAAAATCGGACAAATGAACCTGTCTGTAAAACGCTTATCACAAACAGTGGTCGACGGGAAAAATGTCATCATTCGAGACATCGTCGTGGAGAAGGAGAGACAGACCCGATAAGAGGTGAAACATTGTCAATGTCTGCGAAAGGCCCTTGCACTGCATGCATGGATTCTCTCCGTGCTGCTCGGATCAAAGGCAAGATTATAGTGTAAACACGAATATACACAATTGGTTCGTGCGGCACTACATTACTGTTATACACATTCTAGTCATCCGTCCTTCTCACACAACAATCAGCGAGGAGCTGAATGTCAGAACTGAAGGGCCACTTTCGGAAGGATTGTTATTCACATATATATACACATTCTTCCGTGAATTTAAGACCTAGACTGAGCTGCTGAAGCCTTTCATCTAGCTCTCGTCTTTTCCTTCGCAGTAGCATTCACCCCTCCCCTTCTCTTCAACGACGGTATACACGGATATTTCCTGGGATGGGGCTGACGATGGAGCTTGTGAAACCCCTCTTGTCAGCTGTGCCATGTGGCTGGCATTCATCATGACAGTCCTGCAACGCATACAATATTGTAAGCTTCGGGCAAGTTGAATGAACTACTCAATTGGCCTACTAATTTTGATTTTAGTCGTTGGAGACAGTAGATTTAGTAGTCTTGAAGACAGTTCATATGCTGTGAATGCTTGTTCTCATTGACGCCACTTCCTAATAGATCAAGAGATGTTGCTATGCCCGACTCGTGCTCGTTCCAGAGAAAGTGACCGGTACGTGCGGAAAGAACAGATCAATCGACTTCATCCGATTTCTGTGCGTCCTGATCCGATGAAGAAAAATGAAAAAGAGACATACTAGAGGTCAATCGGACTTGTAGTCTTGGTTGAGCTTCTCTTACGTAAGAGGACAGATGACCAGTGAAGGCCAAAGAAACTAGCTCCGCCGACAGGACAACTGCTGCTAATCAAGAAAGCCCGGGGAATCACGAAACCAGGTGAAACTTCAACGTTTGGGACAGAACGCTTGTAACCTTCCAGGATAGCTTAACCTTCAAAACCAGCGAGAGTTCCTTACCTTTGTTGAGCGCGGGCAATTGGGTGAAAGTGAGGGCCTTCGTCGAACCCTTCGCATGTGATTTCTCCAGTTTCCGTACGGTGGCACACGATACCTTGCTCTGCGCACCTCTCTTCTTCCTGAAACGCATGTACGTCCGAGAGTACATCCACGCTTTGGTCAGTGCATAATGCGTAAGATCTACCAAGCAGCATTCGAACAATGGCTTTAGCACGCATCGGCAGAGAACGAGAAATGGGGCGGGGAGAAGAGTCTCACCTCCGTTACTACAGATCGGTCAACATCGGTAGCAATTCTATGCATATTCACAGCAGAAGCACATGGATTCATCTTCTTGCTCTCCGCACTGTAAACAACCTGCTGCTTCGGCGACCTCACGGGCGACGATGAGCTCAAGTTACTGGACGAGGCGACAGTGCCACACCTCCTGCGACCCAGAGATGGCGCCACGAGAGAACACGAGACAACGTTCGCCACAAGGGCATTCATCTTGGCAGCCAACAAATTCCTTGCTTCCCGACTCCGAATCTCCTGCACAGTGGGCAACAAACCCTCGACGCACTGACCCTGATTTGCTCCTCCTCCTCCTCCTCCTCTTTTCAAGATGTCGCAAAGACCCGAAAGAAAACGATGCGCGAGCCTGTCATCGGAGCGGAAGCGCTGTCTTAAGAACCCCAGCTCGGGACTGTCCTAACACAATCAGATAGGATCGTACGCGGACAGCTCGCTGACCGTGACGGGGATAGTTTGGCCCGACGCGGGCCGCGGACCTGAGCAGTGACGAGGCCAACTTGGAGGGCACGAGAAAGAAGAATCTCGACCCACCGTCGTCATGATTCTTCTGCTGGCGAGACATTCGAGCACACTTCCCACGCGTCTGCGACTCCATCGCCGCGGCAACTCCGTGAATCTCCGGAGCTCCCGAGTCCGACCGCTCCTCCGAGCTAGAATCTAAAACCCCTCATCGGCGCTGCCACAGCGAATCCGCAGTCTCCGACGCAGAATATTTACAATCCATCCATACGTCAGATCTACTCCATACATAGCCTCCTCCATCCACAAGATTTTTCAATCTACGCTTGGGTCACCCTTGAGTGAGATAGAGAGAGAGACAGTTGCTAAGTGGGCATCGATTGATTCTTAAAGTGCTACAAATTTCCCACATTGAGAGAGAAAGAGTGAATTGGGCGAGTGATTATGGAACTTTTTCCGATACTGCTTTATCAAGGAAAGAGAGTGAATACTCTGCTTTAATGAGACCTAAATTGAATATAATGTAGAACCTATTTTCATAATCGTGTGAAACAACTTGTCTAGGCTTTACAATGATTCGATCAACTCAAACACATGAGTTTGGATTTTCTTCTGGTTTTTTGATAGCTCCCGTTAAATTGGAACCTATTGAAATTAGTATTAAATGGTGTGCTTATTTTAAGTTTCAGTGTTATTTTTAGACATGTGCTATTTTAATGATTACAATCCTTGGATAGTTAACATTCCACATTTGAAATGTCAGTGCGTTTTGGTCTAACGAGCGTGAAATAAACCATGACCCTTCACGGACCTTCTCGCGCATGACGTTCTTATCATACGTTTTATTCTAGCTACAGCAACTTTATTTTATTTTACTTTGTAAACTTGAAGATCTAAGATCACAAATTTCACAAAGATGTTCATTAGAGATTCATTCATGTTCATTTCACAAAACTAGGGGTTCATTCCGAATTACTTTCGAAGGCATGTTCGTTTATTCATGAGGAGACTAATTTTTCTTTTTTCTTACTATGCAATAAGTTGCCACGAGGTCTCCTGGACATGTATTATCTATTTTAAGAATTTTTAAGTCCTCACTATAATGTGTATGTTAACCTAAAGTAGGGACTCCTATACAAATAGAGATAGCAATTGCAATTTGAGGATTTGAATGAGAAATAGACTATTTTGACAGCGATTTTTGTTTGAATCACAAAGGTTTTTATTCTGTTTCAAACATATAATTATTCCAATACCGTTCAGTCATATACAAGTAGGTGGATAAACATCTATATTTGTTTCAAGATAATGATTGCAAATATGATTACATAATCTATTGAATTTAGTGAATGGACAAATCATCTTTCTAGATTGGTAGTGAACGGAGGGAAAAAGCCAGGGTTTTCATCTATAATGATATGAGTAAAGTTCAGCTCTTTGTCCCTCTAACATAAAAAGATATATTTCTGTACGTTCGTAGAGCATGAAGAATATAATATCATACTAGAGTAGTGATTTCTCTAGTTTATATGTTGTTTACAAACTTTACAATAGGCTTGAGAATATGATACGCCCACTCATCATATATAAAATGTATAAATAGATCCATCAAGCCTATTTTGAATAACTTGCATGCATTGGTGTAGAATGGTTATCCTGCATGCATTGGTGTAGAATGAGCTTTGGCTGATGCTAGACAAAGGAGAATAATCACGCTAGCTTATGCCATGTCATATGTTACAGTTCAAAACAAACAACAGCACATGAAGTTGCTGCTGTTTATTGAACGTTTTATTGGAGCTAATTTTTAAATTTTTGAAATTATATCCAACAAGTGTGATACATTTAAATACCAACTATTGGCAATCATTTAGGGGTTGATACTTTTACTCCTTGATGTCTACACATTCTTTCTTTTTTCCACTTGGCCACCCTTCCCGTAGAGGCGTCTTTTACTCATGGAATCTCGTCCTGCAGTGCTAATATTGGCTCTGCTCTAGCCACTTCAGCTGTGATGGCCCTCTTGCGTTACTCCGGTGGTCGTACTTTGCTTGAGAGTGGGTCCCGAAATTTCGCCCTATAGAAGAGCTTTTCCCTACGGCAGGGGGTACCGTGCTTTGATTTTACCATCGACAGTGTAGGCTTTGATGAATCTCCGCTGAGGTGTGCACAATTAGGATGAAATATCTACACTAACAACTTGTTTCTCCACTGGTGAAGAAGATTCACTCATAGATGACGTTGGTATGAGAGGTCTCCCTTTCTCCCACTTTATTGCTTTTTGACAAAGGTTTCTGAGCTTGACCCCAAATATATTTCAGCAAGCGATAGAGTGGGGGTGTAATGATTCAGCTCGTATGACCCTTGGGTTGGGCTCGCAGCCCCTGTAGACTTAGCTTCTTAGGTGAACATGAACAAAAATGGGGAAAAAATAGATTCATCAAGTACTGTGATTTAAGGTAAAATTTATCTTGAAGCAAACTCATAGTTTAGCTACCACGAATGATTGGGGCAGCATGAAGAAACGAACAGAAAATCACGATTCAAACTTCACTGTAGTCAGAATAAATGCTTTTCAGGTTTCAACATAATATAAAAGTTGGAAGTGAATATGAATGTGATATGGACTTGGTGGAAAGCAATAGACTTTCGTGCACTATGCCACATGCGAAATCTGAAATTCTTAATACATTCATACATTTTGTGTTCAATGGAAATGAATTTGATCTTTGTTTGTTTCCTCACAGCTACATTCAAAGTTTCATATGAATTAAAGTTTCATAATACTAATTTGACAAACATTCTGTAGATTTACTCAATGAACTTTATTATTTAAAAAAAACTTTCTGTAGACTTACTCATTTAAACTTTATTGATTTGACAAACATTCTGTAGATTTACTCATATGAACTTTGTTAATTTGACTAACCTTCTGTAGGTTTACTCATTTCAACTTTAATAATCTGATCTAACTTATGATTAGGAAAGTATATTTAATTAAAACCCCACAAAATTTCTGTAGATTTTGATAATTAGCATTTAGTTGGCCAGGCCAGTAACACATAAAATTGACTCGGTAAAATCCAGACCAGTGTAAACTTGTGAGTGATTTGCTCAATTTAATTTCTCCTCCTTTTGTGCTTTCGGGCCGGGTTTTCTTTGCTGCTGCTGGCCTCATACCCTTTGTGAAAGGTAAGGCAATCGTTACATTCTTTCCCTCGTCAGCCTTCTCGTTCGGTTATTTCGAGATATTGAGGTGAATGAACTAATACATTCAATGCATATCACTTCATTCTTTCAAAACGCCTTAGAAAGTGCAATACAAACATCAACTACTTACTCCGGGATTACCTATCAGTAAAATACTCCTTCACCCCTTGCTCTAACGAATCTGCTACTCTCACCGGTTGCCTGCCTTCTCCAATCCATCTCTTATGTTATGCGACAGTAATGTACTCAACTTCTTGTCACCGAATCAAACTGATCGTTGAAGATGTTCTTGTAGATAGATCTACATTCTCGACTACCATTCACCATCATCTTAACTTCAGGACAGAACTAAATCAAGTCCTCACTTGCAACCTACGTATAGCACACTGAAATAAATCAAGTTTTACGAACAAATTTGTATTGTGGTCAAGTTCATCTCACTTCTTTCATACAGGCAATCAATTTGCTGAGAGTTTCCAAACTTTTACTCAGATAAATTCTGAGCTTCAAAGCAGAAGTTGAGATAGGAAGCTCCTTTGACGAAAAAATGGGCTTCCGTAAGCAGCCAAGCAGTGAAATAATAATTATCGATACAGCTAAAACCCCTCATTTGTTGTGTGTTGAAAGCCAAATCCTTACGGAAATCCATCAACTCTTCATCCATCCAGCTATATAATCTCTACTTCAATTGCGGGCACAACTGTTCATTTGATCAATCAAAGACAGAGGATGATTTCAAGACCCCACACCATCCAGATTGAGAAAAAGCATGCAGACCAGCTTTGCTAGAGGGTGACAACAAGGACTTCAGAAAAGGCCAAAGTTTTCCCGCAGCAAGCGAATTAAAGATTTGATTGAAATCGCAGCAATTGAATTGCCCTTACAAGACATGATACAGACTCAAAACCTTTGATGTATCAGCGACGGCTATATTCACCCGATTGTTGTCGATAGTGCTCAGCCAATTTATCTGCCACAGGTCCAGAACAGAAAATATAAATTCATGTTTTAACCTGGAGACCTCGATAAGCGAAGGAGCAAAGAGGAAATGTTCTGCGAAGACAAAAATATCGAGATAAATGTGCCTGTTTCCTATATCATTGATAATGATATCCAAATGAGATCACGTAAGTTTACAATTAGCAAGAGCGCTAGATACATGATCCAGGAAACAACCTTTCAATCGTTCACAATTCATCGCCAAAGTCGGAGGTGACGTACGTACCTTTTTACCATGATGTATACTTAAGGTCAAAGGTGCTCCTTCTACAGCCATAGTGCCCTCGAAATTTGAACTAGCCCAGTCCCACAGCTTTATAAGTCCGTCATTTCCTCCTGACAACAGGTATCGTCCCCTCTCTCCAAACCTGGCAAAGGTCCTGAAATAATAAAATGAATATACTTCAGCCTCTCTTCTCTTTGTTCGTGCAGAAACATTGTTCCTTCAACTGATCTGACCAACCATCCACGTTCATACTGAGACCCTCGATACACTTGAGTCAGGTCCCGTTTCAGCTTCTGCATGGGGATTTCTTTCCATGAACTCCTTGCCCTCATTAAGCACTTACGAACGTATGATGTTTGGGGACCAATTTTAAATTGACCAAGAACTACAATAGGTCTGGGAAAAAGTAGTTAAAAATCTCCGCGATCTGTTGATTTGAGTTCTCATCAACCCCCCTGTGGTTCAACGCAGAAACCTTTCCATCCCGGTACTTACTGGTAACGCAGCCAGGGTCATGTGATGGAGTAATGTCTGTCAGGTAGGTGTTGTTGACGTACCCTGGTTCCTCTCCCACATTGGCTTCAAGGAAGCATACCGCACGTTGCTATGTCAATGCGTGTGCACTCATTTCTTGTTAAGCCATGTATCATTTTCTGACACGTCCATTCCACCCTTGGATTGTGGCCATTTGCTCACTTTTCAGCAACTGACTTGCAGGTTTCTATTCTGTATTCTCTATGTATGTTTGGTTCATTTAATCCGTCAAATTCTTCAGTAGGATGAACTCAGAACTACAGGGCTATGACCCACATACTCTAAACCAGTTCCAGTATAATTTTGGCCACTATCGACACTGACAGAGTAGTCAGATAAAACGGGTAAAAAGAGAAACAACAAAAGATAAGGACTGGTGATTGCATCAGAAGGTAATATCCGCATGAACCTCAAGATTTGCAGGGTACTTACACAGAGGATACAGCTGTAAGGTGTCCACCATTATCAGCACTAAGTCGACATTGGAGTCCAGATTTCAGAGCTAGTTCTTTCCTCTCACCATCCGCGTTAGTTGTTGTGCTCCTTCCGCTCTTCAAACCCTTAACCTTTGTAGGAGTCTCACTTTGAAATCCTAAATCGTACACTTCCACAGCACCATCTCCTCTGGCAACAGCAAGCAGTCGGCCCATCTCTCCCGAACTGTCTCCATGAGTTGCCAGTGCGTGAACAAAGGGTGGGTTGCACATTTGTCCGACACTGTTCGAACTCAAAATATCTAGTAAAGTAAAAAACAAAAAACATTTATGTTTTCGTTCGTGTTATGTGATTAACTCGACTGAGTGACCCGAAAGTGACAGCTACGGTAGAACAGTGGCATAAATGACGAATCTGATCTGTTCCATGATATATTCCGAATTATATTGTATCCGTAATAATTATACTCATATTCAGGCTTACCAGGGTCTACTATCTTCAGCTGTCTCCCCTTTGAAATATCCCATTTTACAATTTTGGAATCCAAACCTCCTGATATAACTGCAGCCAGACCGGAATATGAACAACAATAAGAACATCAAATTATACATGTCACTAATCAATAATATGAAAAAGTGATCAGTGCAGTACACTGATCTCAATGTTGAACCATTCCAGACAGTACTGATCATCAAGTGCTTGTCATGACCTGAAGACCATCACGCACAAGTCGAAAAAAAAACTATTCCGATGAGCTTTATACGAAAACCAGAAAGAAATAGAGTGGACGAAGTTGTAGAAAAACTGAACGAAGAAGAGAAAAGAGCACTCAACGACGAGCAAATAAACGAAGTCACATCCGATACTGCAGGTGCCAAAACTTTCGTGGTGGCAGAATGACTCAAGTTGGGGAACTAGCTTGATCTATCTTCAGTATATACGTAAAGAGCGAGAGTCCTAACACCTCCACCTCATTCAAAAAGGTGGGAGCATCATCAGCTTGCCATTTTATTGTCATCTAAAATATAACACCGCCAGGGCGGAAGCATTTGAAACTGTAAAGGTTGGGAGTAAAGCATCTATGTTCGACTACAATACCAACTTCATCGTCATTAAAGAATTTCAGAGTCCACACTTTCTTCGACAAAAAGGGTGTTGATGTCGGGAGGAGACTTACCTTCCCACGGCTTTTGCGGATGAAACTGAACGGCGCTGCATATCTGGTAGGAAAGTTAAGGCATGTACGTAGATCATCTGGTTTTCAGCAATTGTTACTTCTCTAACAAGGTCTTCTGCCTTCATCACATAATAAATATGGTTACATAACAAACACATTGAGAAATGAAAAGCATATTACATCCCTCATGTCCTATATGCAGTACACCTACTCTGATGACACTTTGACTTAACTACACATGCACCGGGTTATACCCAATATCCTGTTTCTCGTGTCTTATAGTGGATTATATACGCTGATCGTGAAATACCTAGTTCAAATTCTACAAACGTCCTTCTACATACTGGGTTTATTGTAAAACTGCTACAGGCACGTACTCACTGAGCAAACCCTAATCGACATAATCGAGACGGCATGCAACAGAAACAGCAATACACTAGAAAAATAGAGGCAAACTGGATACATTCGTGTGCACTCCCCGAAGTGTCTTGTACAGCTTGTTATTGTTTAGGTCAATAATCTGCATAACTACAAAAATCAACTATCAGAGTTTCAACTAGTTGGTCATGCTCCCTGAATAATGTCCTCCTAACCTAACCAATAAAATAACAACTAACGAAATGACAACGATGCTATACTCCATGACTTGTTGATAACTAAATGATCACCTCTGTGCTGTTAATCATTTTTAGGAGTAACAAGTATTAACGTTCGTCTCCACTTTAAATGGACAGGCCTTTATACTTGGCAAAGAATATTTAGATGATACTTAAAATGAACTAGTACAATATATAGCATAATTCAAGCAAGTCTTAATCACGTCTGGACATACCACACACTTAAGCGCCAACCAAAAGGGTGTCCCGACATCACAAGGTGTGAAGGCATGATAAACTTGCAGGTAAACTGGAGAAATTTACTTCTCCAGGAAGACACTACTGTACTTTACGGGTACAGCAGCATCTTCTCCAGCATAAATTCGGTGTGCGAGGTAAAAAAACCGACCGTCAGTTTCCTGGCTAATACCCAGCTTCGTCTCTTACGATACAGGGAATGGATAAACAGGAACTAAGAAAAGTCTACCTTTATCTCGCCTGAATCGTCCGCAGCAGCCATATATGTAGCATTTCTATTCAACGCAACCTGAGAAAATTGAAACAAAAGATGTGAGCAAACGGCGTTTACCAATTGATCAATCAATCCTAAATACAAGAGTGAAAGCTCAATGATAGCTTAAGTTTAATCATGCAAGTCCAGTTTCTTAAGTTTGAAGAGAGTGACGCTTCATTTTCAGTTGTTACTTGAGTTACAAAGATTTCTCTGGTAATGTCTCCTCACATACAACAGAAACACTGTTTTATGGGTATCTACTCCTTTTAACGGAGAAGCAAGTACGAAAGACAATATCCTCGTTTTTCTGTCCCTGAAGATAATGGATCCCGGCCACTGATCCCAGCTCTTCTGCCCCTACTTCAACTCTGTCAAAAACAATCGAAGCAGAGTAAAGAAATATACCGTACAATTATGACAGGAGAAAGTATCAGAAGAGGTTAGTATGTATTCACCTGATTGATCTCGTCCGTGTTGTGGTCATACTTCTGCAGTTCTCTGCCCGAAGATCCCTCCAAAACAATAGCAGTTGAGGACCCATATTAACACATCTAATCAAACGCTAAGACCAAATGCACTGAGAATCATTTACAAAGGTTCAAGACTGTAAAAACAGATAGAACAACCTGTTCCTCAAGCCCTTACCTACGATTTGTGGATGTGCAAGTCTATCCAGACTGACCTAAACCTCATAGAACGGACTCGAACTCGTAATAGCACAACTTCTTTCGATCCATCTCATCTCTCCTAAACACCCAAACCTCTATAGCGAACACACCGTCAAGGAAACCACCCGACCGACTTTATTACAGTTCAAATCTTGCTGGAATGATCGGCTGCAGATGAGGGAAAATACCAGACGAATGTCGAAAGAATGGACGGTATTGCCAGCAGCGCAATACAGTTGACTGCTATCTCCTGAAAGACAGCACCAACACCCAGGTACTTGTGCTATTGAGTACCCAAACAAAGACAACCAAATCATAGAGAGAGAGATATCATAAGACTGCCGAGAGCAAAAGAGATCAGTCCCTCCAAAATTATGAGAACAGGAAAGTGCAAAAAATCTTCTAACGACTGATAAACAGTACAGGGTATGTCCGGTAACTTATCAGTTCTTACGTGACTAAGAAAATAACAACAAGGAAACTAAGAAAACTAAGAAAACGCCTATCTACTTACTTGCTTCAAATATGATGCAAGGAAGATCAAAAGCAAAAAATAGAGGAATAGCTTCGACAATGAGCTTCAACATGTACCACAATCGCATGGAGAGTGAACTTCAGAGGTAGGGATAAGCTCTTAACAGCACGCCTTACATGCCAGATATTAAGTTCAATCTTGGAAAGTTCGAACAAAGATTTATCTTACGCGTATATCTAGTGTAATGTATCATACTCAAGAGGTGGAGATTGTACTCGCAAGTAAGTATCTGCAATTATACTCACGCAAAAACGATATGCGAATACTCCACAGCGCAGCGATTGAAATTTCATAGTTTCGAACACAACGAAAGAGCAATAACCTGGTAGCATATGAAAAGCGACTAGTACAGCAACTGTCGACACAGAAGGTTTGATGGATGAACTGATCACCATGCATTTGAGCCAGGACGAGAAAGAAAACACTTTGAAACTACTGCATAAGATACGATGCGATTCTCAGTCAACGTCCCATGCATTCTCATGTATTCTTTTCAAATGTGTCTTTCTAACATGTTTAGAACGAGGAATTGCTGCATCCGGTAACCTTACCATTTTTTAAACAAATGGATGTAACAGCGTCTCCACTAGAAATATTCAGGGTCACAACACAGCCTTTGCTACGCAGGTCGAAAACGCGCACACTGCCATCCTGAGAACCCAACATGACCAAGGTGAAGGACAAGTTACAAGCTCTCTTAGAAGGACAAATTATAACACCAAATACGGCCTAACATAGCAATTCTTTATTCTGCTATTGCTTATCAATTAAGCAGGGCCTTCACACTTGCTTTGTACAGTTGCTACCGTTTTCCATTGAGTTTATTGTAACTACAATGGATATGGGTAGTTTTTAGTCGCGCAGCAAAACCAGCTGAGCTCATGTAAGGCATGACAATAAGTAGGTAATGTATGCACTTCAGAAAGGTCTCATAGAACAAAACGAAAAAATTGTTAAGGGCTGCCCTCCCACATTTCCTGATTTTTCTTTCGGGTGAGATGTAAGACAACCGCATTGCGAGTGTTAACCCCTGTAAGCACTTAATAATTGTAGAAAGCACTTTGCAACTGGGAAATTTTCAATTTTCCGGCACTTTTTAAACAGAACGGGGACAATATAGATACCGATCTGGCTATATATTTCACCTACGTGAACTGAAGGAAAATTTATAAGATAAAGAGAAGGCCCAGGGCATGGAAAGAAATACTTGCAGTCACAACGACCTCTCCTTCAAGAGAATTTGACAGGACTTATCAACTGAAACGATTTCGAAGATGCATTCATCGTCTGTAAAGCATACCTCACTAGAGGAGATGACCGAATCGGGAGAAGCAGTGGGGAATTCACAACACAGAACGGAGCCAGTGTGAGCCTTCAATTTAAAAACTGGCTTCATAGTGCCGCGCGGTGGTGAACATACACCGCACGAAAATTCAACGAAACCCTCTTCGATCCGTTAAGCAATGACAACGAACTTCCATGACTCGTTTCGACGTGTGAGCGTCTGTGAGCGTCCGAGAAGCATCAATCGGCCTACCGCGCCTTCATGTCGTCAAACGATGTGAACATTCCACGACGTCAGCAAGGCGGGTTTGGCAGTCCGTCGGGCTGACAAACAAGCTGCTTCTGTCACGCAATCTACTGGCTCCGTACATCGATGCATCGGTCCTGCCATCTGGTCCGTTTCCCCAGACGCGCCACTGCACTCCGTTCGTCGTCAAGCTGGTGCCACAGCGTTCGCATGAGGTCGCGGTTCCGTGTATTGCGTGATTGCTGCGCTCCAGTTCCCCTTTCGGCGCCGTCCCAGACTCCTCGTCGTGATGAGGCGAAGGCGTCGTGAATGTCTATCAAACGAATGCGTACTCGATCCCGCTAGTCAGCGGCGTACCGTACACTTTAAATGGACGAGTCGCGCTGAGCTCATTTGCCCTTCAGGCTCAGCCAATCAGAGGCAGTCAGTGCCTATTGGCGCAGCTTCACCGACGCTTCCTGTGCCAAGTGAGCAGTGGCTGTACCTTGTATTTTTTATAATCGAGTGATTATTTATTGAATGTGTTCTGATATTTTGAATTTTCGGAATTCTTTTCATATGTAGATCCAGGAAGTTATCCTACATAATTTTATTTTTTTAATGCTTAAAGGTCAAGTGGGGCCGAACTCCATGAAAGTGTCTTCTCCCTCACGAATTTTGGAAGAGCGAGAGAGCAAAGTAATCATAAAAAATAGAAGTATAGGAAGATCCCATCATGTCTCATGTTTTAATTTCTTGAGACGATCCGAAACTTGGGTTCTGTCATTCTAAAAGAAGTTTTTTAACAGCCATAAACAAAACCGGATGTTCTCTTTGAACAGACATTCGCGAAGGGTGGGGAGGGTTTCGTGTGTGTTGTGCCAGTGGCCGGTACTGTGGTTGCAAGCATATTGTCAATGCATGAAATAGAGGGCCGCGTCACCTTTGGCAGCCACGTCAAGAAATAAAGCAACAAGTCAAAAGCAAGCATCGCCCACAATCACATCTGAGTGAATCTCGAACGGTGACTGTTTTCACTAACTGCACCAGTATTTCGAATATACACTTTGTTCATCGCTTGCATTGGATCAAAACCCTTTTTGGAATATGTGAGAGAGGTATGATTGTAAACAGGAATCGGAATAATATCTAAAACTCTGACGGTTTGAAGGGTGGTATCTCACTCGCTCTGGAAGGAACGAAACACACAGTCATGAATCACGTAGCATGTTAATTCAAAAACAGAAGAAAATATACGCACTAACATGCAGCACTCAAGAGTCGACTTTTTCAACAGCAGATTATTTTATCTATCAGTTTCTTTGGCATGTTAGTTAGCATATATTATATTGAGTATATCGATCGTTCTACATACGGTACAATCCATTGTTGAGCGCTCAAGTGATGATTTCTCGATACTTCTTTAAATTGTAGACTTTGTGAAGTGTTAGGAAGTGTTAGGAAGTGTTAGGTGAAATATCACATTCATTACATTCTTGGGGCCCTATCACCATTCATGTGCGACTTGAGGGGTATCTTTCTACCATATTTCTTGGTACACTCTGAACTTAAGGCTATCATGCATGGAGGATTTTGACGTAGCACACGATCAACCCATATTGGCTCCTAGTACGTGGACAGATATGACAGAGAATCCAAACAGAAACCCGTGCATTCAGAGCTGACCTTGCAGTCATCTCTGGAAGGAAGGTGGCACAGGGTGAGGCGAACTTTTTGAATGTGAATCAGAACTGCTTGACTTGCTACTTGATGTAATCTACTTAGACCTAACCCCTCGCTCAGTGTACACATTTCCAGAGCACGGGAGAAGTAGTATAAACATCTGAAATACAAATTCGCGATTCAGGCCAGAAACTTGTGAGCCACAGGACTTTCACAGGTGACTGGAAAGCCGAAATCCAGAGCCAGATCCACCTACAGAGGAGGAGCACAACGTGAACATGCCGTTATCCATTGCACCACTATATATAGTTATAGCTATCTCGGTCTCGCGGGGTCCTTGTGGGGGAGAGAGGCAGACCGTAGAAGAACAGCAAAGGCAATACAGACTGTGACAGACAGACAGACGACAGAAGAGTACAGGCAATGAAAAGGAGCAGTAAGGCCCATTCGTCGCATTTCTTTCCTCATGCCTTAGGCGAGTGAGTTCCGTTGAGTTTCTTTCGGCGGTTCCGGCTCGATCGATTCATTGCAACAGTTTCGGACCACGCTCGGAAATGTGGCGAGGACATGACAGGACAGGAACGGCGCTATTGAGCTGAGGCGAGCTCCAGTCAGCCACTGATTCTTGGCGCAGGGGGAGTAAATCTCTCTGATGGATCGATCTAGCAATTGAGCGGTGGAAGGAGGGATCCGAATCTGGACGAGCGATTGGGAGGCATGAGTAATGAGTGATTAAGGGAGTGTGGTTTCCGGAGGGACGATGAAGGGATGATGGATACTGGGAGGTCGGAGACAGGAGTAGGAGGCGGTACGAGAAGGAGGAGAAGGAGGAATGACGGGGGAGGAGAAGGTGCTGAGGAGCAGCTTGAGTATGAGTGGTAGGAGCAGAACTGGAGTAGGAGGGGGAGGACAGGCAGGCTCAGGAGCGGGAGTGGTTACCGGTTCTGGATACATGGCGCACGGCGGTGACGGGAAAAGGCGATGTTCGTACAAGAGGGCCACGGCCTTGATATGCGCGGTTAATGTTGTAGCAGCGCTGTATGTGCTGCACGGGCTTTTCAGTCCTCGTTACAATCAAATTCCCCACAGCGTCCCACTCGCCCGCTTGAAGACCCCCCTCCGAAATGGTGATGCAAAATTTTGAATCTATCCAGCATTTAGCGGGAAATTGAATTTTGTAGAGGCTTTACTGATTAGTCCTTCGTTGAACTTCTTCCTGGTTAGTCCTTGTTGGAGATTCCTTGAATTATGATTGTAATATATTATCCTCTTTGGTATCGTATTTTCCCGTTTACATCTGCTGATTGCGTTACTTTCAATATTCTCCCTGTTTTCATCGACAAGGTACAACCGGAAGCTGTGTGTAGCCCCAGACTGTATGATGATCTCTACCATAAGCAGGGAAAATCAATCCTCTTGTAGCAGCACTTGTTGATGATAAGGTGTCAGTTTCTTCTATGTTGTTAGTTTTTTCCTCGGGAACACCTTGTACTTAGAAAACTGGTCTGCTTAGTTTTCTGGACCGAGGAAGAAGCGTTTGTTGCCAGTTGCTTCCTACTTCATCGTTTCCATTTGATATTCCGTGAGGTCGATCGACGAAGATATTTTCATTTCCTGTTTTTGTTGCCAATTTCTCCGATCTCCTCTGATTTCGGATGAACTTGTAAGAAACCAATTTTGTCTCATTGTCCGCCCTTTCCTCTGATTCCTTGGAAACCCTCCTGGAGCCATAACTTGTCGTTTTTGGGATTAGGATCTCCGTATGTATCTTGTTGTCTTGTAGACGCACTTAGAACTTTTCCCATGTATGAGGATGAGCGACGCTGAGATATCGTATTACAGTCAGAAAATCTCCTTGTTTAATAATACCTTATGTCGTTGTCTCAGCCCTACATTACAAGCAAATCACGTTTTGATCTGTTGATCATCCTCCTTGATATGTGCTGTGGTTGCCTTTTGACTTTCATTCATCCTGTCGTGCCTACTGGCTGTTGGCAATGGCCGACTCAGCTCTATCTGGAAATCTTTAATTACATTCAAGCGCAAATCAAATGAGAGAAAGCAAGGTCATTAACTAACCATGATGTCTATTGATCTTCCATTGGCAATGCAAATCATTTTTCAAGCATTTGATTGAAATGAGATGCAATGACAGGTACTGCGCCGTTGGTCATGAAGTATACGAAAGAAGAAGTCCAGAGAATAAAAGAAGCTCATGAGGCACGGCGCGCAGCGGAACCACTCGATCTTATGAGAAGGGTACATACCTTCTTAGCAAGCCTGCTCTTTCTGTTTCATGCGAGTTTCTATCAGAGAAGGATGTTATGGTGCACTTTGGTCTGTTACTTACGTGAAACAAAAACTTGTTGTTCAGGTGAAGGAAATACAACTGGAGTCTGTAAAAGAAGCCGCAAAAGACAAGGAAGCAGAAACCACCAAGCAGAAGGTTGCTGCCGATCTTGCTCAAAGGCTACGAGAGTTGAGAGGAAATACCAATCCCCACAGTCAACAAGGTTGATCTTTCTCACTGTGGACTGACTTCATTGCTATTGCTTTTGTTCTTTACATCTAGACATTTATATAGAGGTTTCCCTCTTCAAGTGACTTCCACTTGTGAATTGTACCTCTGTCTTATGTTACCTCCAACTTCAGTGGTTCTACGGTGGGATAACCTCATGCGAATGATCGTGGTCGTTGTTCAGAAGCGTTAGACGAATGGCGCAAGAAGAAAATTGAAGAAGCCAGAAAGCGAGAGTCTGAAGCGAGAGACAAGGAGGACACAGATGAAAATGCCAAAATTGAAGCGCAAGAAGAGGGTACGAGCTAGTATGTAGCTGTGGTATAAATGAGTGCGGAACGCCTGGAGGATGTATGTTGTTATTCATTCACAACCTTGGAGTTTCTCGAGACGTTTTTTGGATGGCACTTACCAGTTCTGATTTCTTTGATTTATTTTCTTCGCGACGGTTGGACTGGAGTTGTTTCAAGGACTTAAGCTACATATTTATGCTTTCTGTCATGGGGTCGCCTGAGCAGAGGTGGTTGCCAAGACCTTGGAGCTTGGCTGGGGCCCTTTGCTGGAAGCAGCTGGTTTGACACTTCCTGAAGAAACGGTGGCTGAGAAACAGGAAGGTGGAAAGCTACTTTTGAAGGGACCTGAGATTGGTAATCAACGGCAAGCTAAACCATACATTTCTGTGTTGACTAATGTGTTGTGTTGTCAATGGCAGGTCACTCTTTGCCGTAAGATGCTTTTGTGTATCATGACGGTTGCTGGCTCATTCCAACGCTTTCCACTCTCTCGATTGTTTTAAATTGTCGAACGAGAACAGATTGTAGAAAAGACACGTGCAACCTCGATACTGTGTAATATAGAAGATAGGAATTATACAGACGTTCAATCATAATGTATATGATGTCATTGATATGGTCTTAATCCTGCTCCATCACTTGGTGGAAGACCATACGGGATCCATTTTACTTGCTCCAGAGTGGCCATCTGCTGCAATGACCTCTTAGAGCTATAGTTATGTGACTCCCACTGGATATATTCAAATCAAGTTTTTATGGAGTGGATTGTCACCTAGAAGAAGTCGGAGTGAGCGAGTGTTTAGTCGAATGCAATGAGTTACGCAAGGGTAGATTTCCATATATCAGATCATAATAGTTGTATTTTACTGGCCTTCCTTAACCTACGAGTGCCCTTCATGTAATTTCTTAGTTTGAATGCCATACCCATGAGAAAGATTGAAAGTTTATGGGTTGTAGGAGTAGCCTCTCAACTCAAGACAAGCCAAGTAGACATGTAGGCCTTGAATCAATGCTACCTTTTAAAAGTTTTCCAGTAGTTCAATATTATTTTAGTGGACAGATCACGACAGCTGCCTAAGCCAAATTTCGATAGAGTATGCTCTGGAACGTGATCCAAACTGCGATTGTTTGATTTCTTCATCTGCATCTCTTACGAGAGATTGTCGTCGCAAACATCGTTTAGACTTAGCGTAGTAAGTGTGTGCTATTTTCCACGGTTTGATGTCCTACTCCCTTTCAAGATTCTACCACCCTTCTAGAAAGGAATAGTGCTCAGGGAATGATTTTACAATCTGGATGTGCTCTGTAGTTGTTCTCATATAGGAGTTGCGACCTTCACCACCCGCAACTTTTTCCGGTGCCCTTTCCTCAATCCCCGATTTAAGCCCGTGTATTTGGTGAGACTTCTAAACTAGAGGAAACCCCCGTGTGGGCGAAGACTCATGTTTCTTCACTGACGACGAAAAATGTATATCACCTGCAGAGGACGGTATAATTCCGGGTAGAGCAGTGCCACCTGTATGCAATGCAGAACCTCACACTGACTACGATGGGATTGCAGTAAGGTGGGGCTTGACACATCACACAGAAAGTGCCGCAGATTGTTGTCAAGCTTGTTTAGACCAAGCCAAAGCTGCCAAAGATGGCGAGATGAAGTGTAATGTCTGGGTGTACTGTCCGTCCGAGGAAGGTTGCTTTTCACCAGACATATATGAGCACAAGCAATTCGAGTGCTGGCTCAAGCAGGTGAGAGATTGGTGGTTGGCTTGTGGCGTTGACTGTTGACCATTTCTATTCTCCTGAATTTATCATTTGCTGCGTTGTCATTCTGCTTCAGTTGTTTCAATAATCTGTTCCTAATTTAATAAATACTCGCAGTAAGATGTAGGTTGAGGTGTCGCGATACGCGTAATTTGGGTTACATGCTAGGATAGATATAGAGCCTTACATAGGAGGACACTACTGTCCGTTGTTGAAGTTTGCCAATCCAAGACACGGCAACTGGTACTTGCAGACTGGTCTTGGGGAACAAACGCTGCCGGCTTTGAATCGAATATACTCACAAGCTAACCTAATTTTGTCCATGATGTGCAGGCGGAAAAGCCAAACCTCAACTTTAAGGGACGATACTCCGATGAATATCGACGGGTTCACCCAACTTGTCCCCGTGTGGTCCCCTGGGTCTCGGGTGTAACGGGTGTAGTTAAATAATGAGATTCGCGATCAGAACATTTTTGTACCTCAGCCTCGGGAACTGAAGTGAAACCCCGCGAATCAAGCAAGGGTAGGGAGATAACTCATCTGTACACAGCATCATTTTTTGCCTGCCTTTTACTCCCATTCGAGTTTAGCTGAAGGGAAGGTATAGTTTTAGCGAAAGCATGACGAACCCAATTTTCAAGAGGTGTCTGATATGTTTTCTGAGTCCATCTGAAGATGAGCTCCTCTGGCAGACGTCTTTTTGAGACGAAACTCTTGTTGTAAAGTCATTCTGTTAGAACTACTTAGGTTTGTATTTCTCGCATCGAAGGAGGAAGCTCTAGAGAGCTCCGGGCTGGTGGAGAATCCCCTGGGTAATATCTAATAAAAGCCGCGTCTCAAGTCGTGTTGCAAGGACATCATTTACGTAAAAAATTTTGGACTTGCGATATCGACTTGGTAGCTCTAGTTTCTCCGTCGCCCCAATTGGATAGATTTGCGGGTAGAAACTCAGCAGGGAATCAGCTGTCGCTCTCTTCCCTATGAAAATTGGAAGAGCAAATGCGGCTCTTTCCGCAGGTTTCAGGAAAATATAGATTGTCGCTAAGCTGTCCAAAGTTAGTGTCGGACCTGCGGGTTGAGGTGCTGAGTTACTCAGCTTATCTGGCCATCTACTACAGGTGCAGGGAGGTTGATCTACGAGGCCATAAAATGTTCAAATAGGTCCTTACTCCAGACTACTCGTTTGGATCTTCAGCATGTTTCATTGCCACGCGCTCCGAGGAAACGATTTAGTTGTTTCCGGTGCAGAAGGTCCTCATGAAGTGACTTCCCCCCTGCCTGGCACCCAGCGATGTACAGTAGCTCCCAACCTTCACGAGCCTCACCAGAAGGCAGTTCCTACCGGTTATTAGGCTTGATGTACAGTACTGTGAAGGTCGAGGCTGGTGCAAGTGGTTTCTTAGGTATTATCGTGGGGAAATGGTGCGGAGACCTTCGGCAGGTTTGGAAAAGGATGTTCGTGATCTGACCGTAAGGAGATGTCTATTTCTCCCAAGAGATCAAGGTTGAACCCGCTGCCACAAATAAAACAATTTAATTTACACTCAGGAAGGATTTTACTGCCTACCAGATTTCAGATGCCCAAGTAGACGAGACAATGTGCCAACCTCCCTGTGTGCATGAGTTTGTTAATGGCGATGGAGTTTGAAGATGCAACACAACGGAATTAGTAAAACATGCGGAGAATCCTGCACACGTAATAATATACCAAAGTATGCTAGAGCGGAAGAAAGAAAGAGAAGGCTCCATCTGAAGAGGGATGGTACGATATACTGACAAACAGATCGTTGCATAGCAGTAACAAGTGATTTGGAGAAGGTAAAGGTATGTCAAGAGGTGAACTAGCAATATTAGCTAGACCTATCATGCAACATAAAAAGTTAGTTGCAAAAGATTGACGTCTCAATCGTGAAAGGTTTGAGATTAAGTCTTTGTACAGTTTGGCAATTGCCTCAAACTACCAGGATTTACGTTTGAATGCTAAAAATTGTAATGAAGCAATATTCAATTCCCAGATCGTTGCAAATTTCTATGAATATCCATGTATTTGAGTGAAATATATGTGTACCCTTTCATAACATGATAACTTCCCGTGACAAGTGAGAATTAAGTCCACATGATGTGGATATTTTTACACTAAACTTAGAAGCTGCAAAATGATTGTAAGTTATTGTGATATTACCTCGTTGATAACTGAAACGTTGATATATCAAACTGATATTATAACGTGAATCTCGTTAGAATAGCCTGATTTTTTATCTTTATAAAACAAAACTCAAAAAAGTATGAAAGGTAGCTTTTAGTCTTCGTGCTTTATTTATATCCAACTCTATTACTTTTTATGGCAAGAAAGCCAAATCAAGCATTACAACCCTCCATCTCCATTGGGACATCAATCAAATCCACTTGTGTTTAAAACACTCCTCCAGATTAACAATTAACAGAGGCTCATGGATTCATTACCATCCCTCGGCTAATTGCAAAGCTCTTCCTCAACCCCGTGCAACTTCCGTCCTTTGTTTCCTGTCTTGATCTTTCTCCTTGTAGTGCCCCATCGTGATGTGGAAATGTTCTACCTCTCCTTAGCGTTTTCTCGTTGTGCTTCACTCGCGCTTCTTCTCTCGATGGATACTTTCACTTCTTCTCTCAATAACTCTCTCTCTCACTTTTCTCTCTTCACTTGCGAAGGCTATTTTCTGCAGCCACCGAAAGTGAGACTCTTTTCTCATATCCCCTAAGCCACGTACACAACTTCTCTTCTTTCTACCACAATACGGCTGCTCTAGTCCTTAAGATACATGTAACACGTGGCGTACCAGCTTTACATGTCTCCGATCCATCAAAAATCCAAAAGTGTCTCTTGCACCAGCAGATTTCAATAATGTTTGAAAATGCCATACTAAACAGTGAAGAAGTTGAGCCCAACAGCAACATGCATTCAAGATACTCAAACAATGAATCCAATCCGGACAATTCATCTCGATATGGAGGTTCAACTGCGTTGTCACTGAAATCCCTTTGACAACCGCTCATTGAGGTAGAAAGAGCCCGAGTACATCCTGGACACTGAGATTTCACATATCATCAGACTCGACACTAGCAATGGGTTCACATTTTATTTGACCGAAACGTTGTGTAGTACAAACGTTTCGGTCAAATAAAATGTGATCCCATTGTTAGTGTGTAGTACAAAACGTTGATCCTGTCACAAATTTCTACATTTCTTTGTGCCTATGATCTTCTCTCCCTTCCGGGTCAACCGTTTAGACAACCATGCGGGCCACCAAAATTAAAACTCTCCACCGACCTACACCTCTAAAACCTTGAAAGTTCTCCAAATCCATACTAACAAAAGCTGGACAGGCCTGTTGCTTGCAAAACAAAGGCTTCTAAAACTTGGCAGTGTGCAAAATAATCTCAAATTTATGAGAAACCTATCCCCTATCTAGAATCTAACCACAATCTTTACAAGTGTATATAGATTTGGGTTCTAGTAATGTTGGCAAACCATCCGTTTTCTTTTAGATTTAGTGCATTGTCATCTTTTCAAATTTGAGTTATAACCATTTTATGATAAACTTGTCAAACTTGATACTTCTAGAGCTCTATAGTGTAATACATCTCTATCATCGGTAATTAAATCCAAAATATGAACACGATCTTTGTGACTCAAATATTTAATTATTTTCATAATATAAATCAATCTTCAAATATGGTAATGTTCTATCTATTTTCTCAAACCATACCAAATGCTTAAAAAAATTTATATATATATATATATATATATATATGGGGGAATGTTAAGACGCGTCACCAAGAGCATGTATCCAAGCCCGCTTGTTTTGCTAGCTCAGCTTGCTATGAAACTTTGTTGAGTACGTAGACAAAAATTCAACTAATAACATCCTTGTATAACAATTGATTGTGCTGGTGACCGACTGAGATTTGATCAAATTTCTCTTGTGCTTTGATTTCCTTGATTCAATTCTCAAAGGCATGTGAAAGCCGGAATTGAATATCTCGAATGTTTTTTGTCAAGAGTCTGAAGTATTGTTTGATCATCGGATGTTATTCCTCTGCTCTCATTGAGTTTACAACCGAAATGTGTATGCTCACCGCGAGATGTGTCTCTTTTAACAATTCATGTGATTGTTTTTACATTCATATATATGTATGTATATGTATGTCTTGTGTTCGCCAATATATATTTGTGTATTCGCGGACAACACATAAACCTTATACCAGAATCCTGCAATGGGTATCCAATACTCACCATATTCATGGGTAAATGAGTGTATAATGGGCATGGGCTAGGACGCATGGGTGGATAATGGATAGGTTTGAGGAATGGATGGGTATGATGAAGTCCGTCTTTAAAACAACTGAGTTAAATGACTTGATTGAATCTTTGGATTGCGTCTCGCTAATAAGCACATTGTGCTTATTAGCTATTACTTGTCATAAATCTGTTAAAAAGTCCAATTTATATACTGAATGAAAATTTTTTTGTAAATACATGTTCTACTCATAACCAAATGAGTGTTGCTTCAAGTGTAAGAAAGTTGATTTACACTGCATTTTGATGATGGATTGTTGGGTATGTACAAGATGTCATGGATGGATAATAGATATGAATAAGGTGTCATGGGTCGGTAATAGTTAACCATGGTTGGGTGATGATTTGGGTATTGGCAGCGGCGAACTCAAAGGGGAGTGCCTCCCAAGCAAACTCTACCCCTGAAAACACGAGACTGAAAAAACACACATGCGAAACTATTACAAAGCCAGCATCACCTTACTGTTCTTTTTTTCCAAGCCACAATGAGAAAAAACCAAGCCCGTGGCATTAGGACTGTTTGTTCGATTCAAGATACTCATTCGGGCAAGCTTCGCAGAGAGCAGGAATTTTCTTTTATCGGCCAATCAATCACAGCGGCAATCAGCACCTTACCAGCTAGAGTCTTTAATTGCCCACAAAATTACTCCACGAACGAACTGTTTGTAAGTTAGATTTTCACATTGAAGTTATCTCTGTGATACTTTGAATTGTACAATAAACAAAAAACATTATTTCATTGTGATATATGTTAGCGTAGTGTATTTGGATTCATCAAGTGTATATTGTCTTATTATCCTTAATCTTGGCAGTTTCTTTATCTACTAGATAATATACACTACTATATTGTTCTTCCTAGATACATGTGATGCAATGTCATGATTGTCAATTTTAAACTATCCGCAATTAGTGTGGTTAAACTTTTAGAGATCAAAAATAAATTGTCACAACGCAAGATGGCCATTTGACTAGTACATATTTGGAGCATAAATTGCACTTCAAGAGTCAAATTTATTTTAATCACAAAAATATTCCATTCTGCAAAAATAATCTTCCATGCTTTGTGATACAAGAGATACATGTACATCATCTGTTAGAATTGTTTGTTGGATTCATTCTTGTCCAATTTCTCAGAGGTACAAGTCTACATTTGAGATTTATCAGAGTTTTTTTCTGCAAAAATAAAAAACCATGCACTATTTACTTTGATTGGTGAGACTCACTAAGTATACTCAAATGAATACATTGTTTTCTAGACAAACATCTTCAGAATTAGAGGGGCATTTCATTGGTTTTTGAAAGTAGTGTGGGTTTTGATTTCAACACAATTCTGCAACAGAATTAACCAAAATAATTTCGCTTGAGACGCTATCTAGTGGGTTGTGGCCCCTCCTGAAAAATCCTGGCGCCGGCCCTGGTATGGGTACAGTTTTCAAGCCCAGTGCATGACTCTGGGTTACTCATAAATGTCAGAATCGCGGAGTGACACAAGGTGTTCACTGCTCTAACAATGTCGTAGAATCTCACCTGCGGATTTGACTCCCACAGGTTCCATGTCGCGAATAGCCTGTATGATTTTTTTTCTGAAAACGTGCCTCATTTGTTAGATCGAGACGGACGTCTTGGTTTGAGCATTCTCGAAGGGAGTCTCTGGTCGAGAGTAAAAAGTCCCTTGTGTTCTGTAAGAGTCTTGAGGTATTTGGAATCGAAGTCACCAGGATTGGAGGCATCCATGAACACCCTGCTGCTTGCTTCAAAATTCTGAGAGCATTGTCTTTTCAGCTCCTCGGCATCAGTAGAGTCGATGGAGTGGTCCGCGAAGGTACAGGCGATGAAATTGTAGAACCGGCCATCACTTGTCGCAGTGTCCAACCTTCACGGTGTGCGATACCGAAAGTACAACGACCGGCCTTGCAGATAGTCCTCGCCTGACAAAAGCGTTTACAAGCTGCGAAGCGCTTTCGGTTGCCAGTGGTAGGTTGGCTGCAGCAGTGGCGGCTTTAGGAACGCAGCCTCCCTTTCTCACCTCCCATCTTGATCCATTTAACTGAAAGAAACATATCACCATGTCTTGGATGTTAGATTTCCACATCGATTCCTGCTTGAAGCTTCTTCAGGTTGATTCTAATCTAACCAATCATAATACTACACAGTACGTCAATTTAATGATGTTTCTGATCGAGATGAAATATCTAACTTGACGGTCCCATGAAGAGAAGCATATTAAACGATGTCGGCGCAACAAACAACACCGGGACAGATTTCTTCCATGCCAGCTTTAGCTGCATCGATTACCTCGAGCCTTTTAAGAGGTGCGTTATAGTGGCTGTATTTTCTGTATCAGATCCATCGAGTAGTAGAGAACCGTTGCAGCCCTGTCAGAATCACACATGACTTGTTAGTCTGTAATGTCGAAGTAGCTAAATTCAGAGCACCAAATATTGGTATGCTTATCATTAAGCATTCCACTTACAGTCTTAATTTGTGCAACAAGGTTCAAGCAGAGACTTATACAAACTAATATAATTCAAAATTATGGAAGTGGCCACATATTTCAACATAGGAATCGTCGTACCTCAAGCGAATGAGACCAGCTTCAGCTGCAATATCCTTGTCAAACTCGGTGTTAATGGCTCTCGGTAACACTGTCTCCACGGCTTTGCATGGAGAGGGGTGTCCTTGATCTGACCATGTGCATTTGAGCGATTACCGAGGTCACAAGACAACAGAAGTACGTTTCCAGGAGCTCCGCGCACGCATCGGCATGGTGGATGTCAAATAAGATCACAGCTAGCTTATGGGGAGTTTGTTGGAATAATCTAGCTCTTAGGTTTGTTTCAGTTTCGTCAGTTTGGACGAACACTTTCAGTCTTAGGTGTCGTTGTGAGTTTTAAGATAAACGGGACTTAGTTTGTCGAGTCCCAGGTCTTTAGGAGCACAGAGTCGTGGTTGTGCGCTCTGATCCGTAGATGTAGGATCGCCGTGGGCAAGCTCCAGGACGTGGGATGGCACAGCCTAGTCGGGGACTCCGCGATCTCCACGGCATGCTTCTGTAATCGCTGAATAAAAGGGCAAGAGAAAACACAAACGCAGCAAGTTGTACGCTGCACAAATCGTCTGTGTGTTCATCTCTCTTTCTCTGTTCCTTGTTCATCCAGTTCACGCACGAGAGCTTCAGAGAGATTGGGTTGTAGGTTACACGTGGTATCAGAGCCTAGGTTGCAATGGCCAAGGGTGCGATGCCGAAGGGCGCCGGCGATGGCTCCAACCCCAAGACGCAGGGCGATGCAGCCGCTGCTGAGGAGGCGAAGAAGAAGCAGGAGGCGCTCGGGACGCTGCAGTCATCATCGCGCGCGCTCGCCGTTTTGCGCTATGGGCGCGACGGGGGCGGCGGATCGAGCACGCAGTGGCCAACCCTCACCTGCACAAACTACAACTCGTGGTCTCTCCTCATGCGCGTGATCCTTCAGGTGAGACATCTGTGGGATGTGATTGAAACAGGAGAAGCCGAGTACGACAACGATCGCGCGGAAATGGAGGCGGTGCCCCAGGAGATGATCCCCATGCTCGCTGTCAAGAAGACGGCAAAGGAGGCCTGGGACACAATCAAGACGATCCGCGTCGGCGCCGAACGCGTACGCGAGTCCAAGGCCCAGGTGCTGCGCAAGCAGTACGAGTCCATCCGGTTCAAGCCGGGTGAGAGCGTCGACGACTTCGGGGTGCGCCTGCAGTAGCTGGTCCAGCAGCTTGAGGTTCTCGGCGATCCCATCGACGACAAGATGATCATCCTCAAGTACCTGCGCGTCGTCCCCAAGCAGTACAAGCAGATGGCCCGCTCCATCGAGAGCCTGCTCGATCTCAGCACCATGTCGATCCAGAAGCTCACGGGTCGTCTCAAGATGTGTGACGAGCACGACGACGAGGATGAGGAGGAAGACACGGGCGGCGGCAAGCTGCTGCTCACTGAGGAGCAATGGCGCCCCCGCATGAACCAAGGTGCTCCCTCTAGCGGCGGTGGGGGGAACTCCTCCGGCAAGCAGAACCGGAACAAGGGTCGCGGCCGCGATGGCGCGCGCGACAAGGGCCACGCCGGCACTGGGACCGGTGGCGGGCCTACACGCGACGACGAATGTCGCTACTGCGGCAAGAGGGGACATTGGGCCCGTGACTGTCGCAAGAAGAAGAGGAAGGATGCGCATCTCATCCAGAACAACGCCGGCGGCGCCGATGACGAGCAGGGCGCGCTCCACCTCGCGCAGCTGTGCGGTCTCGTTGTCAAGCCTTAGGAGGCCGGTGAGCATGTGTTTCTCAACGAGGAACGTGCCCGGGTGCGGCTTGGCGACGAGAGCGAGCCGGTCAACGCGGCATGGTACCTGGACACGGGCGCGTCTAACCACATGACTGGCAACCGAGCCCTGTTCGCCGATCTGGACGTCAGCGTCGACGGCACCGTGAGTTTCGGCGACAACTTCGTCGTCGACATCAAGGGGCGAGGCACCGTGCTGATAACAGTACGAGGAGGGGAGCATCGTGCTCTTACAGACGTCTACTTCATCCCACGTCTGAAGACGAGCATCGTCAGCTTAGGACAACTAGACGCGAACGGCTACACCTCGTCGATCCGCGACGGCTACATGTCGCTCTGGATCGGCAAGATCGGCTCCTCGCCAAGGTACCTCACTCTGCTAACCGTCTGTACAAGGTGGTTTTGCAGGTCGCACAGCCAGTATGCCTGTCCGTCAGACATGGCGACGGGGCGTGGCGCTGGCACAAGCGTCTCGGGCACCCAAACTTTGGTGCGCTGAAGACGATGGCGCGTACCGGGCTGGTGCGTGGCCTGCCTCCGATCGAGCATGTGGAGCAGGTGTGCGACGCTTGCCTCGCTGGTAAGCAGCGGCGGGCGCCGTTCCCACAGGTGGCCAAGTACCTGGTCACGGAGACGCTAGAGTTGGTGCACGCAGACCTCTGCGGCCCCATCTCACCGGCAACACTAGGAGGAAAGAAGTTCTTCCTGCTGATGGTGGACGACCACAGCCGCTTCATGTGGGTGGTCTTGCTGGCGTCGAAGGACGGCGCCGCCGCGAGCATCCAGAGGTTCAAAGCGACGGCCGAGCTAGAGTCCAAGCACCCTCTGCGCACGTTTCGCACATATCGCGGGGCAGAATTCACCTCCATCGCGCTTGGAGAGTTCTTCGCCGAGCACGGAGTACAACGCCACCTCACTGCCCCGTACTCTCCGGAGCAAAACGGGATGGTGGAGCGTCGCAACTAGATAGTGGTCGGCATGGCAAAGAGCATGCTGAAGGCAAGGAACGTGCCAAACAGGTTCTGGGGGGAGGCGGTGCTGACCGCAGTGTACGTGCTCAATCGCTCGTTCACCCGCAGCGTGGACGGGATGACGCCGTACGAGGCGTGGCACGGGCACAAGCCATACGTGGATCACCTCCGCGTGTTTGGCTGTGTCGCCCACGCAAAGATCACCCGCCCAGGACTGAAGAAATTGGACGACCGCAGCGTCAAAGCAGTCTTCCTCGGCTACGAACCAGGCAACAAGGCGTATCGCCTGTTCGATCCGGTGGCTAACCGGCTCATCGTGTCCCGATACGTTGTGTTCGATGAAGGGGCGAGCTGGGATTGGAGCGGAGAAGCAGACGACGGCGACGCTGAACAGCTCGTCGTGGAGTACATGGTGCATGGGGGAGCACATCTGCACGGGGCAGCAACCGCTGGGCCCGCCTCTCCTTCCTCATCACCTGCAAGCCCAGCGCCATCGGAGGGCGCTGCCACCTCTCCCTCCATGCTGTCTACAGGTTCAGTTTCGTCAGAGTACGCTGCCACGCCAGAAAACTCTGCCGCGACAGGGCTGGACCTGCAAGCACGGACAAGCCAATCAAGTTCGTCTCGCCACCGATGGACTTCGCCAGCACCCTCGATGATGCGGATGATCCAGCACGCCCACATCGGTTCAGGCTTGTCGCGGACCTGCTGGACAAGGCCGCGGAGGTCCTGAGGCAGGCGGAGCGGCTCTTCTTCATCGACGAGCCGAAGAACTTCACTGATGCCGAACCTCACGAGTGCTGGAGGAGGGAGATGATGGAGGAGCTTAACTCCATCAAGGAGAATGTTACGTGGACGCTCACTGATCTGCCTGTAGGACATCGTCAAATTGGCTTAAAGTGGATGTTCAACACAAAAAGGGACGCAGCCGGCGCAGTTGTCAAGCACAAGGCGCGGCTGGTCGCCAAGGGGTACGTGCAGCGCAAGGGCATCGATTTCGACGAGGTCTTTGCGCCTGTCGCTTGCCTCGACTCCGTGCGGCTGCTTGTGGCCGTGGCTGCCTAGCAGAGGTGGCAGCTGCATCACCTCGACGTCAAATCCGCGTTTCTGAACTGGGAGCTGCTGGAGGAGGTCTACGTCGCCCAGCCGCCCGGCTTTGCTCATGCCGGCGAGGAGCACAAGGTCTATCGCCTTCACAAGGCGTTGTACGGCCTACGGCAAGCACCACATGCGTGGAATATGAAGCTCGACCACACGCTCAAGGAGCTGGGCTTCACTAGCAGCCCTTCAGAGCATGTCATGTACGAGCGCGGGCAAGGGCGCTCACGGCTCTTGCTTGGGGTGTACGTCAACGACCTGATCGTCACCGGCGCGGATGCAGAGGAGATCACGCGCTTCAAGAAGGAGATGCTGGAGCGTTTCCGCATGAGCGACCTCGGGTTGCTTCACTTCTACCTCGGCATCGAAGTGCGCCAGAATGCGAGCAGCATCACCTTGTCTTATCCAGTCAAAATACAAAAAAATTCCATTCAATTATCAATGGCAACGTAGTTGTTACGATTATTTTCGGAAATACAAGATCATTTCGAGATTTTTAAGCATATTCGAGGATTTGATGTAACTATTGTCACTTCAGCCAACACACAAGATGAGACTGTAATTTTGTGGGTATTCCGCCAAGCTGCTCGAGCGCGCGGGCATGGCAGAGTGCAACCCTGCACTTGTGCCGATGGAACCGCGGCTTAAGCTGAGCAAGGACAGCAAGAACCCTGCGACAGACGCCACCTTCTACTGGAGCATCGTCGGGTGTCTGCGCTATTTGGTGCACACTCGGCCTGACATCTCTTTTGCCGTTGGCTACGTAAGCAGGTTCATGGAGGCGCCAACTACTGAACATTTGGCGGCCGTCAAGCATCTTCTCCGCTACTTCGTAGGCATGCGGAGCTATGGATGCAGGTATTCCAAGGACAGCGATCAGGAGCTGATTGGTTTTAGCGACTCGGACATGGCTGGTGACATGGACGACCGGAAGAGCACCATCGGCGTTCTGTTCTCACTCGGTGGCAGCCCGATCACCTGGCAATCTCAGAAGCAGAAAACGGTGGCGCTTTCCTCGTGCGAGGCGGAGTACATCCCAGCCACATCAACGGCATGCCAAGGTACATGGCTACGCCGTTTGCTGGAGGACATGATCGGGAAGCAGAGTGACACCACCACCATCTACATCGACAACAAGTCAGCCATCCAGTTGTGCAAGAACCCTGTCTTTCATGATCGGAGCAAGCACAATGAGGTGCGTTATCACTTCATCCGCGAGTGTGTCGAGTCCAAGAAGATCTGCGTCAAGCACATCAGAACGGAGGAGCAACTCGCAGACATTCTCATCAAACCCCTCGGACGCACACATTTCCAGGAGCTCCGCGCACGCATCGGCATGGTGGATGTCAAATAAGATCACAGCTAGCTTATGGGGAGTTTGTTGGAATAATCTAGCTCTTAGGTTTGTTTCAGTTTCGTCAGTTTGGACGAACACTTTCAGTCTTAGGTGTCGTTGTGAGTTTTCAGATAAACGGGACTTAGTTTGTCGAGTCCCAGGTCTTTAGGAGCACAGAGTCGTGGTTGTGCGCTCTAATCCGTAGATGTAGGATCGCCGTGGGCAAGCTCCAGGACGTGGGATGGCCCAGCCTAGTCGGGGACTCCGCGATCTCCACGGCATGCTTCTGTAATCGCTGAATAAAAGAGCAAGAGAAAACACAAACGCAGCAAGTTGTACGCTGCACAAATCGTCTGTGTGTTCATCTCTCTTTCTCTGTTCCTTGTTCATCCAGTTCACGCACGAGAGCTTCAGAGAGATTGGGTTGTAGGTTACACGTGGTATCAGAGCCTAGGTTGCAATGGGCAAGGGTGCGATGCCGAAGGGCGCCGGCGATGGCTCCGACCGTCTCGGGCACCAAAACTTTGGTGCGCTGAAGACGATGGCGCGTACCGGGCTGGTGCGTGGCCTGCCTCCGATCGAGCATGTGGAGCATGTGTGCGACGCTTGCCACGCTGGTAAGCGGCGGCGGGCGCCGTTCCCGCAGGTGGCCAAGTACCGGGCCACGGAGACGCTGGAGTTGGTGCACGCAGACCTCTGCGGCCCCATCTCACCGGCAACACCAGGAGGAAAGAAGTTCTTCCTGCTGATGGTGGACGACCACAGCCGCTTCATGTGGGTGGTCTTGCTGGCGTCGAAGGACGGTGCCGCCGCGAGCATCTAGAGGTTCAAAGCGGCGGCCGAGCTGGAGTCCAAGCACCCTCTGCGCACGTTTCGCATAGATCGCGGGGGAGAATTCACCTCCATCGCGCTTGGAGAGTTCTTCGCCGAGCACGGAGTACAACGCCATCTCACTGCCCCATTGCAACCTAGGCTCTGATACCACGTGTAACCTACAACCCAATCTCTCTGAAGCTCTCGTGCGTGAACTGGATGAACAAGGAACAGAGAAAGAGAGATGAACACACAGACGATTTGTGCAGCGTACAACTTGCTGCGTTTGTGTTTTCTCTTGCCCTTTTATTCAGCGATTACAGAAGCATGTCGTCGAGATCGCGGAGTCCCCGACTAGGCCGTGCCATCCCACGTCCTGGAGCTTGCCCACGGCGATCCTACATCTACGGATCAGAGCGCACAACCACGACTCTGTCCTCCTAAAGACCTGGGACTCGACAGACTGAGTCCCGTTTATCTGAAAACTCAAAACGACACCTAAGACTGAAAGTGTTCGTCCAAACTGACGAAACCGAAACAAACCTTACAGCTAGATTATTCCAACATCCTTGATCTGACCATGTGCATTTGAGCGATTACCGAGGTCACAAGACAACAGAAGTACTGAAATAAGGAGCAAATAACTAACTCTTGTCATTTTTCTCTCGCATCTCTCATACGTATCCTAATGTTTTTCTGTTTCTCAAAAATAGATCCGGACAAGCTACACAGAACAATTACGTCAAAACCTCAGAAGCTTTTAAAAATCTCTCCTGTTAACTTTGTAATATTGCTTGTCAGGAGTAGCATTTGGTCACAGCTGAGTCCATATGATCATTGATGACTGATCAGAAGAGGATTGCAGATATCGCTTGTTAGTAGAAAGAAGTGGATACCAAAAAAGACGGTGATAACCTGCTCACACACTCCCGGTGTATATAGACCAGTCAAATAATATGACTGGTCTATATACATGTGAGTCCATATCCGAAGACCGCGTCACATGCATGGCGGACAACAACGGATTGAAAGTTATGGCACTATCAGTTGACATTTATAGACATATACTATACATCATCCAGTTATTTACAACATATCGCCCCTATTTTATTTTTGAAATTGTTTTTCGTCTGTCTCTAATGCCGAAAACAAGGTTTCTTACTTTCCTGAGTTGCAAGAGTTTTTAACATCAATAGAATTGAAACTAAATGGAATGATAGTTTCAATCTTCAAACTAATATATACAAGGCAAGCATGCAGCAGAATGTTGAGTAACAAGCTGCTCAGTAATGTCCTTGACAAATTATGAAGCATGTCACAACTGAGCATGACAGTGGAAAATCCACAATAAGAGTCACTAATCCGGGCACTTCAATACAATTGCAGTTAGCAAAGTAAGCTATGTTTGTATCTTGATAATATAAGTAGTTTGAATTTTACACTCTCTTGTTCAAAGATGTGGAACAAAACATCTCAACTCACAATCAGTTACCGTTGAGAGATATCGAAACATGTAATTTTCCATACCATATATTGATATCAAAAAATATAAGTATATTAGATTAGTTTTTTTTTAGAAGATATGCATTACATCCAAATTTTACTGACCAATCATAATCGTCTAGCCATCCATAATTCGACGCAAACGTTACCATATTAACAATTGACTTAAATTAGAATGGTTCGTTAAATAGATATGATTTTTCAACATCAAATTCATACGATGAACTTGGTTGTTTCAACCTACTTTTCTTAACTTTCAATAATGTTTAATTCAGTTGTTCACCAACATCATAATATCATGAAGCACATACTATAGTAATATGACAAGTTCTTAACTTATTTTGAGTATACATTTCATAACAGATAATTTATTTTTCTCTGTTTTTTTAGAGCTTTCATTGTTTGCTAGCTTAATTTAGAGTTTCAAATTTTGGAAAATGACAAAGACTTCAATTTTGGAGTTTCATATATTGAATCTCTGAAACATATATATATATATATATATATATATGAAAGATTCCGATATTTTGAATGTATGAAATCATGAATCAATCATCAAAAGTTGATGATTGATTTCAAGTCGTGCCAAGTTAAAGTATTATTTGAGAAAAATAAACATAAGAACGTGATTGTGCTGGAAGTCTGGAGTATATAAGTTCTAAGAAAGATGAAGTGCTTATTGTGTTTTTTAATATTGATTACCTTTGCTTAGATGCATTAAATTGTGATGATTAATACCAACTATTATAACAATTTGATTGATTTATTTTGGAATGTAAATGTTTAATTTCATAGCATCATATCATCGCTGGAAACCAAAAGTCTTAACAATATGATGAAGTGTATTTAAAATATTATTTCATTAAATTACTATTTCAAAATATTAATTTTATTTAAATTAATATTTAATTTAAAATAGAGAAATTAAATCACACTTTCAAGACGCAGAAATGAGATTTTTGCGTGTATTTACTCAAATTTCTGTCATTTCATGTTCAATTGAATATGATTGTTATATATACATATAATTAATTAATGCGAGTTTGATTTTAAAGATTGAAACTTTTTAAATCACATCATGTCACAATTATATTATGTTGTAAAACTCTTTGATGTCAGGAAAAAATTTATTTGCATTCAAATGTTTCTTGATAACTTGTTTTATTTTAATATATATGAATTTGAAATTTCTATGATAACTTTAATTAAAATTGAAATATATAAAACATTCATCAATTAGTTTGTTTGATATTGCAATCAAATATTATCAATAGATGAGTTCACTTATACTAAATTTTTTTTTAGATAAACTACAATTTGCAATTGCTTTGTCACATCAATATCTATACTCATTTTTGTAATTGCGTTTACTATGAATTTTATCAATAATCATATATATATTTATTTTATTATCATCATCATAAAAATTTGATTTTTTAATTAAAGTGACTAAATCAAATAAATGTGTAGCAGTAAACAAAAAATATTATTTATTTATATTATGATAAACTCCAAATTGTACAAATTTTAAATCTATCGTTGAACTGATGATATAAGTAGTGCTCTGATTGTTCAAAAATCTTAAATGATTGTAGTTATACTATTTTTTCATATATATCAATTAATATAACACTAAAAAAAATTTGTGTCTTTCAAATTGTGATATGATTTGTGAATAAAACTCAAAATCAAATTCAAAATCACAATTACTTACACAGAGTTAACATATCAAATATTTCCTTTTTCAACAAAAAAAAAAACTTATGATTCAGCTCAACGAAGCTATGTCAATCTTAGTATATTTGGAGATGTGACTAATTATTCAGTGCAACACTATTCATGTAGAAGATCTATATTCAATTTTGACTAGAAGAAATCTCAAAAGAGTGAAAGTAACCAGTATCGCAAACTGAAATTGAGTTTTCAAATTACATAACTCATCATAGAGATCTCGCCAATCCAACGAATCAATTGTATTCTTTTATACAAGCAGGTGCATACCATGTATCCAGTTTACTGGTCGATGAATGGGACAATAAGAGAGTCAACAGGAGGACGGTGAGATGTCCATATCTCACCTTTATTAACCATATTATAGAAGTACATCCGGGTCTTTCAATGTGGTCTAGGCAGGTTGCAGATATCTACAAAGCTACAGTCTCGTAAACTCTAGAATTAACTTTATTACTAATATTCTGCGTAAGGTTAGTCTGGCATAACCAATGTAGAGTGTTATAAAGGTTTCTCCGTGAAAGAAGTGAAACATTATCATGTTATCGAAGTTTAAATTTTCTCTCTTTTCAGGGATGATCCGAGTGTACAACACTCATGTAGGGTAGAGTCGAATTCCAGGGCCTGAGCTCGCACAATTGCGAGTAAGAAAAATGATTCCGGAGTGACCGCAAACGAAAAATAAGAGGCCAGCATTTTCTCCTCATATCCTGGACTCGTCTGCAGTCCCTCGACGAAGTAAGGAAGCCTATGAAGAGCGAAGGTTCTCAAGTCTTGGATGCCAGCGGAGGGAGAACAGCCGCAGCTAAGCATGATGGGCTCGGCCGGAAAATTAACACATGTGCCATAATCTGTTTGGACCCCACGTGCGAGTTCATCCACAATGAGCCTTCGTTGAAGATCGACGTGCTCATGATGGACCATACCCAACCCGCACAAATGCAGATTCGCCACGCGGAGTATAGGAAATGTCCCATCAAAGAGTGGCCTGGTGACAAGACCATGCAACGGCATGCAAGCATCCCAGTTCCCCATTCAGTTTCCTCTGGTCTGCAAACTGCGACACTGGTGAAAGATCACGTGCATGTTCGGCCGGGTGGGATTCCATTCAAAGGTCAGACGAAGTACGGCAGACAGTGTTCGGCTTCAGCTGTTCGGTGCCGTCAAGATCTGGCCGTATCCATAACCAGGAATATTGAAGACATTTTTGGGCCAAAAAGCCACAAGTCAAGAGACGAAATTCACAACGTTCTTTGCGGTGCTATAGCGAGTCTATTCCTACCCTCTCTCAGAGATACCTTGATACTCTCACTCTCCTTGGCACTATGCTTGATCGACACGAGTCACTATAAAGGGCAGTCCTGCAGTAAGTGTGGAGCTCCGGCACCATTGACAACTAACGGTTCAGTCCAAGAAGACAAATACACCGCGCATTCACCTCTGACCAAGCCAAAAGCAGACAAGCTAGAGGAACCGTGTGCCTCAGTCGGCTCTCAGTGCCTATCTGTAATATGTGACAGGACCCGGATGTATGTATATCTCCAGACGCAACATAAACATAGATGTACACACCAGGGGTCCTCCTACCATTGTTACAAAGCCACGCAATAGCAAACCGTCCATCCTAGCTACGAATGAACTGGACATCACGTGAAGACAAGTGTGCATTCAGAGTTCAGTATAAATTCGCATTGGTCATCATCTTGCTCATTACAGGAACCACCGAGAGCTCCACGCTTCACACTAGATGGAACCTCTTCATCTTTGGTGCACTGCTACCATCTCAACTTGCTACAAACATCAGCCGACCAAGATTCCTTCTTGGTGACCCTTCAGTCCTGGTAGCTCCTTTTGCAATACCTCGCCTAATAGAATTTTTCGAGTGGACATACAGAATGTGCAGAACAAAACCATGCCAGGTCGCGGTCATAAACCTGATGAATATCGCAGATCACTTCCGAGAATGAACCATCTTTCCGATGAACAATTTGGTTCATAAAGTATTGATTATAACTTAGGAAAAGAAGCTCCTTGGAGCTCAAAGAGAGTAAAACTACAAAGAGAATACATGGCATAAGTGCTCTACCAAGGATGCTGACAACAATCAGGTCTCTGAGGAACCAGGACACAAAAAGGCCTGATTTTGAGAGAGAAAAAACTCCAGACTACCTACTCTCACCCAACTTAACAGCTAATGAATTTCTAATTAAAAGTTCTTCCATATAGTCGGGGTTCAAAGTACCTCGCAAACCAACTAACCACCCATGCCGGTATGAAAATTGAAAGCGGCGACATTATGGGTATCAACAAGACCATAAATTGGGGTGTATGTGGCAGGAGAAGAACAGAGCCCGGAAGGACCTAACAGAGCCTTTTAAAATATATCGTGGTTGCTAAGCTGCACCCACCAATCTTGGGTCATTCTAACATCTTGAGCCATCTGATATACCAGTCACCTTCATTACGAAGACTAAATCAATGTTACAAATACCAAAGCTTCAGGCAACACCAACGTGCACAATTCCACCTGCATAATTAGATTTCCTTCAACTATTTTGCTTCAGGCTGTACTCATGCATCATATGCATGCTGGTAACTGTTCGAGTGAATACTGAGCACTTCTCTGATGGCTGCTGTTCAACCAAGTACTCTGCCTTTGTACAAAATTAGGCCACGACAATCTCCCCAGGTTTGTGACTTCCCAACTATAGCTGCCGAGCTCTAGATGCGCTCCTACAAGCCATATTATATACCGTGCACAATATTCAAAACTGTGCGAGTCACCCCCATGCAGACCGTCGCATCCAACCAGGACTTCATGAGGTTAAGAAGATCAAGCCGAATCGTCACTCAACAAGTGAAATGTCGCCAGTGCTATTGAATTACACATGTGCATGCTTGTGATGAATCGCTATCGGATTCGTCGTCATCCGAGTCACCTGTTTCACTGCAATCACAAAACACGTGTACGCGCCCCACAGGTTACATTTCGACCAAATTTACTTGCAGTGATCTCATATACAACCCAAACGCAAATTGGTGTCACGAATAATTTGTCTGTAGAACTTCCGAATTCCCTGAGCTAAAGATGACGGAGGCCTGTTGGGCGTAGACAGGTCGATTGAATTGAGGCTCCCCGGCATAAGAAATAATGTAAAACCAGCCATAGACCATGCTTGATTAGAAGATATAAGGAAATCCAGGAAACCGAGGAACACAAGAGCGACAGCAAAACGTGTTCGGAGGTTTGCACAGATATGACGCTGACCTCAGGTTCAATCAGGTAACTTTTTTGTACAAAGTGCATAACAATTTGTACTTTTCAAGTGCCTTAATCATCCTTTAAACTCAACTGCAAGCCACTCACAGAATGAGACGGCGTGTAGGGGAAAAGCAAGCTTAAATATCGAAAAATCGGTAGAATTGCAGAATCTTCCTTCCCGTCCGTTTTCTGCAATTTTCTCCACGACTATTACCCTTTCCGTCCTCAAAAGTTCCAACAGTACAATTGAATCCGCGGATTCGCTTCGTAAAAGAGCATCAGCTCGTAAATCCATCTTAATCAATAAACATTATTCAATTTCCACTTTAAGTAGAAACAGCATCCGCAAGACCCATGCTCAAGCTTAACGTAACTAAAAGAGCCATCTCCAGGAAAAGCCCTCCCCAGCATTGACATTCACCAAGTGAAGGATGTTCTATACACAGGGCACTCAAGTCTATCGTAGCACAAAATAAAGTTAGAGCCCGAGATTTCACTAACATTCACGAAGCACTTGCTAAATAACATAAGAGTCACTCTAGAAACATAACTCGCCTCGAAAATTTTACGGTCCTTCAATGTAGAAAACTTTGAAGATGCAAACTTACAAGATGCTGATGAAGCTCTGAGCTCAAACTTTGACTCCCCCCACCAAATCGTTAACAAAGCTATTCATACAGAAAAACAGGTTTCCAAGTGTTCCGAAGGATTCTTACTGAGTTCGTCTGCCTGTACACTTTCGTCTTTATAAAGAAGGGCAACACGTACCTCGTCTGAGACATACCCCACTACATAAGTTTCCAACTTTACAAAATGTTTGACGTTTGGGCGTCGCAAACGATACGACTATTCCAGAGAGTGATCCATTATAGCACGTCGTGATCGCCAGACTAATTGGAATCAATTCCAGTGAGCAGACTGAATCCCCACAGAACTTTTCTATAAAATTTGTAAGCAGACTACTCAATCCGAGAATGCTGGGTGTCCTGAAATTGCTGGGTGGGTTCGTCATTAACAGCCCTCTTATATGGTAACATAGAAAAACAGCCGACAATACGAGGGACCACGAACTTGTACTTCCACGTGCACATGGCACTCGACCACTGGTTATGCTGAAGAGTTACTGACAAGGGAGTCCTGAAGTCAGATTGCAGTACTAAAGAAGAATTTTACAGCTCCCTTATCAGATCGACAACGTGCATATTTCCTTCTGTCAGCTGCAACTGTCCAAAATCGTCATCGAGTAATGCACATTGATGATGCAGGTTCAGGATGTAATCGAAGGACGAAGGCCATGTCTCATCAACATACGAAGGCCGACAAGCTTAAATGTATGCGCAGATGAAAGCTCAAAAGTTCATTAAACAGCGCACGAATAGCGGGCCTAAGGTAATAACTGTCGACAAGTCTGCTTCTTCATCTGTTTCGTGTTTGATCTTCTGTGGTATCCAGTTGCCGAAGTTAATAGGCAAGACGTCGCGTCATAGGCAAGGAAAAAGCCGTAACCCCTTCCACATTCCAAGCGGTCAAGAAGAGCATGCGCATTTCGACAAGAGCGACATAAGTGGAATTCCTAAAGGAGATTCCAAAAGTTCGCCGAGCACTCGGAAAACTAGCCACATTTGGCGACAAGAAGCATAGCCTGAACAAGACAGGAGGACACGTTGCTACACACGGAAGCTACCTTGATTTCAATCAGGCAAAGAGATTCATGATGTGATCTTGGATCAAAGTTGGATACCTGGGTTCAAACTCCCAAACTTCCGTGAGATCTTTCCCATGGCTGTCCGTCCACCTTACTTTGCTTTGCTGACGCTGAGGTGATCTACCAACACCGGGTCCATGTCCATGCCCACTCGAATTAGGTCCTCCATTAGCTCCGTCGGACTCCAAGGCGATACTGGGATCAGACGTACTATGACAAGACTGGCTGTGTCTCATGGTAGGTTGATGCGGAGAGCCAATGGCAAACATGGAATGTCTTCTTAGGTTACTCTTACCCGGAAGCTTGAGCTGAGGTGGGACGGGTAGGGCACCGGTGCTGTGGCCATTCGAAGGTTGGACGGTTTCATCAGCACCCAGAAAAGCATTCAGGGGAACGGGAGGGGGAAGGGGCAAGGGTGCGGATGGTGCCATGGGCGCATCCCCACTGGCAAAAGGTTCGTCTCTGTCCACTTCTCCACCGGAGGGCGGATCCTCGGGCCCGTTGCAGCAACACAGTAGAAAAGAGGCGCACCCACGGGGCGCTTTCTTTTCTGGCGCCAGCGAGTGCCTCCTTTACCTGCCCTTCTGCTGATTGATTCCTCTGCCTCGCTCCCCAAACTCGAACCACACTCTCTCATCCCCTCTCTCCACTCCTCTCGCCTCGATTCAATCTCTCTTCTCGCTCTCTGTCACTCACTCTGGCTTGCTAACGCTCTTCTCCCCTCATTCTGCCTCGTGTGCTCATCTCATCTCATATCTCCTTCGCTGTCCGTCGCCCTCCGTCCTGCGTGGTCAACCACATTGCATTCTCTCCTTCTCCTCGTCTTCTCCTCTTCTCTTCTCGCGTCCTCACTCCCTCCCTCACTGGACACGGCCTCTCGTCATCGTCGTCTTCTTAACTCAGGCGCATTCCTCCTGCCCTCGGTCCCCATAACCATCTCGCAGCATTCCGTTCAATCCCCTCTAGGTCCGCGACCCCACCCACCGCCGGAACGGATTGATTGTCGAGATCTCTCGACCTCCCGGTCTCGCGCTCTCTCAAAAACCTGCGCGGACACCACCAGCACTAGTCGCGCTCCCGGCCTGAGAAGAAAGACAGCAATGCGTCCCGCGAGGCAGCAGAATGGCAGGCCGCGCGACAGAGGCGAACGAGGAGAAGTGCAGCATCTCTACGCTCGAAAGAATGGCACCATATCAGAATATCAGAATACCGAATCACCCAGACAATCAAATGGTGCTCTTGCTTGCGGGAGAGAGTGAGAGTCCGAGCGCGAGGTGTCTGCGTCCGTGTGTGTGTGTATGGAGTTCCCGAGAGAGCACAGAGCACCCAAAAGAGGCTTCGGTTGTGCGGTGCTGTACTTGAGGGCGTTGGTGTGAGTATGTCTGGGTCCGAGGTGGCTGATCAAAGCAAGCAGCAGACAGACATGCTCCTCGGGCAGTGCAGGGTGCGAGCAGCGAGCAAGCAGGAGGAGGAGGAGACGAGGTGGGGGCCAGCCCGGTCTAGCGTCCAACAAAGCAAACGCACATTCAGCCCATTCCTGCCCCGGCCCAGCCCAGAGTTCCAGTCAGGTGGAGGTGGAGAAGTCGACTTCGAGGGGCTGGAGAAAGACAGAGAGAGCAAGGCAGACCCTCATCTGGCAGGCGTGGGCGCAGACGGTACTAGCGTCCTGGTATAGTCAACTTGTGATCCGATACACTGACCACCAGTTCGTTTCGAATTGCAGCTCTAGAACCTCCCTCCCCCTCTCTCGGAGCCTCTCCCCTCCCCTTCCCTCCTTTCCTCTCCCTCTCCCCTCCCTTCCCTTGCCTTGCCTTGCTCCCTGCTCCTTGCTGGACGTCCCTCCCGGACCGAAGAGAAGAAAAAACATAGATTTGCCAAGTCAAATGGGCAGACACCAGAAAAGCAGGACAGACGGACACACACACACACTCACAGGGCGAGAGAGACGGATATGAAATGAATGAGTGAATGAATGAATGAATGGAAGGAAGGATAGAAAGAAAGAGGCTGAGCAGGAACAGACTCGGACAGCAAAAGGTAAAGCGCCCACCAAATCCCCACCCTTCCTTGGAAGAGGTCAGCAAGAGTATTGTAGTGAGTGCTGCTCCAAACCCGTCCTCTTTCCAACCCTAAAGCTCCATCAACTTCCCGTACCCTCCTCAAAACAGAAAGATCCTCTTCCTTCTGGATTTCATGACAAGACTTAGACCCGCAGTCCCACAGAAAAGTGCAAAGCCCCAACCTGCAGCCCTCAAGGTGCCATTTGCACCGATCCCCCGGTCATCACCCCCTGCGCTCACCGGCCCGCCCGGTCGCCTGGCACAGCCCGGCGTTGAGTGGGAGTTGACATGGGTCGCATGGCATGGACCTAGGGAATAAATGCGAATCAATGCGCTACGTAGTTGTCTATAGCCTGTTGGTCAATGCCAAATGCTCTTCATCACTGACTTCGGCAGACTCCTAATTTCCCCGCCTTCCTCCTTCTCCGTCGATGCCGACGAGTGACTTCATCATTTTGCTCTCATTTTCTGCTGCCTTTATGTTTCGACCTCGAAGAGAAAGAGAGAGAGTGAGAGAGAGGGCTCAGCAGCCTCCGCTTCTGACTTTCTGACTCAGCGAAACCTGTTCGGCCCAGCACCTGCATGATGCAGATCGAGCGCAGTTTTCAATTCGGAGATTGGCAACCCAACTGCTCGCATCACTCGTGTTGCAGTTCCTCGCCGAATGATTTCGCCTCACACTTTTATTCTTCATCTGTTAAGTTATGAGGAACGACATTTTCCAACAGCGTCCATCTGAGCTGAAGCAAAAGAAATCCCGTACGTGCTGCTGGATTAAAGTGGCAGCTACTTTCTGTTCCTTCTTTTTACTTTTCTGCAGAGTTTTCGCTGCGCTTCACTCCAGCCTTTTCTGCCCTACTCTTCCAAAACTGGAATGTCTCAGCTTATAATCTCGACGAGCACGGTAGATTTAAGCATTGTTTTACCCGTCGACGCTGGATGCAGCATCGACGTTACAGCGTCTGTCTTTTCCAGGAATTAAATACTGCCCTGTGATATCTCGAAAACACGCACAAGATCCCTGCTTGCATCTTTGTTTATTTCAGATCCCTCGCCTGTGATTTCGATCCTAACAGACTGTTCAGGCATTACTTTATGATGCCCAGGTGGGGCTGCAAAGTCTATCCTCCTGGACTGAAGTAGGATCCTGCATAGGTAAACGACCCCAAACGAACTATAATGAGTAACTTGCATCTACTACTTACGACTCGAGACACCTGCCGCGATTCCGACACGGATTTCATCATTCAGTTTTTCCGGTAATGCTTTACTCTTAAGAATTCAAGAAAAGAAACCAGAGACCCTGAACATGACCGAGAGCGTCAACATTAGTTATATTGCGCCCACTCAAAACTCCACGTTTACAATTTCACCATAAACAAACGAATCCACAACATTACTATGAATAACCAACCATCAAGTCACGGTAGATGGCGAAGTCCCCTATCATTGGAGTCATCCCCAAAGTTTAAAAAATGGTCTGACCACTACCACGACAAATGATGAAAATGATCATCAAGTATATATAATTTTAAAGATATAATATTTTTCTATGCAGAATTAAGTTATTGTATGCTTTAAGTAATAATCGAATCTAGAAAAAAATTGTTTATGCCATGAATACATTAATGCATATATTCTAACCTAGACAATTCAATCATGTATTTCGTTATTTTGATACTTTTGAACTATGTTTCATTTATTTCAACATGTTTATAATTTTCTATCATTAAAATAAATAATTTAATTCTTTATAACATTATAGGAATTGACTTTATGTCTTCAACTGAGAAATGAATTAAATATGAAAAAATCAACATCTCATAAAAAATATAAATAATAATCCAATAAATTCATTCAGATCATATGTACAAACATGTTAAAAATAAATTGTTTTTATAATAGATAATAATAGCCTTTTATTAACAATCAATATGAAAATAAAATTGCTACTTGCATATTCAAATGATGTCGCAAGCTCAGTAAGAATAGATTTATACTTTTGAATCCAAAAAAAAGTTGAAAGTGATTCATTGTTGACACATTGTAAGATAATTTTTTATTACACAAAATTTATAATATTTGGATGTCTACTGTATTCAAGTTTCAAGACAAGTAACTTCATTGTGATCATTTTGAATGTAAAATGTTTATCATTTTATAATATAAACTATTCAAACAAAATTAGAACAAAATATGTTTGCATGGCTCAATCATTTAAATCTAAATATAGATTTTATTTTTATTTTGACTTCTGTACACTAACTTGCTATTTTTTAATATCTTTCAACATTTGGATTTAATTCATCATCATAGTTCAATGATTATGTAATAAAAAATAGTCTTTATTGCAATTCTAGTTATTTATTGATTTTGATTAAAACTATCTATAATTATGAAAAACCACAAGACTGATCAATGATTATGAGATAGATGCTAATGAAAATGAGACAATAGTTCTTGTTATCTTTTTTTTCTTGGCATTTATCTCATTTTTAAACTATGTTTCAAAATCAAACTCCAAACATTAGATAGATGAGACATTTTCTAAACATTGTTTGGAAAAAAAAACTTTGCCCAATTAAAAGTATGCTACTTTCCACCCTTCGACTTAGAGCCAAGCCACACAAACAGCAGTGGTAGTGAACCCTCAGCGATCATTTCCATGCTAGCTTCCCCTTTATCACACGGGAGAGAGCGGCAATTTAGAATATCCTAGGTGGCAGTAAAATTTGCTTCCGAAGTACTAGACATTTTTGTCTGGAACTCTTGTGTATCCGGGATCGCTCAAATTCACGTGTATTTTCTTTCCACTTTACTTCTCATGGGACTTGCTCTCACTGCATTGCAATTCAACATATACCTTTCTTCGCACACCATGGATTCACATGGACCTTCACTTCATGACGGTGGTGTGCATGCAAACCACTCATCCTCTTTTGACCCTATTGCTATGGTAGGAATGCAAGAAAAGAAGACTAATGAGCCTTTGGACATAATTGTCCAATATGGTAACATATGGGATTAAGAAGAAGTTGAAGTTTGCAGATTTCAATAAAAATCACATGGAGTTCAAGGCTTGTAGTTCAAAGAGCGGACGTCTCTGTGTAAAAAAGAAAAAGAGAATGTGCATAAAGATAATGTGTTGGAAGAGAATGTTGCTCTTTCTCTCGATAGACGAGGTATTTATTGCAGCGGTTCTTTTCACTCCGAAGTCACATGTCGGTTGTGTGGTAGAGTTGACTGGATTAACTCCAGCATGCAGAGTGAGATCTACAAATCTTCTAGCCCGGTGCTTAGTGTCTGCTGACGTTCATGTTGCAACGACCTTAGATTTTGACCTCGCCACCGAGTATCACGTTTATGTTATTTTAAATCCTAATTAAAAAAGAGGATATTTCATCAACAGAGCTTTAGACTTAGTACAAAAATGTTGAACCGATTATGTGACAAATAATTTAAATAAGAATAATCATAATAATCATATATGATGATTTTTCTATAAAAATGCTTACATCTTAACATATGAAGAAAAAAAAAGCAGTAACATATATTTTTATGCCAACAAATGTTTTTTTCTTTTATGAACCTTCATGATATGAATTAAAACTCACGTTATTCAATGAATTCTTGATGAGTAACTAAATTGTTCATAAAAGTTGTTTACCTATATATAATAAGATAAATAGCTTCGAATATTTCTGATTTGATCAATTTAATATATATAAATAAGACCGGAATTCCACACTAAATTAGATTTTTTTTGCACGTAATTCTTACTTTTTATCAAATAGTGATTCTTACTGTTTGGTAAAAAAACAAAACTGTAAAAGCTTTTTTTGTAAAGCATGGAAAGATTTTAAATCAAAATATGGAAAAAAATCATTGTAAGTGAATTTGGTGAAAAGTATTGATATATTTAAAATCTCAAAGGTTTCTAAATAAAAATTTAGAAACAACTTAAAAATTGTGTTTCAAAATAAATAGGTTGTAAATTTTTGTAAATTTTTATATGGAATATTTTAAATATTCCAATAAAAATCAAGAATTAAAGCTTTGGTACCAAAATGCTTTCTTTTACTTATTACAAGTTAAAGTGAAAATAATATTAAAATTTGAAATTTCAATAACAATAATTTTCACAAACCAACTTGTTATTATACTTCATAAATTATACATTATTATGAATTTATTAATATATATTTCGTATATTTTTTTTCCTACAACAATTCTAATTCAATCAAGATCTAATGCACGTACTCCGAATATTATTTTATTTTAATAAGTTTTCACTCAAATTTTTCTTCTTGTATATTTTAAACATATTATTTCTTTATTATTAAAAGAATGAATAAAATGTCAATGCATATTATTTTCAATAACAATATTTAGTACTTCAAACATTACAGGTATGTAAACAAACATTATAATTAAGGTATAAGTGCAATCAAATTTTATTTTACATTGAAATATATTGACTAATAATTTCATGATTAATTTACTTTCAATTAAATACTTATTTTGAAACATATATTAATCTACAATGATGATTTATAGATGATTAGTCTTGATTTTATGATTCCCAGTAAAATGAAATCTGAAACTATTATTTTATGTGATTAAAATTTATAACATCAACATATTTAAATGTAATTGGTATTTTCATAAAGGCTCCAAGTTTATGTAAAGTTATTTATGATTAGTTCACAATGATTCTATTTAAAATTAATTCACTTTCTTAATACTTTATGTAATTCATTAATCTGTAAAATTTTATTTTTTTTTAATTATAGATTTTGTCATGCAGATTAAAACATATTCAATAAGTTTCAAATCTAATTTCAAACCATTGTCTTCATTTAAAAAAATAAAAATCATTAATATCTTTATAACCAAAATTGTTTTATTTTGTTCAAATCTATATGATGTTAAATTTCAACTTGCTAATAACTCATATTTCTACTTAGATTTTAATATTTTTTGATATTTTATATTTTATATAATTACAAAAAAAAATTTAATTTTTTTTACATATAGAAAATCAGTTTATAAAATTTTGAACCTATAGGCTATAACTTTGTATTAGTAGAC